CTCTGACTGCTGTGTCTTGCCTCATCCCTCCCCTGTGTGTGCGTCACTCACTCGAGTCTCAGTGCTTCTCGTAATGCACAGATCTGATTGGCTGATTGAGTAGTGTCATGTGTGCTATTTACAATGCATGCGATTGGTCTGTGAGTTTCCCGGGCCGCTGAACCGGTACTGCAATGACTAGAAATGTTACGCCGATTAAAATAGGACCACCCTGTCGAAATTAAATAATTATCTATAGTTTATCGGTTATAGGTCCAGGTCCGCATAGGACAGCGTCTGCGTCCGGACTCCGCCTGTTAGTGACCTCTGGTGTAGTATATCATTCGAGCTCTGTAAATTCAAGACAGGTTTAACACATACAATATAAAAAATGAGCTCAAAACTTGACCTCAGGTATAGAACCTGAAGAGATGTATAGCAGTGGTTTGTAATGAGTGTTTGTGGAGCACAGGCGGGCTGAGAGTATGTAACAGAGTGTTGATCATGATCATTAGCCTGTTAGCAGGAGTGAAAGCAGGCCCTGTTCTGGTTCCGCTTGCCGTCCGTCCCCAGGGCTCTGCTGAAACTGTTGCTGGAGGAACCTCTGCGCCTAGTACAGTATTTCCTTTAGTCTCGATAACTGACTATAGCCGTTATATTGTCACTGTCGGGACAAAACCTTGCGTTTGTGCTGTTTTTTTCCTTTTTTGACACACTTTGTAAAAGCCAGCTGCTCTTTATGTATCCAAAAAAATGTTGCTCCATTAACTCCCATTCAAAGTTTGGACGTGTTTTCAGTTTTTAACAATACCATTTTAGAGATACTCGGTTTTCCCCCAGTAGCGACTGTATGTCTTTCCTAATGCTCAGTTTCCTAATACTTCAGTCTGAGGCCTGGAGTTAACGCTCCTGCACAATAAAGTGACGTTATAAGACTGGCTACTAAGCATGTACGGTACGACATATTTGTATTATGTTGTATTGTGTGGTATCAGTGTATCATGGCTAGCGTGTTTGTAGTGCATTATTAGCCCCTTTTTACCTTATTAGTTCAAGTCTCTGCCAATATTAAGCAAGATTCACCATATCATACCGTTTAAAAGACAAAATTATTGATTCTATCAAAATGTAATGGCTTTTTATCACAGATGTTATAAAGCAATTAGGGGTAATTCCAAAAAAACGTTCATTTTTCTTTCCCTTGAAGAAGGGAAATGCCCACCGCCAGCTACGCACGCTAAACTATTGGTAATCATCTTCTGTGATTTTGATATCAGACCAATTAAATATGTCAGTTTTCAGTTTATCAGTGAGTAATCTATCAGCTGCTGATGTATTTGACTTGTTTCAGGTAGTTTAGTTTCTTCGCTGTGTCCTCCGTGTATGAAACCCAGCAACACCCCTGATTTAATCAGTAATGAGGCTTTGATTACATCACTGCGTGTTTGGCTGCAGTAAAGCTGGCAGTGAATTCAGTGTATAATAAGAGTCTGTTCTCTGTGGACTTTGGCGTATTGTGTGTACAGGAGGCACTCAGATCATCTGTAAACAATGCCATCCTTTAGCTCTCTCTCTCCCCACCCCCTCCTCCCTCACACTCTCTCTCACTCTCTCTCTTTCTCTTCCTCTCTTCCCCTTTCTCTCTTTCTTTTTCCCCCTTTTTTCCCCCTCTCTTGCTCCGTCTTACTCTCTCTGTCTCCCTTGTGCTCTCTCTCTCTCTCTCTCTCTTTACATTTTTCTCCTGTTCTCTGTTGCTTTCTTTTTCTTTTGTCTTCTCGTGTTCTGTTTTGCTCTTTTGCTCTCTTCTTCTCTTTTTTCCCTTCTATTCCTTCTTTCTTTTTCTTAACTCTTTTCTTTTTTTTTTCTTTTTTTCTCTTGTACTCTCTCTGTCTGTCTCTCTCTCTCTCTCTCTCTCTCTCTCTCTCTCTCTCTCTCTCTCGCCCCCTCCCCCTCTCCTGTTCAGGTCAGTCGTTCTCTGTAGAGATGTTTAGCTCTTGGCCACCTGCCTGTGTCAGTGCGACTGTGATCTGGTGTGTTAATGCTGTTTCTCGTGCACATACTGTAGTGCTCTCTCTCCCTCTTTCTCTCTGTCTCTCTCTCTCTCTCTCTCTTTCTCTCTCTCTCTCTCTCTGTCTCTCTCTCTTTTATTAAAAGTTAAAATATATTTATAAATATTTTTATAAATATTATTTTATATAATATTTATTTATGATTTATTTATTTAATTTAATGACGTATTGAGTATCCAAACTAGGCTGGACGAACTGGGCGATAACTACGAATAATACAGGGCTTCCTCGAGGAAAACTTTGGAAGTGGTTAAACAAAAATACTGACATACATAAAATCAGTATTGTTGTAGTAATGTTCTTTATATTTATGTTAATATTAGTGTGTTTCTGAGCAAATACATGCACACTGCCCAGATAAATGTAGTTATCTCAGATGCCTAAACTTGCACAGTACTGTGTACAGTCATATGTAAAGGTGAGAACACCCCCAGTCAGATTAAATGTTATGTTGATTTTCGAAATTAAAGATAAACATCTTCTGTAAAGAAAACGCTTAAATGTGGCATTTTCTGCTAATTTTAGTGCTGAGTTCAGCATGTTGGAAAAGATGACAGATGCATAAAATAGCATACTTTTTGCACAGGCCACATTAATGTTTTTTTTTTTCTTCAGATTATATTAAATTCAGAGAATAATAAGTAACTGTGCATTAAAAAAAGTCCAAAGTGTGTTACAGCATGTGTAAACTTATATATATATATATATATAGCTGCTGTCAGAAAAAAACCTCATTAAAATTTTTTTTAAAAAGTTCATTAGAAGTAAAGTGTTATTTTGGAGATTTGTTACGGCATTTATATATATATATATATATATATATATATGTATATATATATATATATATATATATATATATATATATATATATATATATATATATATATATATATATATGCGTATATTACATATGGGACATATTATTACCTGTAGATACCTGCGTGGTGTGTGTATATCAGTCTAAATGTGTGTGACGTCTTGTGTACACATATGACATTGTATAAAAACGTGGTGGTGGAGGGTGGGCACTCATTCCAGCGCAGCCCACACGTTCCAGGACGGGGCTGCTTTTGTCTTTGTGCTGCTATTCAGGGAGCTCCATTGTGAGCGGCCGTGCTAATTGCAGCCCGAGTGGGTCTCGGTTAAATATTTTGTGACAGTTTTAAAGCATGAAAGAGGACCAAGGGGATGGAAAACAGAAGACATAAAGGGATTTCCCTTTTTCTCTATCTTTCTTTCCTTCTTTTTTCTTTCTCCCTTTCTTTCTTTTTTCCTGGTTTGTTTTTCCCTCCCATGCGATGGCACAATGAAAGCACCTCTCCGCTTTAACCTTCACCCGCCGCGCACTCTCAGACTGAATCCGCTCTCCGAGTGCCGAGAGTTATAAATAAAAGGGCTGGAGCGAGGGAGCGCAGGCTTGGATGTTGGATCCTGACGAACGGGGCGGTCGCTCTCTCCCTCTCTCGCTCTCTCTCTCTCTCTTTCTCTCTTTCTCCGAGCTGTGGTTTTTTTTGGCAGCGACTGAAGTGAAGCTTGAGCGGGAGACATATTTGTATCAGGAATGGCTAGCACTGCGCACAAAACCTAAAGCTTTCTGCGAGGATGGTCGGGCGGCTTTTATCTTCAGGTACTTTTCCACTTCTTCGTCATTTCCACCCCTCCTCCACCACCCCCCCACCCCTTTCCAGATGATAAGCCGTTCCTCCTCCGCTCTCTTCTCCTCTTCTCTCTCTCTCTGCAGCACTGCTTCTGTATTTTGTGCTTGCAATGTTCTAACAACTGCAAATAAAATGCAAACCCGGGGGAGGCGGTGCTTTAACGGGGAGCGTGCAGGTTCACTGTGCCTCTTGAAAAATAAATTGTTTGCTTTAATGCATAAAAACTGAATAAGCTTTTTTTTGGCACCGGTTCAGGCTTGATAAAATGGCGTCCTTTTGCTACGCAGCGACTCTCCAGAAGGACAGTACTTGTGTCGGAAGCACCCTACCCTTTTTCCCCCCTCTTTTTCTTTCTATTTTTCTCCCTCTCAGCGCTTACATTCTTTCGTTCACTCTTGCATACACACTCCGTCTCTGCTTTTGTCTGATGTCTGGTTAAAAGTGATTTCTGCAGGCTGGAGGCTGAAGCCTGTCTGGAGTGCGCGAACGAACGCTGTTGCTTTCCTCAGATCCGGCACGTACTCAACCGTGTCTGCGCGTGCAAAAGGCATACAAAAAAAAACAAAAAACAAACACACAAAAAGAAAACAACAGCAGCGGAGTTGAACCTGTGCCAGGGAAGTGGGGCGGCACTCGTCAGGCAATTATTGTCCCGGGATCTTAGGCTCGATAAGGCGCATTTAAACGGTTTCTGGTCTTGCCAGTGCACCGTTTAAAATTGAAATCTTTGAAAGCGAAGACTGCACATTCCGCTCATCAGGCCTGCAGACATGGCTGTGGTTATGGAAGTAAAGGTTTGCAGTGACGGCGGTGCAAAATTATGGCTGCAGCACATACATGTGAACCAGCATGGAGAACCGCTGGTACATTTCAGCTACAAGGACCTAGATAAACGGTCTGTATGTAACACAACTGTGAAATGCTGTGTGTACTTGAGCTGCAGTTATTTTGCAGTCATCCTGTCTGTGGACGTTTAGCATTCTTTCATTATTGCGTTTGTTTTTTTTTTTCATTAAATGTGTTTTAAAGGCAATATGAATGTCTAAGTATCCAACAGATAGTAGTTTCTGATCGGCTTGGTATGACATGGCTTAATATCACTCGTTGTTTATTATATTAAGGAAATGTGGAGTTATATATTGTACAAAATCCAGAACTGTATAGTTATTTATAGTATTTTAGGATGAATTAAACATTTTTTATAATTACATACGCAAGCACAGTTCTTGTCATTCTTATTTGCAAGTTTTTATATGTTCATCGAATATTCATATTTTACTCTTTCTCTCTTCAGAGCTGTCCCCACAGAGTGGCCAGTCAGCGCAGTATGAGAACCCCCACTGGGGACATATATCCACCAATCGCAGTGCCACTGTACCCACAACCAGCAGCAACAGCTGGGATCAACTGATCATAGACGAAAGCGATACCGAGGCGTGGCCTTCTATTTCTCGCAGCGAAAGCCACGTTCCTGCAGGATGCCCCTCGGACACTGAGAGTGCCGGTGACGTCAACAGCAGCACAAACAGCATGAGCATGGCCACGGGGGCCGGTCAGCAAGGCCACTTTCCCGCTAATCATCCCAGTAAAGCCAGTACCGGCCACTCAGGCGGCCTCCTCTCCAGCCAAGGCGGGGCCAACAGAGGCTGGGGCTCAGGCCCTTCTCCTGCCGGAGGTGGGGATGGAAAGAGTGATGGCAGCAGTTCGTCAATGGGAGCCAGGGCCTGGGGCTCCTCCAACTTTAACTTGAACTTGAATCCCAACGCCAACCCCTCCGCATGGCCAGTCCTAGGACATGAAGGGACCGGCGTGGGTGGCAGCTCTGGAGGATCCAACCCCCCTCCTTCTAGTAATCTCTGTAGCCCACCAGGTGCGCCGCCCACTGGCACCAGCAGCAGTGGCAATATGGGCGGTGCCAATGGAAGTTCTGCCGGTAATGGCACCAGTGGCAGCAATGGCAGCAACAGCGCCTGGGGTGGTATGGTGCCTGCTGACACCTCAGAGCCACACTCCTCCCCGTCCACGAATGTGTCTTTTAGCTCCGAACCTCAGAACCTTAACACTGATGGACCAAATCACACTAAGCAGGAGCCCATGAGCCCTGGGCATGGCCTGTCCAACTGGGGTGTCACCCCAGTGGGCATGGGCTCCTTTGTCCAGCCTTCAACCGGAACTTCACAGGTAAATGGGGAGGAGGGATCAGTCTGGGGCAATGGAGATGCCAAGTCTGCCAGTGGCTCCAAGGATTCGGGTTGGGACTCAGGGAGCGGTTGGGGTCAAGGAGCAGCTTCAGGCACCACTGGCTGGGGACAGCCTTCCTCCAGTGGTGACTGGGGCAAGCATTCCAGCAGTGAGCCTAAAGGGTGGGAATCTACAAGCTCTCCCACTCAAGAGCAGCAGCTCAGTTCTTGGGGCAGTGGAGCCAATGCTCCGGCTAGTGAGGGAAGCAGCGATAGCATGGATGGACACTCTCACAGGAGGGACCGGTCATCAAGAGATGTGGTCCCACCTCTCCTTCCTGCCCAGGACATGGACCCAAGGGTTCTTTGCAACACAGGCTGGGGCCAGACCCCTGTGCGTCAACATACGGCCTGGGAGACAGAGGAAGCCGCGCGTTCAAATCGCAAGAACGACATTGGCACCGAAGCATGGGGTGCGTCCTCAAGCACACCCAGTGCAGGACCACCGGCAACTCCTGGCAGTGCCAATGCAACATCTGGCACTGCTTCCAGACCTGACTCTGGGGGCAAGAGTGAGAGCCCCTGTTCCACTGCTGCAGCTACTTCAGGATGGGGCACAGCCATGCCGACCCCAACTCAACCTGGCTCTGGGTGGGGAGACGCCCAAAGTACCAAGAAGCCCCCAACTGGACCTGGGGGCTGGGGCAACCCCCCACCTGGAGGCCACAGTGGCAACCTGCAAAAAAGTGGACAGTCCTGGGGCTCTGAAGAGAAGTCTCCCACCTGGGATGACTCCCATGCCAAGTCAAAACCTCAGGGTTGGGGTGAGGGGCCCAAGCCCCAATCCCATGGATGGGGCAATGGATCCGGAGGAGACAATGGGTCTGGTGGTGAATGGGGTGACTCTGGAGAAGGGAAGAAGAATGGCCCATCCAGCTCTTCCTGGGATGGAGAGGGATCAAGCTGGAAGGAGGGCCCTCGTGGATGGGGAAAACCCAACCCAGGAGTTGGGGGAGGCTGGGGGGATACACAACGCTCCTCTGCCCCAGCACAGGGATGGAGTAATAAGCCTCAGGAGGGCAGCAGTGGCAATAGTGGTAGTGGGAGCATAGGCTCATGGGGAGGTCCTGGCTCCGTCAAGCAGAACAGTTCTGGATGGAGTGGAGGAAATGGGGGAGGAGTTAAACATAATCATGTTGGAGAGCCAACAGGTTGGGAAGAACCTTCTCCACCTTCCATCCGACGCAAGATGGAGATTGACGACGGTACCTCAGCTTGGGGCGATCCAAGCAGTTATAACAAGACGGTCAACCTCTGGGACAGGAACAATCCTGGAATGCAGGGTAAAACAGGCCCTGGAAATGCCAACAATCCTCCCAACAATCATCACCACCATACCCACCATAATCAGCAACACATGCAGGGCCATGGCCATGGAGGGCCAAACGGAGCCAACAACCATATCTCTCCTGACAATGCAAGCCCTCATCAGACTGTGGCCCCTCACAGCAGAGCACCCGTTATGGCTTCAGGTAAGGGAACTTCTTTGTCTTTTGTGTGGGTTTTTTTTAGCTTGCTGAGAGGAAGTGTTCTGTTAATCGCACTGTGCAAGACATTGATGGTCGAAGTGGACAATGGAGGCAGACACATTGTTTACCCTAGATTTTTATTTTTTTTTGTTAGGCTGGGTGGTGGACCTTTTGCAGCTACCACAGTTGTCAGGCACATATGGTGTCAACAGATGCATGTGGGGCCGAAGTAGTGTTTATTTTCCAGAAGTGCAATTGTGATTGTGTTCATTTATAGCGGAAGAATTAATTTATGACTGAATGCTTTACAGTTCATACTGGTCCATAGATATTTCTGTATCCAAAGGAAATGTATAATAGTTTCTTAAACCAGCACTAAATACTTTTTGTACTGCCAGGTCTTTAAGAAAGCCCGAATAGATCTACTCTTAATTGTTATAGCTTTAAGAATGCTATAGGAATTCGATTGCTTATGTCTGCAGTCGTCCAGGAGGGGAAGCTCTTGTTGGTTTTCTCGAAATGAAACGACAAAGATGAAAGACGGGGTTTGAATTTCACGTCTTTCCAACACCACATTTCAATTAAACCACCCAACTAACATTTTCACTTCGTTAGCTTTCTTAAGGACCAAGAAATTCAGTGATTAAAGCCTACTGTGATTAACTTAGATGCTAAAAACTATAGCTAGATGCTGCTCCACTGGCACAATCCAGCTTGATGATGATGGGATCTGTGCCACACTTGGGATCTGTATCTTTACATTTATAAATAGATTGAGAATTTTACTTACCCCAAAAAAATAAGTGCATGTTGCATGATAACCAAACGCTATGTAGCAAATATTAGCGAGTCAGTTACATCATCTTATCCAAGCAGATAAGCTCCACCCCTGCTTTTTAGCATCAGTAGCGTACTGAAAATAACGTACATAGACAGGCCATCAAAAATCTGGAAAAAGCAATAAGTAGAGGTCTTAGTTTTATTTTATGTGTATTGCACAAGCTCTGATTAGACGTTCTCATACCTGCCTTTGACTTGCACTATAACAAAAGCTGCTAAACCAAGCATTTCCCCTCCCCCGCGTGCAAGGAAGTCAGCCTTTGTTCTCCCAACAACGCAAGGTCTAAGAGAGGTGTTTTATCATAGGTCAGTCGGATTGAAAATACTGTTTACATTTTTCTCTGTGAGAACAGTCAGACGCACTGTGTTTGAGATAGGAGGAAGTGTGTAATTAGAGTTGGGTCGCCATCTGTGAGCAGTTACACAGAGCCTCAGCGGGTGTTGGAACAGGTCCGACGCCCCCTGCTGCCCGTCTCCTGCTCCACACCCACTCTGCCAAGCCAGTCTGGACCTGGCATCCTTAGGGCTGCCCTTCAGGCCTACTGGTGCCAAGAATTAAAGAGGCTTCATCTGCCGTCCGTTTGGACTGCGCTCAGCTCTTTATGCGCACAGTTCCATTTAAGGAGCAATGTTTAGAGAAGGAATGTGTGAATAGCATATCTACAGATGTAATTAATGTAAACCCGATGTTGAGTAGTTATGATGTTGACAGGTTATGTTTACTCAGTTACGTCTACTCAAATAACATTTTGATGGATTTGTATTTTCTTGGGTATTTTCATTTCGTAATGCCTTTACTTGGACCGAAGTATATTAGTGTCGAAAGGAATCTGCTTTTTCAGTCCATAACATTTAACTAACTACTTTTTTGTAGTCCCTTTTATTATGTTGATGTACGTTGATGCACAAAAGAGAGATTTAAGTTCCTAACTGGTAGATACTGGATGTACTAAGAAGTTTCACTGCGGCTCAGTTGTTTTTTGTCTTGTGCTTCTTTTCAAGCTATTGTGTGGACAGATACTTTCACTTCTACTTGAATCATTATTTCACTGAAGTAACGGTATGTTTACAGGAGTGTGGGTTAGGGCAAGCCTTCAGAGATCATGTGCAGTATACTGTCCTCCAATCGTGGCCCCTAGCCAGCCTACAGCCACACATATATATATAGAGAGAGAGAGAGAGAAAGAGAGGAAGGAAAAAGAGAGATTGGGAAATGGTCATGTAAAAATGAGTTAGGGATTATTTTTTAAAACTTAATCATAAAGCACAAATGTCCACAAATTAAGAAGTAAAATACTTAAGAAAAAAAAACAAAAAAAAACTGTAGGATGTCAACCAATGAGTTTATCTGCAGTCTAATGTTACGGTTGTATTTTAGTTTAACCTCAAGGTCACCATTTAAGCCCATGTTAAAGAAGATAGAAAAGTAAGTGCTGCAGCTGATATTAATTTTTTTTGAAGAGACAAATATGATTTGCTTTAGTACATCTTAAAGCTGCAGACAGCACATTTTCTAACCTTTTAAATAATTTAATTGTATTGAATAAGCTTGGCTTAGGCTTCTCTACACACCTCTAAACCTCAGCAGTTCCAACACATTTGCACTGTCTGCCCTTTTGAACGAAGAACTTACCATAAGGCTCCATGTCAAGTGCCTCTTGCAGAATGTAGACCAAGTCATGATAAGGTCATCGGCCCTGAGAGTTTGCCTGTGTCTCTTTGCAGGATGGGGCGAGAAGTCGAATGTCCACTCCAAAACTGAGCCCTCATGGGGAGAGCCAGCGGCCCCTGCAGTGAGTGTGGACAATGGCACATCAGCCTGGGGTAAACCGCCTGGAGGCTGCGGTGGTTGGGGAGACGGCAGCCCTGAAAGCTATAGTCGAGGCAACGTGCCGCAAGGATCTGCCCCCTGCAAGTCAGGTTGGTCTTTGCCAGCTGAAACGTATTATGGATCAGCCAAGATATGACTGGTGTCTGAACTTTTGCACAGGAGTTACGAGGCTAATGTAACTAACAAGTAATGAAAGCTAGCAGCACACTAGTTAGCATTTAGCTAACTGCATTCCAAATTGTTGAGTTGTGAAATAATCTTTAAGACTTGCTCATAACACCGCATTACGTACTGTTATGCATAAAAATGGACAAAAATACAGAATTTGTAGTTTTAGGGTGGCCGCTACTGCAGTTTTTAGTAGTTTTGTTAATTTTTGTCTAAACATATCTTGGCTGATTGACTACATTTGGGATAAAGGTTTATTTGGGATAAAGGTTTATTATTTATAAGGGGGTTTATTTCTTTAACTGTGTTCTGCTCTGCCTGTAGATTACAGTCACAAACTATCATTTTAGAACAGTATATATTGCACCAGAACGATCAGTGTATACGTTTTTTTCAGTATTTCAGTTTTTGTGTTAGTGGTACTACCGTGGAGAACCCCCTCCCCCCTCTAAGCTGGTCTACCTGGTGTTACAGACTCTGTTCCAATGGCAAAAATCACCCAAGTGGTTACTTAGACTGCTTACAGGACTGAAATAGATGAAACAGATTGATAAGTATTTAATAATTACTAAGAAAGTGTTTTTACATGCAAATGTTTGCTATCACACATTAGCTACTTTGAGCAAGGCACAATTGGTGGTAAGTTAGCCACATAAACACTTAGTGAGCAAACATAATTCAGTACACAATACTGTTCAAAAGGCAGAAACCACAATTCTTTCTTTTAATTTTCAATCAAAAATTAAGTACAAGTTATTTATGTTTGTTGTTATTTAACAGAAAAACACACAGAAACCCCCCAAAACTAAGTATAATATAATTTTTTGAGTATTTATAGTGTCGCCAGCGTTTACCTTTATTACAGCTTCCATGCTCTTCACAAGACTTGCTTCTGTAGGGATGTTTTTCCACACTTTCAAAGTTCAGTCTTAGAAGTTGGTTTCATTTTCTGCTTCGCACAATCTTGAGTGATCCCAATGAAGGGGCTCTCGTAAAACTACTTTAGTTAAATATACAAAGCCAAACAGCCAGCTGGCTTGGCGATTTACCATTTTTTACTCTATGTAATTAGATCTTAAATAAAATGTTAAATAAGCTGTAGTTTCACCAAAAGGCTGCCTAAACAGCACCTAATGACATAACCTAGATCAGATGATGTTAGTATGGACCAGCTGGACACAGAGGACCACCTCAGTCAACACACCAGTCTTAAGCTGGCTCTTTTCAAAACACTGTAAGATGTCGGCCCATTTCTCTTTGTAATTCTTTTAGCAATACTGCCCTCTGCGGTTGAAATGGATGTAATACACCCACCTATTAGTTAACTCTCTTTCAACATAGAGATTTTGATTTGAATTCCTAAATCACTGAGATGTGTCATTGAACAGTTCCAGCATGTTAACTTTTTTATCATTATTTGTTGTGCTGTTTCTTTTCTCCAGCCCCTAAATCTATGCAAGATGGCTGGGGAGGTGGTGAGGATGTGGCTCTGTCGGCAGGGCAGTGGGAGCAGGATGAGGGTGACATGTGGAACAGCACGGCCTCTCAGGAGAGCAACTCGTCCTGCAGCTCTTGGGGGAACCCGCCCAAGAAGGGTCCACAGAAGGTCAGCCTGGAGCCATCCTGTGTTTTGCTTCTTTTACTGCTTATGAGTGATGCCCTTAAAGGAAGAGTTTGAAAAACTAATTTGCTCAGTTCTCCACCCCTAGTGCTCCAAACGTAGTTGATTAGCCGGGACATATTTAGTGTTTGAAGCATGCTTCTGTAGTTTTAGCACTGGGGGTACAAAGTTAATGTAGATAAAAAGTAATGGAAGCTTTTACACCGCCAATTAGCATGATGCAAACTGCATGGCTACATCATCAGCCACCTTCAATTAAGTTTTTTATGTAATCTCTAATGTTATCACTTATGTGGTTTCTGTTTACATAATGTTATCTATATCTAGATCTATCTATAAAAATAGACAAAAGTACAGACAAATTTCAGTCTGCAGGATGCAACTGCTACTGTTTTAGCTATGCTAATGAATGTTGAGTTCAGCTATGCTAATGGACGTTTGTCAGTTTTCACCCAGCTGTTCTTTTTAAACAGCACTGTAATGAATGCAGCTCTAAGCATAACATTAATAAAGGCAAAGCTTACATTACAGTACCTTGCGTTCTTAGCTGAAACTTCTTTTTCCTTCCTGTTCTGAAAGGGTAAGGTTCCTAACAAACAGGACGATGCCTGGATTATGAACCGTCTGATAAAGCAGCTAACTGACATGGGCTTCCCTGTGAGTACCATTTAATGGTTATTTTTTATTGACTATACTGCTACAGTACATTAAAGGGTCCATATCTTGGAAAACTAGATTTATTAAATAAATAGTGTGTAAATATGTTAAAGATTCAACACATATCATTCACTCCCTGTTCACACAGTCGTTAAACTGCAAAAATAGACTGTTTTGAGTTCTCGTGGTGTCACGAAAACCAACACATTTACGTATATACATCCATTCAGCCTACAGCACTTTAGTCTCATCCAGTCACTCTGAGGTTATAAAGAGTGTTGCAGTCCGGACTGCTTTTTTTGAACGAGACAGACAATCAGAGCAAAGCTGCTTCACCTATATCTCTGTTAAAGGCACAGTCACAGAAATAGCCTGTTTACAGGTTAAAGGGAGGTTGGAATTGGTTATGTAACAATTAATTACAACTGTCTTTGGTACACAAACCCACACAAATGACACAAAGTGGATCTCGGGAAAAGTAAAATGCTGTAATAGGTTAGATACTGTTAATAACAAAATGACGCAACATGTGATGAGTGGATCCTGATGATTTTTTCTTACTCATTCTCACACATTTTTGTGTTTTGTGTGTACAGAGAGACCCTGCAGAGGAGGCTCTGAAGAGCAACAACATGAACCTGGACCAGGCCATGAGTACGTCATACCAGATTCACTTGAAAATGAAAACACTTGCCTTGTCTTGCATACAAAGTACCACGAACTTCTAACTTTCAGGGCACAGCCGATCTAAACATTTTGATACAATACTGATTTTAAGGAGTTAAAATTTTTGATAAATGATATGTTTATATAGTTAGCTGATATAAACACACACACACACACATTTTCTAAACCGCTTATCCTTCTGGGTTGGGTTAAATGTATGCATAATATATTTCATGAAATGTAATTTACTGATTGATGTTTTTGTCAGCTGTCAACTGTGAATTGTGACTAGTAATCAGTAATAAGGCCATTAAAATCCTCAGGAAAGCTGTTTTCCCAATATTAGAGCAGGTGTCTCAAACTACCGGCCCACAGGCCACATCCAGCCTGCGAAACAGCTTCATATAACACGACACATTGTTTAAAATTTATCATTCGATCAGTTCCACTATTCGCAATAACCCTACATTACAGGGTTATTATAATGTAGTAACATTGTTATATGGTTAGTTATAATATAAAACATGTAACTTCAAAACCATATCAGTGCTTTTTTTGTGAGATTTATTTCTTGATGCCAGTAAATCCATGAAATGTTAATATTAGTTTTATTTGCCAGTCGTTATATTGGTTGTGCCCTTGTCATATCCTGCCTTTAACAATAAATCATGACAGACAGCATTCAAACACCACAGGAAACAGCAATACACACAGTTAATACACTTAAGCATAAGGTTTAAATAGTGTACAACGTACACTAAGTATACGTTTCTGTTTCAGGCGCCCTGCTAGAGAAAAAGACTGAACTGGATAAGCGGGGGATGGGAATCTCTGACTACAACAACGGCCTCGTCAACAAACCAATGGGCTGCAGGCCTTCAGTCATCTCCAAAGAATCCTCCTCAGACCGCGCCCCCTTCCTGGATAAGGTATCCCCCCACATTCTTTTTCGTCTGTGATGGGAATAGATGTGGTTATTTGACTATACCAGGAATGTCCAACTCGGAGCCTTACAGGCCAAAGTGCTGTAGAGATCAGTGTTTACCCTCATCTAATAATGCTCTGAATTCAGTTCATAAAGGTCTTGCTGATTAGCTGATGAGCTGAATCGGGTCTGTTTAAGAAGGCAGTGTTTTGGCCCACGAGGTACTGGAGCTTGACACGTGGGCTATAGCAGTGTCTAAACTCATCTTAGTCTTTGTTTACTTAATCAGGCATTTAGATGAGCCATGTGTAATTTGGAATAAAAATGAAATTTTATGGTTTTTGAACAGTTTCAAAATGAATGTAATGCACAGGGTTAGGACAGCCTAAAATATAAACCAAAATTATTAAATCAAAAGAGATGTATAAAGCTAGGAGATAAATATGCGATGTTATTCTTCTCTCACTGTAGGATGGTGGACTAGCGGACGATGCCCAAACTTCACCATTTTTGCCTTCTCCCAGCCTGAAGCTCCCGTTGGCCGGTGCTGCCCTCCCCGGCCAGGGCCTCGGGGTCGCCATGCAAAACTTGAACAACAGACAGGTGAGTTAGAGAAAATAAAAATCAGCAAATTTAAACACACCAGGGAATGTTTGACATTGCTTCTTTCACTGATTTAATCGTAATCCTAAACCTGGATCTCAGGTTATCCTAGCTTCACTGCATCTATTGTTAACATGCCAACTTACACGCTTACGTGCTGCCGTAGTCTCTAGAGTGAGATTTTAAGTTTAAAGATTAGGAAAATCTTCTGACGATGTAGCTTGAAGGTGGGCAATTACTGTTACTGCTATATTATTGTAGCCATATAATTGTAGTAACTGGAGAGAATGGATTACTCAAATGACTTATAAGATGAGGAGGATGACCAACTGAAAACTAAATTAGCAGGGTAATCTGCTATCTAGATATCTTACCTCAGTTTGGCTTTTCTTTACCTGAATGGGTAAGGAAACTTGTCTCTGGCATCTGATTCTTAAAGGTTGTATGATGCATTTGCAGGATATTGTAGTAATAGAATTTCCTGGGTATTGTAGTAAGAGAACGTTAAAAAAATGAAGACAATATAAAACCATAAATTTTGTCAAGCCAGTGAGACTGAGGGTGACATGCTGCACCACAGAATACTGCAGGGGTGTCAAACTCAACCACGAAAAGGGCCATATTAAAAAATCTGAGCAGATCCGTGGGCCGGCTGTGTTTTTATTTAATGTTTGTGTAACATTTTGCCATTGTTTATTCAAAATATGACAAAACTGCAACAGCAAAATAGGCGTTGAATACTTATTCAAAAGTAATTCTAAATAAAACTAAATTGTTTTAGGTATTTCTTTTTTTTAAATTGCCTGTTTGCTTGAACTTTACACCAGGCATCTGTTCTTGGGAAAAGGGGGTCAGAACGCACAATATGTTGCAGTGCGTGCTGGGGACTGTAATGCACGTCAGGGTGAAACAGGCGAGTAAGAAAGGAAAATTAAGATAACTTTGAGGGCCGAACAGAACTGTGTCACGGGCCTGACTTGGCCCTTGTGTTTGACACATATGGAATGCTGCATCACATGATAACAGTAGTTTTAGTCCAACAAGGCCCCTTTGAAGTCAACCTAAAATCAGACTTGATCTTTTTCTTCTTTTGCCCACCTTGAAAGCATTTTATTTTGATTACATCATCATGCACCAACAGGAGGGAAAAATCATTTTAACCAATAATATCATGTCTCACCTCACCCTCCCACCACTCTCACCTATCATTGAGAGAAAAAGCCCAGATAGCTCAGAGACCCTTCTTGATTCAATCTTTCATTTGGGAATGCATCATAGAAAGAGAATGCACAATGATCTCCAGTTCATGTTGATTTTAATCCTGGTTGTAATTACAAACTATAATGCTTCACCAGATAAAAGTTTGAGCATAAGCTATAGAGGAATGATACTGGGACCAAAGATCTGAAATGGGTTGTTTCCTCATACTGGCTTTTTGTATGTATGTGTACAGATGCAGAGTGGAATGTTTGGCAGTAGTGGAACAGCACAAACACGGGCCGTGCAGCAGCAGCCTCCTCCTCAGCCGACAGTGCCACCTCTCAACTCCTCCCAGCCTAGTCTACGCGCTCAAGTGCCTCAGTTTCTCTCCCCTCAGGTACCACAAAGACACAAAACATGCGCTCTGCGCTTGTTCTTCCATGGTTCTTTAGTAAAGACAGTTGTTCTATATAAAACCATGAACACTCAAAGAACAACTTGCGTGCTTAAATGGCTCTTTAACCATTTATGTGCTTAATGGTTTGTTCTGCACTAGGGAGCCTTCCCTATGTTACAGAGCATTTTAGAGAAACAGCAGAAGCCATATCGCCCCTACACATCCTGTAATATATTTCCATCTGTCAGAATGTCCATGTAGCTCCTATGAGCATTTTAAAGCACTGTTAGTTCAGTAAATGCCCCATCAACAATAAAAATCTTTATTTATTAAAATTATGGACATTGTCGACCTTTGCAGCCCTACACATCAGTCTGCCACACGAGTCAATTTGTGTTTTGAATGAAAAGCTGCAAGTACAATAGGGATAGAATTCGCCAAATAAGAACAGATGCCTTTTAATAAGGGTTTATATGCAAACTACACTCTGAACACTCGTCAAATTACATTTTGCTGATTTTCTAAGTGAAAATAAGTTGACATGCCCTCTACATGGTAAAAAATTAATCACATAAGGAAGACATTTAGTAACAAAAAATGAAAACAGTTAATAAAATGAAAAACAATTTACAGAAAACACTGTTTAACTGATGAAGGAAGACTGTAAAATAACAGGAAACATTAATTTATGTAAAACATTAATTCACGGAAAAAATCTGTTTAAGTGATGACATAAGACTACTCTGCAAAATAACAGAAGATATTCTGTAAAAAAAAAAAGAAAAAGAAAAATTTGTTAATTTACGGAAAATATCTATTTAATTCATGAAGAAAAACTGTAAAATAACAGAAAAAACTGCCAGTACATTTTCTATAATTTTTTGGTCTTTACAGTGTACAGTGACCTAAAAAACTAGTTTCTATTTATTTGCTGAGTTAAACATATTGGAAAAAAAATAAGATACAAAAATGTAAAATAACTTTTGCACAGGCTATATTTTATGTTGTATATTTTACTGTTAAATTCAGCAGAAAAACAATATTTGTGTATTTGAATGTGCAGAAGTGTGTTCTCTGAGGGTGAACCTTATGGTCACTTAGAAAAGCAACAAAACCTGTAATGTGACCAGGGGTGCCCAAACGTTTGCACACAGCTGTATGTTTCTAAATCATATCTTGGTCATCCAGCCTTTGATTACTCAAAGTCTGTCACAGTTTTGCCCAAAGAAAGTCCTGTACAGTACAATGTAGTGAATTTCACTCTCTTTTGTTTACCTGCAGGTTCAAGCACAGCTCTTACAGTTTGCAGCAAAAAACATTGGTCTCAACCCTGCACTTTTGACCTCACCAATAAACCCTCAGCATATGACCCTGTTGAACCAACTTTACCAGCTGCAACTGGTGAGTTCCAGCAGGGGGCGGTCTTGCACCTCTCAGTCACTGTTCACTGACCTCAAGGTCAGAGAAAGAAGTCTGAAGTAAACTGATGCCTTTAGACCACTTTGCTCTTTTCAAGGTTGTTGCATTGTTGCGCTTTAAATGTTAAAAAGCTGTACTGTGTGTTTCTGTACAGGCATACCAGCGTTTACAAATTCAGCAGCAGATGTTGCAGGCGCAACGTAACGTTTCCGGCCCCATCAGACAACAAGAGCAGCAAGTGAGCTAATGGTTTTACCACTTCCTCTCAAAGCTGACCTGTCCATGCTTCACTCGAGCAAAAGAGCGACCACATCACTTACTTAAAACCAGTTTTTACTAACACTGTCAAAACTCTTTGCCTTCTTTTGAAGTTTTTAACATTTGGCATGTTATACAATATTTCATACATTAAAAAACTATATCGAATGGCTTTGATGGTCTATATAAGGTTTGGTGTAATTCTGTAGTGACTGAATGGATGATAGGAGATGCATCTGAGGAAGGGAGGAGATAAATCTGCTCTGTAAATGTTATCCAGATAGCCACATGTCTGAACTGAAGCCTGATCATGAAGCAGAAAGCATATGTGTATTTGCTGGGAGTGTAGAATTATAATGACCTACTAACTGTTCATTTTATTATGAAGTTTGATAGCCCCACATCCAGAATTGTTTTGTATATTTTTTTCTTCCTGGGGACCTTTTCTGATGTTTGTTTGGGGGTTTATGTACCAAAACAGTCATAATTAATTTTTACATGACCATTTTCAAACCTTTCTTTAGAATTAATGATTTATGTACATAAGCTCTGTTCTGATTGGCTGTACCTCGTTTTTATACCTCAAAAGCAGTCACCCCTTATAACTTCAATGCGAGGCAAAAACTGCTGCAGGCTGAATATGCAGATATATGTAAATTAGTTGGTTTTGTGACATCAAAGAACAATGAATTCAAAACAGGCTGTTTTTATAGCTTAGTTCCCATATATGGATTATACGAATTAGACTGTGAACTGTATGGTTTAAAACCTTAACAGTGTTTGTACTCTTGCACAAGAGAAAATAATAATATGGCCCGTTTGATATGGGCTGTTTAATTCTGTGTATGTGTTCTTCATCGTTGTTCTTGTGTTTGCGACAGGTTGCACGTACAATCAATAACATGCAGCAGCAGATCCAGCAGCACCAGCGGCAGCTGGCCCAGGCTTTGCTGATGAAGCAGCAGCCTCCCCCTTCCCACCCAAGCCTGCACCCAGGGGCAGGAAAATCTGCCCTGGACTCCTTTCCTGCCCCACAGGCACCGGGCCTGACCGTCTCTGACCTGCAGACCAAAGAGCCGCAGTCTTCTCCAAACTCATTCTCCCCCTATGCTCTCTGTGAGTGCTGAAGTCTGCGATACTTTTCTCTGAAAATAATTACAAAAATATAGACATAGGTTAATTTCCTTTTCTAGGTTCGCAAAATATATGTATAAATTGTGTCCTGTAAAGTTCCAGTGTCCTAAAAATTCTCCCCTTTCTGTGTAAACTGAGCAGTTCTAATCTTAGCCAAAACTTACATAGGCATTACCTTCACCAGTCACAAGGCTGATGTGGCTTGTATTGCCCACACAGTGTTAAAAAACACAGTCAGACTCTCTTTGAATTGGAGAAACTTAGCAAGTGAAAGCTAACAACCAAGCGAAAGCTAACCTAATTCACATAACTGATTTATCAAGCTAGCTCATCTGCCTGTCCGTCTGTTTCTGTTCATTTAGCCGGCTATGCCAGCATTCCAAGAATGCCCATCCACCATTAAAGTGAATAAGAAGTTTACCTTCTTTGAGACGTCACTTTAAGAGAAAAGCTGTTGCTTTGCTTTGTTTCCAGTTTTTTTGTCAGTGCTTACTATATTTGTGAATAAGTGCTTTCACTGAGAGATTCTTCTGTATTTTTCTGCCTAGCTGGACTGAACCCTAACATGAATGTAAACTGCATGGAGGTGGGCGGTCTGTCCATGAAGGATTCTCCTCAGCCTCAGTCACGCCTGTCACAGTGGACACACCCCAACTCTATGGAAAACCTCTCTGGAAACTCCTCCCCCATGGAGCCTAGTCTTAGCAAGCATGGTACAGTCAACACAGAGCTTTATTTTATTACTTTTATTATATTATTACTTTAGTTTTATTTTATTACTGTTTATTACAAATATACTATAAACACATTTCTGTTTACCTAATGAAGAGCACAGAATTACAGATCAGACGTTTGGTATCAATGTTTTCAATAATATAAAATGAGTTTGGTTGCAGATATATGTATAAAATGTTACCAGTATGCTAGTTCTATTCAACTGGGAAGGCTGTATAACATCAAGAAGGAAGTTTTTATCTGTGTAGTTTCAGTAATAGAGATTAGGTTGTAACTAAATCTGACTTGTTTATATATAATATGCATTTCTTGCACTTCTGTTGTGCAATGACATGTTACATATTTTATTTTTCTGTTACACATTTGCCTTTTTGAAAATGCTGTAAATATTGAAAAAAAACTGAAATGTTCTGCTGTCTATATAAGTTATGTTGTATATAAAAACAGTAGTGTTATGTAAAGTGTCATACAGATTGGTTAAAGGGCTCAATATGAATGTGTTTGTCCCTCCCCCCCAGGTGCCATCTCTGCAGGGCCTAATCTCGGCCCTCCAGGTAAGCCCTCTCTGGACGACTCCTACAGCCCTTATAACCTGATCTCCAGCTCTGAATCTCCGGCCAGCCCGCTGGTGCCCCCGGACAGCTGGGGCCAGAACAAGAGCGCTAACGACAAAATCTCCAATGGGACCAACATCAACTGGCCGCCAGGTCAGTCAATATCCGATTTACACAGCATACAGTAGTACAGTTGTATGCAGATGTTTCAACACCCCATGTCAAATAAACTGGTTTGCTGATTTTCTAAATGAAATTAAGTCAAAATGTCCACATTTTGTGTTTCATTTTTCTCCAATATGTTAAATTCAGCAATTAAACAATAATTATGCATTCTCCGTAGAGGATGTGTTAGCTTATTTTATTATACTGCTGTTGAAAAGTTTGAAATCACTTTTTTCAATAATATAAAAACAATTTTGTTGCTGTAAAATGATTTTGCTGTGATGTACTACTTCACATGTTTAAAAGTTTCAACTAATTTGCAGGAAGTTCTAAAAATTGAAGAGATAGAGTTAGTAGAAATGGTGCTGATCCAACACCAGGTATCAAGCTGATCAGCAGAAAATTCTGGAGCGGATATCAGAGGGAACAATGAATCTGAATTTGACCTGTCACAAATCTAGCCTGAAATAAAACAGAATTGCTTGGAGCATCGCAAAACATGCAGCAAGTAGGTCAAACGATAACATCAGTAACTGCATCGTAATATCTGAAAATAACAGCAGGGGAATAGTGGTCAAGTGGTTGAGTAGTTTCGGTATGGTATGTAAAAATGTAGAACAGTTCAACTTAAAGCTTAGTAGTTTTTAAAGAAAAATAGTGTATCAGTGATATCATGCAATCTCTAAATAATGAGTTAGGTATAATGAACAGAGCTGTAGATGATTCTAAAATGACTGAAAAAGCTGTAGAACATCAAAAATGAAGTTGTATTAAAATCAGTATCAAGAAAGAAGGTCTAATGAACTTATTATCTAGACTGATGTAAAAAAAAACTCAGTATTTAGAATGAAGTCGTAAGAAAATGAATATCTTTGTTCTAATAAATTCAATATCCAGAATGAAGGTCTACTAAAAGTAATATCTAGATTGGTGTTATAATAAAATTTTCATCATAAAGAAGAACATTTTTACCAGGCAAAAAACAACTTTGTTTATATATACTTTCAATGTAAGTCAATGGAACCAGACTTTTTTCCAAGTCATTTTTGGTCATTTCTTTTGGTCTATTCATCATGAAATTTACATACAATGTAGTGGCTGTAGTGTACATATTCAACACAATGTAAACTAAAAACTAAATGTGCAGGGTCTTTACGTTTATCTGCATCACCTTGTCATCACTGATTGAACCTCATAAAACAAGTTTTGTCTTTGGAATCTGTCAGAGTTCTGCCCAGGAGTGCCCTGGAAAGGACTGCAGAACATTGACCCTGAGACTGACCCCAACGTCACCCCAGGAAGTGTTCCCAGCGGCCCTACAATCAACACCAACATTCAGGATGTGAATCGCTACCTGCTCAGAGACCGAAGCGGAGGTGAGAACACATGACAGAGAATGTGTTTGAAATGAGAAACTGATTTAGCAGATTTTGGTCGTAGAGCATTTTATGTGAATCTCCAAGAGTTGATGTAGTTCAGAGAGACGAGTGAGACGTTTTCAGTTATAATGATTCTTCTTTCTCATAGCGGTTAACAGTATCTAATGATTCTCATAGCTGTGTTTGGTTGTTTCATGTACAGTGGGAGTCCAAAAGTCTGAAACCACTACTGAAAATCAGCATAACAATCTGAGTGAAAAGTCTTTGAAATACATCTGAATTTCAGAATTTCTTTGGTACAGTATTCCCCTCTTTCTGCTTTAATCGCTGCACACACTCGAGCTGAATGGACTCCAGTAGTTTGTGCAGAAGCCTCTGATGAGCAGATCAAATCCACCTGAACACTAACTTCACTGGAAGGAATTAGACTCAAAAACAAATCTGACCTTTTTGTACAAAGGTCTTAAATTTAAGTTTGTTATTTTGTAAAACTTATGTTTTTTTTTAGGTTTAAATGAAAAAAAATCCCAGATTTTGAATGTGGTCAGACTTTTAGACCTCCCTGTATAATTAAAACTTAGACAGTTATGAAGTTTTCATTTGATATGCTTGACTTCGGGCTGATTGGCATATCCAAATGTTATGAATTTGAATGCTTTCGTATATATATATATATATATATATATATATATTATATATATATATAAATAATTTACAATGATTTTTTTGTGTTAAAATGCAGAAGCTTAAGATAAAAGAAGAAATCAAATCAAATATTATAAAAGTTATTGTTTAAAAAGTTTACAGTTTTGGGGGTTGATTCACATCATCTTTCAGATGCTAGAAACACCAACCAGTAGGGCTGTGTATCAAAATTATTATTTTTTAATTTGAGGGAATTACCAAAATCTATGACATTCAGAAAACAAATTTTAGTACCCAAGTAGTCAGTCTTATGATCCAATAAGCAGGCTTCTTCCAAAATCTAGACTGCTGATTGGTTAATAAGCATGTTAATAACATGAATGGAACTTTTCTAGAAAGTTTTTTTTGTAAACTATGAAAACAAACTGATGTAAAAATTAACAATGACATTAACAATGTTAAAGTATAACAGAGAAACCCCCTAAAAGATATGGCTTTTTGTAAAACTGAGTATGCGTTTTTATGCGGGTATAAAGATGAAATGTTTTTATATAATTTATTTGCTTGTAAAAAAAGATTATGGAAAGAAGTACTCAAAGTAATCAAAGTCAAGGTACTGTATCGTTTTTGGTATCGGTATATTCTGACTGATACCCAGCCCCACTAACCAGTTCATTACACTATTTCTAACAGAACGTAAACTTCAGCACCACTTTTATATTTACTGCCTTCTTTTTGTTTCCCCCCTTCCCCCTGCCCTCGTATTCTTGCCTGCTTTATTTTTTGGGACACTTTATAGGCTCCTCCCCAACTTCCTCTCAGAGCGAGGCTGTGCCTCCTGCCAGCGATTGGCCAGTCAGTGGTTACACTAGCTCTTTTAGTCTGTCTTCACCTGAGACAGAGGACACAGGTACAGCTACCCAGAATGCCCTCTTAACCACAGCCACAACCCCCACCTATACTCCCTCTCCCACCCTGCAGTCACAGTCACCACTTCCTTTGTTGCACGAAGCCTAAAGAAGTGGGCTCTGTTCTCTGAGACTGCTTTGTAGCTGTCACATTAGGGCTGCAACAGTTACCAAGGTGAACAACGATGAATGTGACAAGACTTTACGTGGATTTCCAAATGGATGATCCATACAGACATTCTGACAGACTGGAATACACTACAGGAAGTGTAGGGGGCCATATGACTTCTATTGTTTCATTTATAATTTATTTTATAATTCTTTATAATGTGAATATGATCCACACAGTCCACAAGATAAATGTTATGTATAGTTTTTCAATGGGTTGTGAACAAATCATAACACACAAAATGCATACAAAATATGTTTCTATAAAGTCAGTGTTTTAAGCTTTACAACAAGGAAAAGGAGGACAAATTAAATAATTGGCAAAATAAAGGTGTACTAATGGGCTATTACTATGCAGTTTAGTTCTGACGGCCCTTTCTAATTGGTTGAGAAGAGCTCTACCCATGGTGTTCTGATAACAGCGTGTTTTTTTCATAACTATTGTATATCTGCCGAACACTGGTTGCTAAGTTACAACTTGCTATACGCTGTAGCTAAAAGTTACATATCTCTGCTGTTGGAAGAAAACCTTGCGTCTCTAACTTTGTCGTTTTTCATTTTTTGACATAATTGGAATATGCCTGTTGCCCTTTACATTGTGTGTAAATTTCATAAAGAATGGGCCAAAAGAAACGGCTGAAAGTGACTTGGGAAAAAAGTCTGGTTCCATTGACTTACATTAAAAGTAAAGAAGGTTTTTTCCCTTCTCCTGTAAAGTTATCATTTTGGAGATACGAGGTTTTGTTCTGACAACAGCGATATACAAAAACAGAAAATGGATACAGTAGATAGCTTCTGTAAGATAATATTTGACCTATTTGGTCAGGTCAACATCTGATTCTCTGTTATTGATCCAAAGTGAGCTTTTTGATTAGCAGCCGTGACGACGCAACAACCAAACAAGCAGGAGTTAACCAGAAAAAAAAGAATACAATTCAGCGAACAAGATGGGCTGTGAAATGCTTTACAGACTGGCTGGAACAAAAAGTTTTATGGCTCTGTAGCAAAAGAGGGTGATACTTTTTGGCAGAAGGAGTTGCAGAGGGGTCTGCTTTACTACATTATTTAGTACTTTACTTTGCAGAACTGTTGTATAAAAACAATAGAACACGTGAGGTCCTGTGTTATTGTGAATAATACCAAGGCTGTGATGATCTACTGTGCTCACCTTTGGCTTTTGCCTGCGACTGAATCCCAGCCATATTATTCACGATAATACATATACACTTGTTGATTACAGGCTCTCTATAATTGTTTTTACTGTCTTCTTTATGATCCATGCAGTTGTTCACTGCTCTGGAAGTTCTGACCACACTCATCATATACTCAGAAAAGAGTATCATGACCACAGTTACCACGAAAACAAAATGTCATGAAAACATCATCATATAGCTCAGCTCTGTCAAACAGCAGTCGATATGTTCATTGATTTTTAGCAATCATCATTAGTTGCAGCCCTAAATTCTGTCCAGTTCGGTGTGCAGTGTACCCCTTTCCCTCTAGAATTGTGCCCTACCTATATTCACCCTCACATTCCCCAGTGTTAGTGGGGTAGTGTCTCTGTGTGTGGCATGATCACCAACCAGCTGCGTGCAGTTTGTTGACTGATAAGGGGGATTATTGTGAACAGAAATAATTTGTGACCTTGTGCTCCTCCTGTCTACGGTAATTTCTTCCTTTGCTGTGAAAAACCCTTCCAACCCACAAATTACTGTGTTTAACTCAGAAGTGTTAAACACAGGAAGTGCCCTATCACTCGCTCTATCAGCGTTTTTACGACTTGTTTTGTCAGTTGTTCACATGCTTTGGATGCTTTTGTCAGGGGTGCATCAATCAAGAATTTTGATGTGAATTCTGATTCTTTTCAGAGAAATTGGCCAACAGAAGGGATTGTTTTTTGTTTTTGTGTGTGTATATATGCAAAGGTTTTAGGCACCTGAGAAACTGATATTTAAAAAGCTGAACATAATACAGATAGTTATTACAGGAAATATTGATTTTATGCGTGTGCTCCTTTAACCATTTCCAAACCTGTCCTCATGACTGCCCAGTATTAATTATAGTTCTCAATTTATGCTTAATTTGGCTCAAGCAGTTGAAACAAGTAGATTACGTTCTCTGACATCAGGTGTGTTGGTGGTGGATTTGAACAAATCCATGCGATGGCTGGTGAAGGTGAAGTCCAAAAACCAACCTTTTTTTGAAAAAACAAGACATTCTTGTATCTTTTTACCTTATTTTTTTATTTGTATTTAGGGCTGAAACAATTATTTGACTTATTATTTGATTATCAATAATATTGACAAAAAAAATGTCAACAAATATTTTGTTTACGTTTATACTTTCAAAGTGATTTCCAGCCTTAAGGGAGTTAACATTAGTATTAGCCAGCTAATTATGGCTGTTTTCACATCACCAGGCTGAAGTGGCACAAATCCGTTTTTTTGCCCTGATGTGACTCAGATCTGATGTTTTCAGGGCTGTGTGGACACACAAATCTGATCTTTTCAAATCTGACCTGAGCCACTTTCATATGTGGTCCTAGATCGGATACGTATCCGATTCGTGGCCATGCAACCTTAACTTGACGCTCAGATCGGAATTCGTGTTTTTTTTCACTGTGCGTGCGCCATCATTCAGCGTTACCATGGCAACAGCGCCAGATGGAAGTTGAAGCCTGTAAACGGTGGAAAAGCAACACATCTCACCTTTTTCTCCTTCGTCTCGCTCTAATAATGAAGCTGAGAGCTGATCAGAGTTAATTATCTTCTCAGCGAAGCTCGTTCTGCTCGTTAGTTTGTGCTGATGACTCACGTGATTCATTCACGTGACGTTACTGAGTAGGATGTGTTCATGCGGGTCATTTCAGGACGCCGGTTCGTTCACATTAATGACAGATTTGAATCACATACCTAAACAAGTGTGAACCAACTTGTCAGAAAGATCGGATTTGAGCGAAAAAACGGATTTGAGAAATGAGGCTTGTAATGTGAACGTAGACTATATATAACTGATTATTTAGCTTAAAATACATCTAATTTTGTAAACACATGAAAAAATTATACCTGCTCGTCATGGAAAACTGTTCACACAGAGTTCTTCTAATGAAATAGCAGCTTAAATTACGCTGCGCTCTGAAGAGCTAAAGACTGAATCTATTTACTACATCATTTATTTTTATCTTTTTCATTATTAACTGTAGGTCAAACAAAGCACTGTGTTTTTCCCATGGTGGTAGTTTTGCTTGTTTAACAATAACTCAGTTTGTTAGAACATCGGCAAACATTTTATTGATACAGCTCTTCACATTTAGAGGCCATATCTAAGCCGATTAATCATTATTAGTTGATTAATTCACACGAATAATTAACTATCAAAATATTATGGGATTTTTTGCATCCCTGTTTGTATTGAAATACTTTTAACAGGTACAAACACATTTACTACTGAGATAAATGGTTGCTTTTTGCATAGTACTGTTTGTGTTACTGAAAGTAACAGGCAACATATACAGTAATCTTTGTCTGATCTTTATCTGAAGTGTTTTGCAGGCTAGCTGAATGCACTGATATACATCATGCGAGTTGGAGGGTTATGTGGGCGACAGACTCACATAATTTACACGCCCTCTTCACACGCTTAAAATATTTTACAACTGATATTTTTGACATAATCTTGCAGCAGCATTTGAATGCAGCACGTGTTCCACTGGCTCACATTATTGATGTCACAGAACAACACAGGTCGGCTCAAATAAAAAAAATTGGCTAACTGTTTGTCGACTGTATCAGACGTTAATCTGACTGATTCCAATCGTGCACCCCTAGCTTTCGTCGGTAGTTTCACTCTTGTGACTGCTCACATCTGCTCTGCAGGTAAACTGTCAGATATGAAGTCCACCTGGTCCCCGGGTCCCATCTCCCACACCCAGGCCTCCCTGTCCCACGAGCTCTGGAAGGTTCCTCAGGGTCCGCGGAACACCACGGCCCCCACACGGCCCCCGCCAGGTCTCACCAACACCAAGCCCTCCTCCACCTGGGGAGGAAATAGCCTGGGCCTGGTGCCTGGCTGGAGCAGCTCATACTCCTCAGGTACTAAGCTGTATAATACTGTATAATGTAAACATGATCAACGCAAGTTAGTCAGACAGCTAACAGAAGCGTGGATCGCCAATAAGAATGTAGTTGAATTGCCAGTCACAGTGTAACTGAGGTGCTGATATCCAATCAGAGTGTAACAGAAGTGCTAATATCCAATCAGAGTGTTACTGAACCTTGATAACCATAGTGTAACCAAGAGTACTGATAGCCAATCACAAGGTAACTGAAGTGTGAATGTCCAGTCAGTGTAACTGAAGTGCAGAAAGCCAGTTAGAGCTTAATAAGTCAGAGTTCTAGGAACTTGTGGCTGTGGTAGAGAACAGTACATGTGAGTCTGTGTGTACCTCTGTGGGCGGAGTTTCAGAGGCTGAAACTAGAGCACCCCAGGATGAAACACCTTACACCCTTTAGTTAAGTGTTAAAGCCACTGAAAACAACAACGGTTGGAAATATGGGTGTGGGCACCTCTTCACCAACTGAGGGAAGTACATCAGTAGCATAATTAGTAATTAGTATTGCTCAGGCTGTCTGTGTCTGGCTTTCTCATGCTGCCCTCAATTTGGCGAGGAGAAGTACACTATTGGTTGGCCTTCCTGTCTGAAGCTCTGTGGTCAGCCACACAGACAATGTAACAAAAAACAGTTGTTCATTATTAGTTCAGCAAAAGAAAAGCAGATGAACTGCTGAGAAGTTTTTGTCTAGGTAGCAATTTGTTATTTTGCTAGCTTTCAAGTATTGACTTAATTATGGCCTTACTAATTTTGCAGCCTTAGGGTGTGTTTATACTTGAAGTTCGGTTCCCAAAGCAGAAGATAATACCCTGTTTGACATTGAACCAAAATATGAACCTTGTTGAAGTATGCAGATAGAATGCAGTAGATTTGGTGACAATAATGTGTGATAATACCCACTGAACTTTCGTTGAGCTCAGGGGTTTTATGTATGTTTATGTGTGTATGGTTTGTGATACTCTACTAATAGTAAGCCATGAGAAGCAGTGCGTTGTAGTGGTTCTAACACAACGTGAAGCAGGAAGAAATCACTGTACGACAGCCTTGACTTGTTTTTATTAAACAGCAAAAACGTGATGAATTAGTAATGTATTTGATGCGTGCAGTGGTATGTGTGTCATTCATTTTAGAATGGCTTCAAACATGCCTCAGCCTTAACTCAATAACTGAAATTATCCAGATTACAGTTACCAATTTAGAGTTCATGATGAGATGAGGAAACACATGTACAGTTTAGGCAGTCAAATGATGTTTTGTTGATTTTCTTAGTGAAAATAATTGAACACATCCTCTACAGAGAACACACTTCTGTGCATTTTAATGTACAATTACTGTTCATTTGCTGAATTTAACATATTATAATTATAGTATGAAATGTAAGATGCGGCCTGTGCAAAAGTTAGGGAATTATGTAACTTCTGCATTAAAACTGTATGTGGATGGAAACCTAGCTACTGTCTGGTTAAGCCAGGCTTATAAAGTCTTAACAGATTTCCAAAAACATGGAGAATTTCACATTTAACGGTGTTCGTTTTAAAGGTACTACATGGAGTACGGACAGCTCCACTAGGACCAGTAGCTGGCTGGTACTGCGGAACCTCACACCACAGGTACAGCAGCACAGAACAGACTCACAGTGCTTTCTGGAAAGAAAAAGTCTAATTTTATCCGCTTTAAACGTGCTTTTGTGTGTGCGTGTATCTCCTAGATTGATGGTTCTACACTGCGGACGCTGTGTATGCAGCACGGCCCCCTCATTACATTCCACCTCAACCTGACGCAGGGAAACGCTGTGGTGCGCTACAGCTCCAAGGACGAGGCTGCCAAAGCCCAGAAATCCCTGCACATGTATGTCTCACCTTCCTTATTCTTATCCAGCAGATGTTTGATCGATAGAACTTTATAAATCAACAAAGGGTGTTATGACCTGCCTGATTTCACCTTCCTGTGTTGCAGGTGTGTGCTGGGCAACACCACTATCCTTGCGGAATTTGCTGGAGAGGAGGAGGTGAACCGTTTCTTTGCACAGGGTCAGTCCCTCACGCCCACCACCAGCTGGCAGGCCAACCCGGGCACCAATCAGACGCGGCTGGGGGGCGGAGCGGCTGGCACCTCGCACCCCATTGGCCACTGGAACAGTAGCAGTCTGGGAGGAGGAGGAGGAGGAGGAGGGGGCGCTGGGGGAGGAGCCGGGAGCGGGGCCAAGGCGGGCAGCGAGCTGCTGTGGGGCGGAGTCCAGCAGTACTCCAGCCTGTGGGGGCCGCCCAGCTCGGAGGATGGCCGAGTGGTGGGCAGCCCGACGCCAATCAACACGCTGCTTCCTGGAGACCTGCTGAGTGGAGAGTCCATGTAGAGACAGGCCAATCCTCGAGGAGGAGAGATACGGAGTTTATTGAAAATAAAAAAACAGGAAATTTAAAGAAAGACTTGAAGAAAACAAACAAACAAAAAAAAAGATCCACACAGGAGCAAAAACCAAGCAAATCAAATCGTGGCGATAATCAGCATCAGTGGAACTGTGAACCAAGAGACAGGAGGTTGAGGCAACACTTAAAAAGCGTAAAAGGCTGCTGACCTTCTTCCTCTTCTCCTCCTTATTTTACATCATTTCATTTGTGTTATTTTTTTCTGTATGGTTACAGTATTCTGTGTAAGACTTTTGGAGAAGAGAGAAGTACCCAGTTGCTATAAACAAAAGGAAAGAGAACCTTTACTAGACTTTCTCTGATAAACTGAAAGTGTATTTTACTACAAAACGAGACAAGCTGCCATTTTTGAGAGTCCCCTGGCACTAGCCCTGCTCCCGAGCAAACAGTGTACAAGCCCCTCCCCCAAAGAAACGCATCATTCCGATTGGCCCTTTTCCCTTTAGATTGGATCCATTGCTTTTTATTCGTCTGTTTGAACAGCACTAAACTTTTAGCCTTAACTGCTTACCAGCCCCCTCTACCACAGTCGCTCTGGGCTTACTCTGGGGATTGCACTTTTGTACTTATTTTTGAGCCAGCGGAGACGAGAGGAAAGTTACACGTTTGACCTCACACGCACTCGCCCTCTCCTCCAGGCCCGTCCGTCCGCGAAGTTATCTAAGGATCGGACCCGCGGCCGGTGCTTCAGAACAGGCTGAGGGAACAGTTGCCCGGCATATGTGTGCCATATTATTAACCACTGTCTTCAGAACACTTCAACATGCACCGCGCAGAACCAGATGGTTACATTTCCTTTACTCCTCTATCAGCTCCATGAATGACCTCAAACTTTGGAACCTGGAAAAAAAAAAGGAGGAGAAGCCCTAGTTCATGATTGTCTGACGTGCAATATGCCACAGACTCTTCCGTCCATCTTTACGCAGTGCTTATTAATGCTGGTGAAGTTTTATTTTTTAAGTTTGGGTGGGGTTGGGACAAAAAACAAAAAAAAACTTTTCTCCTCCCACATCGCAAGAGCGGGACTTTAAAAAAAGGAGGAGGAGCTTTTTTTTGTGTTGTGTGTGTGAGCCCTTAGTGAAATCGTCACTAGCACTTCCTCAAAACACACACATGCGCAAACAAGCGGAGTGACTACAGGGGGACACGGGCTTCAAACCAAATAATAGGTGTTTATCGTAACCCAGTAGACAAGGTGCATTTTATGTTGTATTTGGTACAAAAGAGTAGAACAAAGAGACTGGTTTAAAGAACGAAAGAAAGTGTGGTTTATCATAGCACTTAGCAAGAGCGTCAGGCTTTGACCTTCTTCAATGCCAACAAAATTACACATGGAGAGACGAAACTGAAAAAAAAGCAATGAAAAAAAGCAATCTACGGCTTCTCCATGCTGTTTTTTTAAACTCTAAATGGTTTTCTTTTTTTTTATTATTATTATTTTATTTGTCCCTCCATAGTCTACAGACTTGGATGGATCTTTATAAATGGTAGCAAATGAAGGGTAGTTTGAAGAAGAAGAAAAAAAACAAAAAAAAGCAAGACTGATACTAAAGCATTCATTTTGAGATATTATTATATATCAAAGTAAATATCACTGTTACAGTAACTCCAAAATGTTTAGCCTTTTGTCTGGAGACGCTAGACGTGTCGTCTCGTCAATGTCGTGACGGATCCTGCGGGGCCTGAAACCCCGCCTTCCTGGATGAAAAATGGCCACTGAGTGCCTATCTGCTGTGCGCTAGAGCTTATAGCGCAGCTACTTCATTAAAAAAAAAAAAAAAAAAAGAAAGAAAGAAAAAACTGAACTGAACTGGCCCTTCAGTACTACTGCGCCAGCACCCGACCTCCAACTCCACTCTCTAAAAACTTTCTTCTCATGCAAAGATCACTTTAGCTGGAAGTGGTGGACAAGACCTTATTATTATTTTCAGTCATTGGTTGTTTTTATTTTACTGGAATTGCCAGTGTTGTTATTTTTGTCAACATTGCTGTTGCTGTTATTGTTGATGATGATATTTTGCGCTTTTTTGTGTGTATATGTGTGTCCATGCAGTGGTCTTTAACGGTAGCTGCTCTCACCAGCCCCTTTCACTGCACATATGCAGGAACACTCGTAAGAGTGAGAGTAAGAGACGCTTACATTTTGCAACCGTTCCCGGTCAGCCGGTCATGCTGATCTCGAACGATCTAGAGTCCGATCTAGAATGAAGTTTTATGATGGGTTTGGGTTTTTTTTTTTGTTGTTTTTTTTTAATGGTTCTCTTATAGATGGACTGAGATTTAGGGGCAAACCCTACTGGAACGAGGAACTGGGTGGAGATCTCAGCCTGCCTTCTTCTTTTTCTCCTCATCCTCCATCTCACCCTCTTCACATTGACCTCCCCTCTGTCCTTCACGTTCTCGCGCTGTCCTGCAAGGCTACACTCTCCCTGGTGCTGAAGACGAAGCGCGACTGTAATTTCCACGCCGCCTCTCAACGTAACAGTAATAAAAGCAAATGATAAACGGAGACGCCGCTCTCTTCTTCTATGCAAAGACTGACCGAGAGGCGCATGGTCACAGCCATCGAAATACGAACCCCACCACTCTCTTCTCGTCCTCTTAGATGTCCACTTTTCCTCTCTGAGCAGGCAGCTTCCTGTTTACGTGAGTCCATTAATCATCAGGCCCTTATCGTTTACGCTCTTACACTGTCTGTACACGCAGTCTCAGGGCAGGCTCACAGAAATCCCACCTTAGTTCGTCTTCAGGAGGATGCCAGATGTCTCTTATCGCTTTAATTTAATCTCATGGTCGCCTCCACCACATAATCAGATGTCCATGGAACCTTGGCTCCGTATATTTGTTGTACATTTGGAGATGGAGAGGTAGAATGCAGGCTGAAATCAAGAAATCGAGAAGGACAGGTAGCACCTTGTCCCAGGTAACAAAAAGAAAGACCTGGACGGACTGCTGAGAACTAAAACAGGGATTATTCCAGAATGCTTTGGTGCACTGTAGATGGTTCACATCGGGTACATCATCTTTTAAACCAAAAAGGAAAAAAAAAGTTTTTTTTTCTTTTTAAATCTGTTACTTTTCATATGAACCTGTAGTACACTCTTCAATCTTTGGCTGAAGTGCTTCTCTCTGCAAGCCTTTTTTTTAACGCCCCAAAGCAGCAGTCGGCAGGACGAATGCTGAACTGATGGTATTCAATTCTGTCCAGGGGCGAAATATTTTCACAGATGTGGGCCCAGGTGGGGCCCCTCTGCTTCAGGAGGACGAGGGTTGCTGCATGTCAGTTGGTACCAAGTCTTAAAATTGGCAAAAACGCCCTGAAGACTTCTGAAGCTTTGTGTTTTTCGTCAGACTCGAGTGACACTAGTAACAATCACTATTGCCTGTTTGTTTGTTTTTGGGTTTTCTATTTTCTTCCAACTGCCTTGCTTTAAAGCTGTACTCGAAGCCACCAGACTGTCAAAGGAACATCCTACTGTGGGGTCGACTGACGAATCCCCATGAACACCAAGCTGCTGCATGATCCAGAAAGCCTCTCCGTCTGTTTGCAGCTCGCCAACAAGCATCCAGCCACCACTACGGACAAACTGGATTATTCTAAAGCACCCAACTCGCCAACCTGAGCGTAGAATACGAGCGATCAATCACAGGACTTGTTTTGGGGGGTGTGCCGGGGGGGGTGTGGGATCCAATCTTTTCTCCAAGGTCCTGGGTAGAATATGCACACGCTGGTTGATATACATGCACATTTGTAAGCCTATGTATGTATATAACTGGTTTTATCTCTACACTTAATTTCCCTTAACGTACGCTCCCAGGCCTAAATCAGCCTCCCCCCCCTTACGTCTTTCTGTACGTACCCAGATACAAAAAAAAAAAGTATAAACATATCAATTAGACAAAATGAAAGAAATACAAATACTTGAATCAAAAGAAGCGCCAATAATGTAATGTGAAACTTTTTGTAATCTTTTTTGTCATTCATACACTTCCAAGCTTTTTTGATAACGGTTCAAAACGAGCTAAAAAAAAGGAAAAAAAAAAATAACGCAAGATGACATCTATTGTGTGTGGGTGTTTGCACAAGACTGTGTGTACTGTATGAAGAGTGAATGTGCTCAAAGGTTCAAACGTGTGTGTGGTTACAGCGGGTTTGATCCCAACTTTTGGTTAAATTCAGTAATTTTTTTCTTTTTTTTTTGCATTTATTTTTAGTTTTTTCGCTAGTCAGTAGTCAGAAATATATTCGGACGTGTATTGTTGTCGTTATTAGCTTCTAGCGTTGCACTGAGTGTCTGCCTCCCCTCTTTCAGCTAATCGTACAACATGAAATAAAGTACTGAGGGACGAGGTGACAATTCATGTGTTAATGTTTACTCAAGGACTTATTGAGGAAAAAATGTGTTTTTTTAAATATCTGTAATGATTATCTACCTTGTAGTGGCTTTTATTGTGGAATATTCCATAACAAAAATGGATTATTATGAGTATTGCACCATTTTTTCCAGATTATAACAAAAAAAAACGCAAAGGTAAAAAAAATTAAAAATGGACAAAAAATATATATGTAAAAAAATGTGGCCATAGATTGGTTTAGAGGGACTTGTAACTCCATCTAGAGACCTAGTTTGTTACAAGGCTCAGTTCAGAGGTGCCTACCTTTTGCTTTTTTCTGTATCTTTTTTTTTGTTTTTTGCAAGGCCACCAACAGTTTACAAGCATTTCATTTTTTCCGAAGAAGGAAGAGGAAATTACTGTGGGAATGTCAGGAAAAAACAAATAAAAAAACAACAAAAAATGACAAAAATTAAAAAAAAAAAACGAAGGACATACTTCCATCACGAATAACAAACACTTTACAGAATGAAGATTATTGTGCTACTTGCAGAACTCTGGGATCGATCAGTGTTGTCATATTAATTTTTTTTTTTTAATTTCTATGTTGTCAAATGTTGATTTCATGGACTATTGAAGCCTGTATGTTTTTTCCTTTGTGAAAAAAGATATAATTGCTCACTATCTTGCACACACGTGAAAAAGTGGATCATGTCTCAGGAAGGCAAGGGTTCCAGAGTACCAACTCCACGCCATTTTAAATGTTCATTTTTATGAGGAGAAAAAAAAAAGGATTAAGAAAATTAAGCACTGAAGGTTATGGATTTCAGAAGAAAAAAAAAAACCTTGTTTCTAAATCCGTAGCAGTTACATATTTACCAAATAATGGACTCTAAATGAACTTTAAAAAATGGAGTGCTTTATATATAAATCTATATATTAAAATTGCTTTACATTTTAAATAATGATCGATTGTTCAAGACAGTGAAATAACATACGAGTGCTGTATGTTTTAATCTTTATTGTATTTTCTTAACATGAGGTCCCTTCCTGTTGAAATCAGGAGCATTGTGCATTACAATTTCTTTCCTTTCTGTCATTCTCTCTCGTGGCGGGTATTACTTAAAGGGGATTTTTTAAAATTTCTGCGTAATTCAGACTTGAGACGTGAACAGAGTCATTCAGCGTGGTCTGATGTGAAGTGGTTCACTGAAGAGAAACTTGCTGACTCTGATTTCTGATATTTGTGTGTAATAGCCATATTGTTTATTATAGAATATCACCAGTGAACCTACACGTGTCTTCTGAGTTATTATGTGATGTTGTTGATGGTCAATCTGGGGAAAAAGGTCTCTGGGGACTATTTTGCCTCACAACGCCCTACATGTACCCCTCTACCATGAATGAATGGAACTACATTTAAGCCCAAAGCCTTTTCAAAACCGTCGTGAAACAACGTCTCAGGCATCAGGCAGCGTTTCCATTTAAAAACTTTCTATGAGGCATTAAACTCTTCAGACGTCTGGTTCCTATCACCACCACTGTGAAAACTGACTCTAGTTTCTGCATAACGAAGCATTTCACATCAAACCACTCTGAACGACTTTGTTTACATCTCAACCATTTAATTAGGCAGAACTTTTGGAACTTTGGTGGAATTCCCCTTTAAGGAAAAATGTATAAAAGCATTTCTTTCTACATCGATTTGAAGGATTGAAAGATAGCTGGTTTATAAGGATCATGATCTATGCACAAGTCGGGTGTTGGGGTATTAAAGACCCCTGTAGCCCATCTCTCATGGGGTTTGTTTGGGGATTCTGTGTCCTTCCATTGTTACGTAACTCCTCCCCCCACCTGTCCCGCCCAAACGTATTCCTATCTGCATTTCTTATTAACCTTATATTACAGTACTTCGCCATGCTGTGTATTCCTAAACCAATGAGCGTCTCATTCTAAAGCACTGTGGGTTTTTGTAGCCCGTGACAAGGGTGTCTGTGTTTATCTCTTTCTTTCTCTTTCTGTTTGTGTGTGTGTGTGTGTGTGTGTGTGTGTGTGTGTGTGTGTGTGTGTGTGTGTGTGTGTGTGTTCATTAGGGTCCGGGTGGGGTAGAGGGACAGGGTTGCTTTTTGCCTTTTGATTTAAAATATTAAGGAAAAATGTCTGTACTGAGATTTTAATATGTCAGTGGCTTTTAAATGTTTTTTCTCTCTATTTCTCTTTCCTCATAGAATGTGATTGTTGATGACATGCACCGAAAAATGTTTCATGAAACGATGGAGCTTCTTTCAAACTATTAATAAATTGCATTTTTTCTTGGCTGTAAGATGTGGATTATATTTTGCTACAAATACAGAACTGCAGATATTTAAATGCTTTGAAGACACTGTCAGAAAGTATCACCATCATCTCCAAAAACAAAGAGTTATGCAATTATCTATCTATCTATCTATCTATCTATCTATCTATCTATCTATCTATCTATCTCTACATATATCTATATATGCTGTCAGAACAAAACCTTGTATCTCTAAAATGGTGACTTTACTTTCAATGGAAACAGACCTTTTTCCAGTCAGTCTGGATTGTTTCTTTTAGTCCATTCATCATGAAATTTATAAACAATGTAAAGGGCAACAGGCTTTTTTAAAATTCTGTCAAAAATGGAGATACAAGGTTTTGTTCCAACTAAAATATATATAGTTGGAACATATGCAAACAGTGACAATTTTACATAGTTTTTATTATATAATAATTATATTATTTTACTATTCTGCACCACAAAGCTATATACATACATACATTTATATATATATACATCGCTGTCCAAAAAAAAGTATCTCCAAAATAGTAGCTTTACAGGAAGAGGCAAAAACACTCTTACCTCTCAATGTAAGCCCATGTAAAGAGATTTTATTCCAAGTGATTTTAGAGCTTTTCTGTTGGTCCCTTCACGAAATTTTCACACGATGTAAAGGACGGCTGGTGTAAATTGACAAAAATGTAGATTCATGTTTTTCATTGGACAGTGACAATATATATATTGTGTATGTGTGTAAACAAAAACAACAAACAAAAAAGTTCTTTGGATGTTAATGGACCAACATTTTTCTATTGCTCAATCATGAAATTTCAACACAATGTAAAAAATGTCAGCTCCAATTTCCAAACACAGTTAAAAAAAAAAAAAACAGAAATGACAAAAACTGACATACAAGGTTTTGTTCTGACAGCACCAGTAAACACATACACTTACTTTACAACAGTTAAATGCACAGTATTTGGAAGAGGAGTGGAAAATGATTAGTTTAATCAGTCACTGAACAGGAGTATTGCTGATAATACTGTGCAGGAGAGAATATTAAGGGTCAGTTTCCAAAAAAAAGATGAAGCCTGGTTCTGGACTGCAAAGCATTCTAAATGGAGATTCTCCATGTCCCGTACGTCCATGTCCATCTAGGCTTAATCTCTGACCACAAACCCCACCCTGCCTGTCAGAAAGGGATCAAGTTGCACTGATCTATCTCAACAGCTAATGCTGGACTAATCTCCTGCATGTTTGCAGCCTTCCTAGGAACTGCATAGTGACACTCGGGTCGTTCCGCTTTCTGAGGAGCAGCGTACACTGGATCGTTGGCAGGTAGGTACGTCTGAGCCAGGCGGGGGTTTAAAGGCTTGTTTGCAGTCATTTCCTCGTAAATCGGAGCTGCGGTTCTAGGTTCAGTGTGAGCTTTGAGTTTTCTCTGAAAAGACAAGAAACAAGCATTGATTTTATTTCAGTTTAGGATTATTTTGTACTGTAAGCTGCAGTGACGCTGTTATATCCAGCACATTCATACACTATATGTCCAAAAGTCTGTTCATTCAGTGTTTCTTCTCAAATGAAGGAGGGAGTTTGTCCTCCTTGGCTGCAGTTACAGTTTCTGGGAAGGTGTTACAGTCGATGTTGGAACATTGCGGTGTGGATTTGATTGCATTCAGCCACAAGGGCATTCATGAGGTTAGGTACTGATGTTGGCTGACCATTTCGGGATCATAAATTATCCCAAAGGTATTGAAGCTCCATTTCTCCAGAGAACACAGTTCCACTGCTTCACAGCCCAGTGCTGGGGGGGCTTTATACCTCAGTATGGCAACTTTCGGGTCATGTGTGGCTGCTCCAGAGCATCACATGCTATTGGTCAACACTTTTCTATGAAGATTATACAAGCTGTGTGTGCGTAATTGAACTCTGCACCTTAAACCTTTGGACATGTAGTGTAAAAGCAGTGCACGAAGTAAATAAAGGAGCAAAACTTGACCAAGTTTAACACTAAGAGCATCAAGATATCAGTGTCAGCAGCATCATAGCCTGTTAGCTTCTGTGTTAAAACTAAAGAAGCAAACTTCAGACACCAAAAAGGTCTTGGCTGATCCAAGAGATGGTTGAGAGCTTCTTACATAACGTGCAGCAGAAAGGCTTAACAGTGTGAAGAGGAGGAGGCCCACTGCAACAGAGATGGCGTAGATCAGCGAGGAGTGGCCGACACACGAGCAGCCTGCTTCTGTATGTGGAAAGACATCATCAGGAAGAAGCCCCAGAACATTTAAAGCAATATTTGGTCAACTACACACTTGAAAAAGATGGTTCTTCAAGGGTTCTTTAGTAAAGGCAATGGTTCTACTTAGAACCATTTCATGCTTAAATGGTTCTCTGCATGATGAAATGTCTTCAGATTGATGGTTCTATATAGAGCCTTTTGGAAAATGGATCTATGGTTTCATAATGTCAAGTCTGTAACAATAAAAGGACCGTTTCTGGTGCTACATAGAACCATATACAATTCTCCATCAGCCTGAAGAACCATTTAAGCAAGAAATAGTTCTACTTGGATTTCATGGCTCTAAACAGCACCCTGACTAAAGAACCCTTTAAGAATCATCTTTTTTTTTTTAAGTGTACATTTTCAAAAATGTAGATATTCAACAGCATTTGGTTCATTGAAGGTTTTCTATCTGCACATTACGTTGCCGTTTTATTCTGTATGTATTTCAAATGACTTCATAAGTTTTGGATAAGACATTCATAACTTTTAAACAGTTGCAGCCCATCGAAACTACTATAAAAGCCACAACGAAGCATCCACTCCATTCACCCACCTTTAACTTTCACAAGCAGGACGATTTCTGTGTGGACGAGCATCTTTTCTGGATCTGCTGCCGTTGTGAACTCGCACACATACAGGCCTGTATCTTTACTCCTCAAGTCCAACAGAGTGACGTTTATTACACTCAAACTTGGTTGTTTAGAGATTTTGACACGTCCCTTGAACTCTGGCTTAATGTCTTGGTGCTCAGATATGGACAACAACAGATCCTTTTCCCCAGGCTGAGCAGATTTTCGGTACAGATGGAATCCAGTTGGCGGAGCCTTTCCTTGCTGTGGCTCACAGGAGATGTCCACCGATTCTTCTTGTATGCCTTGAACATACAGAACTTCCCTAGATGCTAAAAATATCAAACATATAAAAGTGATCATCAGTGAAGAATAAGCCATACCTGACTTACAAAGAAACAATAAAGCACTGAGGATAATGTAGTTGTTCACTTATAACCAATGGCCCTGAAGAAATACTCTGATTTTGAACACATTAAAAATCTAACTACTAATTAAAAATCCTGAGAGTCTAAATCACACATTTGCCTCAAACCATGTCAGGTTGTTTAGTAATCTCAAACATAATTGCTTGTGTGACTTCTGACACTTCTATCTATACAAATAGACAAAAGTACTTTTAAAATGTAGTCTTCAAGGTGGCTGCTGCTGTTTTTGGACTATGGGTGGATCTGAAAACTCGCCTCATTGATTCCTCTGTCCTCTGTTCTCCATCCCAAAACCCAGAAATCAACTAAAATTCCAGTGATTTTTCAAAATGTCTGCAAAACTTAGTTGAGATGTAGTCATGCAAAGTGGTTTAATGTACAGACAGTGGTGGTTAAAGGATCCAAGTCTTGCGATGTCCACCACACTGCCATTCTTTACTATTCAAAACATCCAATCAACCTAGTCTTTTAGGTTTTCATATGTAATACAGATAATGGTAAAACTATGGTAATCTTTAAAAAATAAATAACTAAAACTGGGGTAAAATCAAACAATAGACTCTTTTTATTGAATGATTTCAGTTAATAGGATGTCACTGTGAAAGGATAATGAAGTTAATTAAATAGTTGCTGGATTTTATTTAAGCATGCCTATGTGAAAGGTCATTATTTAAGGTCATCATTATGTTTTTAATATCTGCAGACATTTATGTCCTGTGATGAAACAGGTTATGTAAGTGATGAGTGGGAGGAGGACACATCATTTGGTAAACCATCCATTCCCGTCCTCCAGTCCTCAGAGGAAGGAGCTAATGACGCAAATAGAAATGCAAGCAGAGGAAACGAAATGCACAATTAAAGATATGAGATGCCGCCTATGTGACACTTTTGTCCAAGTGAATTGTGAAGGCTGCGGCTGTAGCTCAGGGGCCTTGCATAGCATGGCCTTGGCTATGTACCACTTAAGCCCACCTTACCTCAAAAAAATAAAACAACAGAAATAACTTTGTATATGATGACTTAATATATATAGAAATTACATTGTGTTTTTAGACTGCAATGATGAGTTTTTGAGCATTTGTTTTAAGTAACAGCTCAGACTGTACAGACATTTGTCTCATTGGTCCCACAAAATTCTTTAAAATGATGTCAAGGATGAAGTTCTCATGGTGAATTTATCATGTCAGTTCCTCAGCATTCACTCAGCATATTCAATCTCAAGGTTTTAAAAAAATCAGCTCAAACTCACAGTAACCAAGATGTTTGTTTATAAGACAAGCAATATATACATATATATGTATATACATGTATATATGTATATATATGTGTGTGTGTGCGTGTGAATGAAAGGAAATTCTGTTGATTTACGTATACCTGTTGCCCTTTACATTGTGTGTGAATTTCATGATAAACCAACCAAAGGTAACAGCCCAAAATGACCTGGAAAAAACTCTGGTTCCACTGACCAACATTAAAAGTATGTTTTTTCCTTCTCCTGTAAAGTTACCATTTTGGAGATACGAGGTTTTATCCGACAACACACACACATATATATATATATTTCACCGATCAGGCATTGTCCATTTTATCAGCTCCACTTACTATATAGGTGCACTTTGTAGTTCTACAGTTACAGACTGTAGTCCATCTGTTTCTCTGCATACTTAGTTAGCCCCCTTTTACCCGGTTCTTCAGTGGTCAGGACCCCATGGACCCTCACAGAGCAGGTACTATTTGGGTGGTGGATAATTCTTAGCACTGCAGTAACACTGACGTAGTGGTGCTGTGTTAGTGTGTGTGCTGGTACAAGTGGATCAGACACAGCAGTGCTGCTGGAGTATATATATATATATATGCTATAAATATTTTCATCAGATTTTGTTTCTTACTGTAAGAGCTGTAGGAGGCAACTTTTCATCATCGTAAACTAATCACTGTCATTAACTAGCAAACTTACTTTTGCTTACTGCAAATAATCTAGAAATCAAGCTTCTCCAATAGCAGGAGAAGCTAAAAAGTGCTGTTGAGAACTCAGCTTCTAGTAAGTATATTTCAACCTTTGGTCAGTATTCTGTATTAACTGTATTTTAAAGTCATGCCTTTATTTGCTTTCAACTGTATTCGTCACAACACTTTACACCAGAATACATTTTAAAGCATTCTTAACCCATTTATGACAAACAAATGCAGCATCTGGCTGACTGATAAAACAGGTTTCTAAAAAGAGGTGAATCATTTAATACTGCTACTCCAAACAACTTCAAAAAATTTATTTGCAGAAAATTCACATACCCATTGTTTGCTCCAGTAAAATCCAAATGAGAAGGTGGAGAGCTCTCATGGTGCCCTGAAGGGTCTAAACGAGCCCAAAAACTTCAACACAGGCAGGGCAGAGACTTCACTGTGGGCAGGAAAGCAGGCTATACTTTTCGTTTTAGCAGAAGCGTTACACCACGTATCAAAGCACAGGAAGTTCTGGTAAAACTCCAAAGAGTGATCAAGAAGTCACGCAAAATGTTTATATAATGTTGAAGAAAGATAAAATGAAAACAGTCAAAGAAAAAAAGAATACAATATACGTTCTTTACTGTGCACTTTATTTTAAATTTGTGAAGAAAAATATAAACTTTCTTTGTGGCGCCCTCTACTGGCAGTATGTTCACACTGGACAAAGTTTATTTCGTTCCTCTTTTTAATTTTGAAACTAAATTTAATGGAATAAAGAGATCAAAACGCTCCAATTTCTTACAAAACCTGTTCAAATGGAAACATTTTGAAAACATCTGAGCACCTACACCTGCTTTTTAACATTCATACTGCAAACAGGCAACACAATGTTGGGAAAAACACTGGATACAGTTGTTCTGTACACTGTAATTTCAACAAAGTGGGAAATCAGGTGAAGTGAATGAGTAAGATTCATACTACATTGTTCTTGAGTGACAGGAATCAATCAAATGTAGCATCAGATTAATTTCAAAAGGTGGGTCATTAAGCATTTGTTCACTGGCTTGGCAGCATCACTGTGGGTGTGAACTGGAGAAATCAGAATAACAGATCAATGATGAATGGGGTAGAGGCGGCTTATAATGCGTGCTGCTGCAAATGGGCAACAGTTGAACTGTACACGTATAGACGAGTGACAAATTAAAGGAGAAACCTTAATAAATGAGTGCAGATGCTTCCAGACAGATGTTCTGCATGACAATCAGTTAACATCCTATGAAGCTCTGTGGCATGTATGAAATGTTGAGTACATCCAGTTGACCTTTCATTTTATGTTAGGATGGCAAGAGGAAGAAGTGATTTTAAAAGAGGGATTATTATTGGTGCATGGTTGGCAGGTGCTTCAGTCACAAAGACTGCTCAACTGGCCAGCATTTCAATAGGAACTTCAGTAAGGGACTTTGCATTTTGATCTATGAGAAAGTCATCAGTTAACAGGTTGGAAATTGTGGCACACATTGAGTGAGCGCAGTGCTCCTGCAGTCACACGATATGTAGGAGGAACTGTTCCTCCTGTGACTGAGAATGTCAATGGAGATCGTGATCAGATGGTGTCAGTAAGAAGGGTCCATCCACCAAACAGAGAAATAGTCAGGCTGCAGCACATAAACCTCTCCTTACAAAGACTAATGGCCATGTGAGAGTTCAGTGGTGCGGAAACCACAGACACAGGTCTGTCGAGATGTGGGAAACAGTGATATGGTCAGATGAACTGATCCTTCACCATATTCTCCACAAGTATGCAGCATACACCAAGAAAATGGAACAGGCCTGAATGCTTGACCCCTACAGTGAGTGGGTCTGTTGGCTCTGTTATACTGTATTGGACATTTAGCTGGAATGGATTGGGTCCCCTTGCACTCCTAGAAGGATGACACCATCCTCAGGGCACAAAGGGTCACTGAATGCTTTGATGAGTATGCAGATCTTATACTGTGATCTTCACAGTCACCTAGCTTCTGGTGGTTCGCTGTGGCCCAACACCTCACAAAGACACTTTATTATTTTTTTCCCTTTAATTTGTCACTCGTCCGTATACAGTGGACCTATTAGGTAAGTGGAGCTCAAAGTAGCCAGTGAGAGGAAGTACAAGGCAAGGATCTCTAATCAATGGGCAGCCAGTGTAGACATCATATAACAACAAAAACAGCACAAACGACATTTTAATTATTACATACAGACTCAAAATACACATCGGCTGTGTTTACTGAATAAAAAAAAAGAAGGAAAAAAAAACAAACAAACCTACAGTGGAGCACTGTAACCCAAATGTACTGCAAGAAAGAAACTTAATTGATATAAAATAATTCACAGGCTACATTTAATCTTGGAAAAGAGGTGATAAGCTTACATACTGAGAAAACGAAGCTTTTGAACATTTTAATGTTTATTAAATAAAAGGTGACAATTACGTGTGAATGCATGTCTGTATGTATCCACATTTAAAGTCCCAGGGAACACAGTGTAAAATGTTTAAAAAGTTTGACACTCAAATTTAGTGCCGTGTAATACATCCAGCAAACCTAAATAAATAAATAAAATAAATACATAAACAGAAATATAAAACAGAAATACAATAAAAAATGGCTTAAACACTGTTGATCAGACCTATGTGAGAACTGTCTGGGCACAGTCCTAGTTTTCCGATGAGCACCCATGATTGACAGCCGTTAGACCACCGCTCCCAGCCTGCTACGACAGTGAATCAAAACTAAACATGAATGAAATGGGCTGTGCATATCACTGTTGTCGGATAAAACCTTGTATCTCCAAAATGGTAACTTTACTTTACAGGAGAAGGGAAAAACATACTGTACCTTTAATGTAAGTCACTGGAACCTGAGTTTTTTCCAAGTCATTTTTGGTCATTTCTTTTGGTTCATTCATCATGAAATGTACACACAATGTAAAGGCCAACAGGCATTTTCAAATTATGTGAAAAACTGAAAAACGACAAAAACGGAGATACAAAGTTTTGTTCCGACAGCAGCGATATGCAGTTCACACTCTAGTTTCAACCCTGAGTCCATGATTCAATAAAAACATTATCCAGCTTTAACATGGCGATGTCCTAAAAAAGGTAAAGTTCTTGTTCATTTTTCTGGAAGTGATTCCAGGGAGCGCTGCCATGGCCAGCTGAACAAACAACCAGATGGAGAGGCAACAGGCAGATGATCTAGGATGCTACTTTAGCTTTCACTTGGTTGTTAGCTTTCACACTGCAAGTTTTTCTGGCTCAAACACAAAAAGACTGTAGGAGAACAGTTTTGAAAAAGCTTTGCAAACAGGACAACATATCAGCTTTGTGATTGCTAGGAATACTGCTTATGTACGTGTGACTGGAAGATCAGGGCTGCCTGGTTTTAGAATTGTGTTGAAATACATCAGCCATTTAGTAGACATTGGAAAGAACATACTTGCATGTATATAATGCACCCACAAGAGCAATACTAACCTACTTAAAGAAAACAGACTTAAGTTCCCTGGGGCTTTAAAAGCTTTTGAAGTAGTAGAGTATTTTTTACATTAAAATGCAATTTTATCCACACAAACATCCAAATTCCTGTACTTACCACTGCACTCAGGTGGGCTAAATGAACTGTTAAAACCTGATATTATGCAAATCACTCGTCAAATAAACTTCCAATAATATTAAAGTTTATGGCAACCTAGATCAACAATGTTTGAAAGTTTTGATGTATTAAAAAATAAAAAAGGAGAGAGAGTACAGATAAAGGTATGAAGTACACATTTAGGAGAACATGAGGCTGGTTGTCACAGCACTACTATCTCGTATTTCCAGGTGGAGCTGTCTAGCAATACTAAGAGTGAAATGTCATATTTTGAGGGCAGAGGGTCATATAGCTTCTCTTTAACCGCAGGACATTCAACCAGAGGTCAGTTTCTCTTTCGTTAAATCAAAGTCATGGATTGTTTTATGCTAATAATGAGAGGGTTGTGAAAGCACCATAAAAATTATCTTGGTCACTAAAAGGAGGACAAAAATGCAGTATCAGTGCACTGTTTGCGCCCTGACCTCAAGTATGAGGGTCACTAGCATGCCCTTCACCAGTAGTGGAGAAGTAGCTTTATAGCAGGGGTGTCCAATCTTATCCACACTGTTAGAAATAAAGGTTCTGTGCAGGTACATTTTTCGTTCATCAAGGTACAAACAATGTAAATGTTCCCTCAAAGGTACAAGTTTTTTTAAGGTCAAACTGTGAACCTTAAATAAGTTTTTCCAGGTGAAAAGTACATTTTTGTATCTTTTCATAATCTAATGTTTTAAAACAGAACAATAAAATAAAAGCCTGGAGACGAGACGGGGTGTGTGGAGTCAGTACAACTTAGAAAATATCATTTCAATGGATTATGGTTCAATTATGTTCCCTGACTAAAGGTACCGAGATGTACCCTTGAGGGTCCCACCCCAGTGACAAGAGGGGCACTGCCCCAGTTTACTACCTTTATTTCTGGGAGTGCACAAAGGGCCGGTGTGGCTGCAGGTTTTCACTCAAAACAAGCTGAAGCTCACCTGATTCCACTTGTTTAATCAGTTGGTTTCAGTCTTCAAACAGCTGATCAGGTGACCTCCTGCTTTGCTGGAATGAAAACCGGCAGTCACACCAGCCCTCTGTGGATAAGATTGGACACCCCTGTTTTATAGGGTTAGCTGTCACACTTAATTTAGAAATATTTCAGAGGACAATGTCTAACTGTTGTTAAATATTTCTCTTTGATGAGAAATAAACTTTGTTGAAGTCATTCATTATCAGCCGAATATAATTAAAAAAATATAATATAATGCCTGTCTTGGGTTGGTTGTCACAAAAACAAGATACATACACAAAACCTAGCACCCTATTATACCAGTAAGGCCCTACTCTTTTCATGCAGGACAGTGTGACAACCAGCCCCATATTCCCCTACCTGCTCATTCACAGCTGCTGTACATCTGAACCTTCGTTAAAAACACAAGACAGCTCTGAGAAAAGAATAACTGATTGTATGCCCGCTGAGCCAAAATCCAAAACGGTGCATCACTTTGGAAATAAACGCAGAAGACGTTAGTTAATGGACTTCCCTAAATTGAATAAGAATAGGGGCCATCACCAAACCTGCTACAAGTTTGGGGACGTTAAAGTCCAACAGCCATGAAAAGCTGTGAGGGCCCCCAAAGTATGTGATTAAAGAGAGAAAATATGAGACTTGCCTCGGCCTGTACAGGGCACCAGTGAGACTCTACCTCAGCCGGTCCCATGGCATCGCTACAGGGAGAAGAGAAATCCTCAGTTTAGCACAATAAACACAGTAACCGGGAGGCACTACTCTGCTTCAAATTACACCCACTCTTCATCACAGCCAAGCTAGACAACCAAAACTATATTACACTAAATCCCATGGTGATCAAACATGAATGAAAGCATCTTTCATTTTCCTTTTCTTCATAAACCAGTGGCAAATAACATAGAACATTGATTGTGATAGGACATATGAGCCATCCATATTCCTCATATGTCCTCATGGATATCAAGTTTTCCTCCTTACAGTCAAAATTTTCAACAGGGAACCACTCAAGAGAATAACTGAATATGGATGTGAATGTGGTTGTATTGCATGACATTGTTATGCTCTGACAACCACCATCACTGCAATCATGCATTTATTTTCAGTACAAACCTTTGTGGAGAGGTCCTTCCCTCTGTCATGAAGAAACAGTCTTGAGTTTTCAACACAGTTTATTACAGTTTGCATAATAACAATACAGACAATGTTTACATGAGCTATTTATATGATTTTCTTATGCAGATGATTATAAGCAGGCATACAAAGGAAAAACAGTGCTAGCTAACTGAAGCCCTCACCAAGCAAAGCTGGGGACATGAAGTCCAACAGCACCTGAAAGGTGCTGTGAAGGCTTCACTCATTTAGTACAGTAGTATGGTTTACGGAGACTTGCCTGGATAAAAGGTGCTGTACTGTTCACGTAACTCCAGCCGCTTCAAATTATTACGAACCATATTTACTAAACTTCACTTCTAAAAACCTAAACGGAACATAGGGGAAGGAAAAAAAGCCACAAGGTGTGATCGGCAACATCTCACAGGTCCAAATAAAAACGTTAAGCAAAACTGAAAGTCCCATGCGTATATCAGTTCTGTTTTTTTTTTCCTTTTCCTCGTTAGGCGAGTCCAATTAATATTACACTTAATGATTTGGCTTTTTTTTTAAGAACACCAGTAGATGATAAAATGGTTGAATCGCCAAACCTATTGAAGACTGGTGGTGGAGCTTCAATATCGGCCTCCCTGGGACATTACAGGGGGTCTCATGGCCATGGGTGGCCGCGGTGGGGCTCCCTGGAAAGGAGGAACCATTGGGGGGCCTTGCCCATATGTTGGCATCCCCCCTGGCACATAGCCAGGCACTGCCTGAGGTGGAGCACCGTATGGCCCTGAGGTCAACAAAAACAACAGAAATCAAGACAAGTGAACTCTGTTAGTGTAGTTTCTCAATCCTGGTCCTGGAGCCTCAATGCTCTCTATATTTTAGTGTTTTCCAGGTGTGAAACAATTATTTCTAGTGATGCATCGATATGGACTTTTCGGGTAGATATGATAAACAATAATTATCAATATGATCAATATGGATACCAAAACTGATCATTTTACTTTTCTGCATTTTAAAACAACTTTTCACTATAGTCCAAATATGAAGAGCAGTATTATAAGTAGAACGTAGGATGGTTAAAGGTCAATGTGTAAGAAAACTGTACTTTCTTTGTCGGTTCATTTATACGTTACCAGTCACTGTATCTATCATCCAAGAAACTGTGAAATTGGAAGTCTCTGCCAGTTTGGCATATTTCTATTTTTACCCGATTTTCTCCCCAATTTAGTCGTCTCCAATTCCGCCCGCTAGTTAGGACTCCCCCAATCACACGATGCTATCAACGCTAGGAGGGTGAAGGCTAACACAGGCTTCCTCCGAGACCTGTGAAGAGCCACCTCTTCTTTTCGAACTGCCGCTCACGCAACGTCACTGGACAGCCGAACGCGCTCGGAGGAAAGCGCCAACCACCAGATCTGTTACGTCAGCTAACAGACGCCTGCGCTGACTAGCATCGCGCTGAGTGATGGGGGGAGAAGGAGGGGCCATCCTACCCACCCAGAGAGAGCGAGGCCAATTGTGCTCTCTCGGACTCCCGACTACGGACGGCTGTAGCATCACCAGGGATCGAACTCGCGATCTCCTGATGAGGGACAACGTTTAGACGGTTGCGCCACTCGGGAGCCTTGGCATATTTCTAAGGATGCACCAATACAGGAATTGTGTGCTGATGCCTGATATTTTTCATGTGCACATCTGCTGATGCCAGTATTAATGTCAAAATGTAAAAACTTATGAAACTATAAAACATTCAGTAACTGATTTAAGATGGAAAACGCCAAAATATGCAGGTCCTCCAGGACCTGAAGTGGGAAACACTGCATTAAGAGTCTGCTATGCTGATTATTTAGAAATCATGAATAAAAACAAAAAGATGTCATACCGTGCATTGGATGCCTGACTCCTGGCTGCTGTGATGCAATGCCCTGCTGAGGGGGCATCACGCCCCCCATTGGCCCAACCGGGGGGGCGCTGATGTGGGCCTGCCCTGTGCTGGGCATTTTACACTGGTAGCGCGGGAGCTGAGCACGCAGCTCCTCCTATACACAGAGACACACAAGCACACGAGAGCAGACACAACCATCAGTTACACATGACAGAGAATGTTTGCCTTGGTGTAAATACACTGTGTAATCTTACAGACTGCGCTGCACCACAGGGCTGCACCATATGGATTAATACATACTGGTACTGAAACTAGGACATGCTTTGCAATGTCAAATGGTTAAACACTGGCCTGCACTATTCATTTATTTATTTTTACCCATATTTTCTCCTCAGTTTAGTCATGTCCAATTCTCACCTCTTAGCTAGGTCACCCCCCATCATATCATCCTACCAACTGCACTAACAGCTCGATTCATCAAAGTACTGTGACTGGTTAGAAGCTCATTTGCATACTGCAGTCTTCTGCAATATCAGTATTGCAAAGGCCAACACTGCAATAATTAAACAACATATTGCGCAGCCACACTGCAGCACACGTGTCTAAAATTTGTTGCAGCATTCAAAGCAGCTTTAAGTAGCTCAACAAATACATTCAGACCTCATTACTTACTTTAGAAGGACAGAGCTTTACATTTGGACACTTACCAGAGAGATATCCTCATCAGGGTGGATCAACTTACTGGTTGCACTGGTGGTGGTGAGGGTGGCAGGCTTACTTGTGACGGGGGTGGCAGGTTTGGCCACAGTGCTGCCTGTGTTGGCAGCAGGGGCTATCGGCTGGCTGTAGGCCGGGAATGTGGCTTTTGGAGCAGCAGAGGAAGAGGCAGAGGGGCCTGCTGCCGCTCCAGACACACCCTGCTGAGCCTGGACACAGAAAATAGTTCAAATGAGCCATAACAGGAAAGACGTGATCCAGTAGCATTACTATAGTCCATTTCACATTAAAGGGCCCATATTCTGCAGTTTTCTTGCATCCTCTTATGATGACTGGGTGGTTTTGCAAATGAAAAACAGTCATTATTAATTTTAACATGACTATTTTCCAACCCCTCTTTACCTTTTGGGCTGTTTTGGGTTACTGTGACTTTAAGACTGATATATCATGATATCTGTTCTGATTGGCTGCCCTGTTTTGTGACTTATTCAAAAAGCAGTCAAGTTTGAACCACTCCTAAAGTGCTGTGCACAGAATAAGTGTAAATATGTAAATGTATGGGTTTTTTGGGACATCACAAAAACATTAAGTTTTAATAATATGGGCCCTTTAAAATCTACTGAACCACTATTGTAGACATGCAGCCTTAAGCGACACTCATAACCAAAGCAGAGCCCACAATGTACACCCCTGATACTCAAATATGAAGTTATAGAAATTAATGCATACAAAAAAAAGAGGCAGCGTGGTGCATAATCAGCATTTAGCTGGATTGCACTGTTATCTTTTGTGTTTTTACCACTGGTTACCACCAGATACTGTGAACTGCCATTTTCCCCAAGTGTTAATGCAGTTTATGACCGAATTTGCTCAACCAAAGTGTGATAATCAGTTGATCTGTGTATTTTACACAAACCCTAAACTGTGGGAATTGAGTAGCTGGGATGTACAACCCACACATATCAGCACACACACATAGGATTTTGCGTTAATTAAACAAAACAGCTTCACAGAATACAGACATGAACACTGTCAGAGTACTTCTCACTTGTGACTGAAGAGGCACTGTAACAAGTTAATAGGCACTACTACTTGTGAGCATTTGCATTAGACCAATGCAATGCTAAAAACCATTTCAAATTATGTTTTAGAAGCTACAGTAGATTTTTTTCAAATGCACCAGCTGAGTATATTAGCTGCATGCCATCAAGTTTTGCATAGGGATGTCCCGATCCAGTGAGCTGACCCAGACATACTCTAACAAATCTAGTATCAGCTAAGCCAAATCTGTCGCAGACGTGATGCAAACGGACATTATCTGCAACCAGCAGCAGTGAACAGTGATTTCAAATTAAGTGATCTGAAGTTAACAAAGAGATTTAAACTGATACAAGACAAATTTTTGTGCCTTTAGTGGCGCAGCGTGTTCTAGAAAGATGTATACTGAGTTCTTCAGGTATACCAACGACAGCAGATATGGCAACCTTGCTGCCAGCGCAAGCTGGCATAAGCAGTTGGCAGTAATGATTCATTCAAAGAGGATCAGGTGCAATGCGAAAGTGTACTGTCAACACTATACTTAAGCAGTCCACAAAAAAAAATGCTTCTCTGAGCATTTTTGTGGATATCGTTTAAACTTAAGGAACACTGACCAACTATACGTTTCTCTAACTACGATGAGAAGACGATAATCAGATCAGACTCTATCAGCCGATATTTAATAGTACTCAGATTGGATCAGAGCAAAGAAAAAAGGATCGGGACATCCCTAAGTTTTTACGCAGGTCTAGTTACACTAGGTCAGCAGGCTGCTGCGTACTTGCGACAGCGGTTTAGAGGTTGCTGACAAAGTGTCCACACTGGAGGAGGCTGAGCTTGTGCTGGGAGCTCGAGTCCCCATCTGCAGCACGGAGAGAGAGATAGCAAACAGCAAAACTCCTCAACACAACTGAATCACACTCTGCTGAGACACTCACTCCTACAATTCATCACAGTGGTAAATATGGTCAATATATAAAGTCTGTGTTTGAAAAGTAGAAATATGAACAATAAGAAGGCTTTCCCTTTTACAAAGTAGGAAATATACAAGCTTACATTTTTGAAAAGTGGCAAGTGTACTCAATATGTTGGCCTATGTATTTGAAAAGTGGAAAAAGTAATCAATATGCAGGGTTACACGTTCAAAAAAAGTGGCAAATATGGTCCTGTATATTACTGTTTTAATACACGTAATTTTCCACTGTCAAAATGATCAATGCTGATTACTCATGTACTAGAAGTAACTGTGTACATCACTTCTTTACTGTATTCGTTCCCATGCTGTTTATGTCTTGTTTAGCGTCCAGCATTATAGGTTTTAAATAGAAAACACTGAATTCTTCTGCTGTTACACTAAAAAAAAAGTAAATAAATTAGTAAATGAACATATCAGTGAAACAAACCATAGAAACGAATGAGAGAATGAATACATCAATAAATAAATAAATAAATAAGTACACATAAAAGAATTTTAAAAATCTTTCAAGATTACTCAGGATAATCTAAAACAGGTGACCTGAGATACTCCTGCTATCTAGAATGGATCAAAAGTGTGTGCGTGTGTCCTTCCACACTAACAAAACAATACAACACGATACAGTACAACACTACACAGTACAATACAGTGCAGTACAACACAATACCTGTCCAGCACTGGGGAATAAGGGCTTAGTGACTGCAGGCTGAGGAGCAGCCACTGTGGCTGCAGGTGTTGCTGCTCTGGGCATCATGCTGGGAGCCGTGGACGCTGGGGCCTGAGGAAGGTGGTTCATGCCTGGACGATGACCCATAGGAGGAGGCATGCCTATCAAACAGCAAATTATTATCTTTCACAACAATCAACAAATGAGCATTTCCCACAATCGTCAAACTCGTTAAAGGGCTCATACAAGATTTGGGACCTTTAATAGACTCAAAAATACACTCTTTGAATACAATGCTACTCTACCTGGTGGCATTCCTGGTATCATAGGAGGCATTCCCGGTCCAGGGGGCATCATCCCACCCATTGGCATCATGCTGCGTTTGAAGAGTGACAGATTTAACTCCTAGATCTAATAAAAATATGGCATGCTACAAACAGCATGCTAGCAAAGATCAGGAGTATTCATTAAAACTTACCCTGGTGGCATTCCTGGCATGACTGGGGGCATCGCTGGCATCATGGGAGGGACGCCAGGCATCATCGGAGGCATTCCTGATCCACGTAAAAAAAGAAAGCTTAATATCAGTGGCCACTTCAGCACTGTCTGCCTTCCTGACTTATTGTTCCATAACTATGCCCAACAAACACTCTGTAGTGTTGCATTTAACAGCAAACTCACAATAGTTACTACAAAATTTTACATCCTTGATGAACCAACTTACTGATCACAGTTTGAACAATATTCAGGATATCGGCAGGTCATGATAAAACCATGTTCAGCAGTCCAAGGATTCTCCTAAAGGGGAAGCTATTAGCACACAAGATGCTTTTGTGGGCATTTAATGGCTCTAAATTGAATTTCCTCATACTTGCAGACATCCTGATAATACATAGTTTAAAGAGTCTGATGGACACTGATTTGTTTACGCATTTATGCTCTGCAAGTACATTATTACTCAGTTAAACTGAACATACAGATTACTGGATTAATCATCAAAAAACTGCTAGAATACTCAATTTCTAATATAATTAACAGTGATAGCCCTGTGCAGAAACACAAACAATAAAAATACTACAAATTCTGACCACTGCCAATTCAGCGTACCTGAGTAACTCCCAGGTGGCATCCCTGGTGCTGGCACTGGGGCCATCCCAGGTTGCGTCATAGGGGCGTACGCAGCCTGGGGTTGTGCTGCTGGCTGCTGGAAAGAGGGTCCCGCCTCTTCATCCTCCTCATCCTCATCCGTGTCATCTTGGTTCTGTTTCTTTTTCTGGTTTTCTGTATTAAATGCAAAGAAAAGTTTTGGGCTGCTCCAAAACTTACCCACAAGAAGGGAAGAAAAAAAACACAGAAAAACATGATTGTAAACAGAGGGAAAGGTTAAATTACCTTGTGTTTTCTGCTCGAGCACACGTCTCCTTTCTTCCATATCTTTCTCTGGAATACCCTCCATTCCGTAAATTTCCAGTTCAATGTCTGTTCTCCCAGGTATTGCATTGGGAACACCATCTATAGTTTCTTTGTGAACCTTCAAACACCACAAAGAGGGAAACTTGGTAAGTCAAAAACAATGAGTGAATTAAGCAGACACTTTAAAAAAATAAGCGGAATTTCCCTTTAAGCAACAAGCATAACATAGTTTAGGAGAAAATTAAAACTTACCTGCATACAGTGGATGGCCAGACCTGGACCAGTATAAAGCTTCTTATGGCATATGTGGCATTTAAAATGTTTGGCTTTCTGGTGTTGAATGAGGATCTTTTCATCGTCAAAATCTCTATTACAATACCTGTGTTAGTAGTTCAGTTAAGGGTATATTTGTTTGAAAGGAGATGGTTGAGCTGTAAACAAAGAGTGGCTGGGTGTGAAACGCTCTGCTCTAAAGAAACTTGCCGAGTCAGAACGGATCACAGTGGTGGTGACAGGACCCAGACATCCACCTCTAAAAGCTCCCTCACAGAAAGCTATTACACGAAATGTTTATGGATACAATGCCTGATGTCCATGATAAAGTTTGGGCTTAAAATGTATTTGAATCCATTTATTTGAATTCATTCATGGCAGAGGAGTATACGCAAGGCATTACAGTACCCCCCCCCAACACACACAAAAAATATATATATTATTTTCAGATTTATGACTACTTTAGCCATCAACAATATTACACATAAAAACTTAAGAGGACACATGTATGTTCACTGATGGTCTTGGATAATAAATAGTAAATACATGTAAATGTATTTGTGTTGTAAGCATGGCAACCCCTGGTTCCTATCACCACCACTGTAAAGAAATCTGAGCCTGAAAGTCTCTCCTCAATGAAACATCTCACACCAAACCACTGAGTGACTGTGTTTCACATCTCAAGGACTGAATAATTCAGAAATTTTGAAAATTTGGTGGAATTCTCCTTCACCGTTATGTATACGGTAATGACTGTGTGCAGTGAACACTGTACGTAAGTTACATCATAACAAAATATTTCAGCATTACTAAGACACACAAACGATACTCGGGGAACGATTAACGTTGTTATTGCAGCACAGAACCCAAAATCTGGAGATCACAGTAAAATAACTTTGTTAGAAAAGTAGCTGCCCGGTCAACAATAACAAAGCTGGATTCAGCTTCCTATTCGCCAGCTTCTTGTTCGAATTTTTCCGTTCCACCTTAAATGGTGAAGCAATTACATGTATCTGCTGCACCATTTAAGGTGGAACAGGAAAATTCGAACAAATAATTTAGATTTATTCAGCGAGAGTTGCTGTTACGCTACAAGCTAATCTGACATGAGAATGAACTAGCTAGCTAGCGTTAGCCGTGAGCTAACAGCTACTGCGCTGTTAACGGAACTGAAGCTATTCTTGTTCGAATTTTCCGTTCCGCCTTAAACAGCTCAGCGAAACGCCCAGGCTGTAAGTTAGCCAGCTAATTCACCCGAATGTAACCGCTGAACTGCTGCACCATTTAAGGTGGAACAGAGAATTCGAACAAGAAACCAACTCCAGCTTCGTTGTTTGTTATCTAGGTTAGCTTATCTGGCTAATATGACTAAACAGAGCTGTCCAGCAAGAATACAGAAAAGCACAAACACAAGAAAGGATACCAGCACCACGGCTTCATCTGCTTCTTCTTTTTCCTCCCCATGATTTAACAGCTTGTTTATCTGAGTTTCCGAGAAGCGGAGAGAAGCTCAAGTCTGTTGAACTGAGCAGCAGAAAATGGCGAAATTCTCTGGAAGGGTCGCTTCTGCTGAGAGAGGATAGAAACTACTGCGGCGCCCACCAGCGGCCAGGAGAGAGAGAGAGAGAGAGAGAGAGAGAGAGAGAGAGAGAGAGAGAGAGAGAGAGAGAGAGAGAGAGAGAGAGAGAGAGAGAGAGAGAGAGAGAGAGAAACGCCCCCCCAAAACCCTTCACTGTATATAGGTTAAATACACCGATTGTGATTATTTTTATTATATATGTTGTCTTATTTTATTTATTGACATTTATTTATTTATTTATTTACTTGACCGAGCTTTACAACATGTATTATATTGTCTTATTTTATTTATTTATGACCATTATCATTGTTACTATGAATTCTATATTTGTTTTTTAGTTCTACAAAATGTGTTCCGCTTTCAGTTGAATTTTATATTTATATTATCCAAATTTAATATGGAGTTGGTCCCCCTTTGCAGCTATAACAGCTTCCACTCTTCTGGGAAGCTTTTCTACAAGATTTTGGAGAGTGTGTGTAGGAATTTTTGCCCATTCATCCAGAAGAGCATTTGTGAGGTCAGACACTGATGTTGGACGAGAGCGCCTGGCTCACAATCTCCGTTCTAGTTCATCCCAAAGGTGTTTGATGGGGTTGAGGTCAGGGCTCTGTGAGGGCCAGTCAAGTTCTTCCACACCAAACTCACCCAGCCATGTCTTTGTGGAGCTGCCTTGTGCACTGGGGCTCAGTCACAGGAAAGGGTCTTCTCCAAACTGTTCCCACAAAGTTAGAAGTATAGAAGTGCCCAAAATGTCTTGGTCTGCTGAAGCAATAAGATTTCCCTTCACTGGAACTAAGAGGCCTAGGCCAACCCCAATTAATAACAGTGAAGTATTTTGATAAAAACGGAGTTGTGTCAAACTTCGCAACGACAGCCATGAAAGAATCAGCAGGGAACCCTCAGGGCCTTCTAGGCTGTCAGAGAATGCCTGATTTCTGGCAACTAAATAATTTATGTCTGCAATCTTTAACTCATTTAATTTAAATTTAGTCACTGCAAAATTGAAACATACAAGGAAAAATGTTATATGCTAATATATGTTCATCTTATTTGATGTTTTAAATAAAACAATGTCTGCGTTTGATCTACAATGGCCAAAAAACGTTGATTTGCACCAACCTTAGCTTAGTGCTAACATACTATTAGAAATCCCTTTGGGGGGCTAAGAGAAATGAGCATTATGGAAGATGTGGGTTATTTTGGTCATTTTCCAACCTAGTTCTGACATTTATGGCCTAAACTAAAGGCCTAGCTCTAATAGTCACGGTTCACCACTGAAAAGAACACATTCACATTCATTGATACTCTATATGATTTATTACTATACAAATATAATTCAAAAGCAAGGCATCATTGATGAAAGCCAGTGGGAGTTGGCTTTAATACTGATAGCATGCTTATGGCTCTTAAGTACAGAACCTACTTAAGTGCCCTTACAAGGCACCCTACTGTCATTCAGCAAGGCAAAGAAAATGCATTTTTTTAATGCAAGCTTTCAGTAACAAACATAATATTTACATTTAAAATCATATTCTAATTAAATGTGTGTCACATTAATAAAGACAGAAACATTTCCCATACAGTCTTTACGTCATTCACAATTTCACATTCTGTCCATCAGAACTAATGATCATTCGTTCCTCTAACCTACACCTCAGCTCAAAAGTTCATCAGAATCATATTAACAATAAGTGTTGTTACTTTATTCAGTAACAAATTATAGAGTTCAAAATATTAAAAATCAGGTGTCAAAAGGTATTTTTACTTCATTTTATTGATGTTTTATTCAATATTTATTTAAAATTTAATTATTCTAATTATCTATTTATAGTAATTGATTGTCAAGTTATCTGCCTTGAGATTTGATTTTCTGGATATTAATTTGATTAGAATTTAATTCTAGAAATTAACTTTATTAGAACTTCATTCATTCATTTTATTAAAACATCATTTTAGATATTCATTTTATTAGAACTCCATTTTTGATATTAATTTAATTGGAACATTATTCTGGATATTAACCTTATAGAAGCTCATTCTGTTCATTGTTCTTCCCTTTTACAGCTTCCTACAAGTTAGCTGAAATCTTTGAAGTTATGGAGCTTCAGCCTCAAATTAGAAGCATTTAAAACATTCATCAGCAACAACGATGGATTACTGAAAACACTGATTCCAACCTTTTGAACAGTAGTGTAGATGTGAGATAGATACGTGGTGGTGGTTTAACAAAGAGGCTGTAAATAATTATAGTTTCCAAATCTCCATAAAAAATAAATGTGTGTAGACAGTCACAGCTTCCACTGCAGAACTCTATAACCTTCAGTGATGGAAAATGCTGAGCACTTTACACACGGCCAATTTTGGAAAATATTTTTGGTTTAGGCATCGTAACTGTCAGTTAAGTTCAAAATGTTCTTTACAGTGGAGCAACTGTTCCACTCGTCTCTTCCCACAAGGCCCTGATATCACACTGTCACTGTTAACTCAGTCACACAGAGATTAATATGTAAAAGCTTTCAGAACAGCATTCAGTACCTCACACTGCCTTCAATACAGAGCTGTTCAGTTCTCCACTGATGCAGTGCCACTGAAATCAGCCTGAATTATGATTGTTAGCTTGTTAGTTTATCACTATGTTGTAACTTTGACATTTTAATTTAAAATAATGGCTTATTTTCTTGACACATATGTTTAAACAATGTTGTCTTATCTTGTGATTTTGACTTATAAAATAATGACAAATTGATGTTTTATAGCAAATAACTGCCACATCTTATCTGAGTCATCTATGCATATTTTTTTATGTCATACTTCCAAATTCATCACCAATTATAATAACAATGTTATTAACATTATAACTAATGTTGTTAATAACATTAATAATAATGATCAATTGTTAACAATAACATTATAAGTAATTTTATCACAATCTTGATTTATAATCTCAAAACAAAGACTTAATATTGCATAATAATTAGGTTCTCAAAATGTAATAATGTATTATTTTGACATACTGACGTACTGACGTACTGTAGGCATCACATTTTTGAGATTATAAGCCATTATTCTGACTAAATTCTAAAATCTTGAGAAAATAAGATCCATTTTCTTTCACATTTTTGCCATATGTCAAAGTCCTGAGAATTCAGCATAACAACTTGAGAAAATAAGTCATTATTTTGAGATACAAAGTCCAACTTTCAACGCAGTAAGTCAAAACTTTGACATACTGCTGCTAAAAATAACAATGAAATACATATATATCCTATCTGGCACATGACATAATTGATAAACCACAGACAATAATTTTCACACGTTCCACCTTAAATTAATTAAAGGAACAGAAAACCTCTTTACTTGAAAAGTTTATGTAAAATGTATTTCTGTAGAACAGTCAAAGGTTTGTTTGTGAATTAAGCTGTAAATGTGTATAACTGGTTCTTTCAAAAAGGGGCCTAGATTTCCAGAGGGAAGAATTTGTGGTAATTCGTTACCAGCATAGTGATGTGGGAGGAGTTTTCACAGGATCCATCTCCTGATCACCATGGATACCAGAAAACCTTAGGATCTTCCTCACGATTACCAAGGATACCGGAAAACCTTAGGATCAGCCTCACGAACACCATGGATACTGGCAAACCTTAGGATCTGCCTCCTGATCACCATAGATACTGGCAAACCTTAGGATCTGCCTCATGATTACCAAGGATACTGGTAAACCTTAGGATCAGCCTCCTGATCACCATGGATACCAGAAAACCTTAAGATCAGCCTCCTGATCACCATGGATACCAGAAAACCTTAGAATCTGCTTACTGATCATCATGGATTCCGGAAAACCTTATGATCTGCTTCCTGATCACCATGGATACCAGAAAACCTTAGAATCTGCCTCCTGATCACCATGGATACCACAAAACCTTAGAATCTGCCTCCTGATCACCATGGATACCGGAAAACCTTAGGATCAGCCTAAGGAAGGCGAAAGTAACCAGAACCACTTTTTACTGTGCTGCTCCAGAATTGTAATGTTGGCTAAAATTAAATAAGAACAGGTTTAGTGAGAGATTCTGTCAGTCTATCTGATCGTAACACCTGTACTGTTAGAGTGGAAGAGCTGGAGTTTTGGATTTGACTTATCTAGTCACATATTTAAAATGTTTATTCACAGAATTCAGTAAATGCCCTTTGGTTTATGAAGTTTGAGTCTGTGGGTTTTCTCTTCTCTTCAAAGTTCAGGAAAACGTGTTGAAATTACTGCCTGTGGTCATTCAGAGTGGTTTGGTGTGAAATTATCTGTTTTAGAGAATCTTACTGAAACAGAAATATTCACAGTGGTGGTTATAAGAACGAGATTTCTGAAGAGTTTTATGCTTCTAAAAGCTCCTGCACAGAAAAGTATTACACAAAATGGTTATGAACACGCTGCCTTTGTTTTACAATAGTTTTAAGAAGTTTTTGGTATAAAACGTATTTTTAAACTCCATACACAGTGGAGAGGACATGTAGGGCATTGTAAAAAAAAACAGTTCCCAAAAATATGTATTGTTTTCAGATTTTCCACTAATTTACCATCATCAAAAAAGAAAAAATCAGAAGACGTGTAGGTTCACTGGTGGTTTTGGATAGTAAATACAATGGTTATATTTGTGTTGTAGACATCACAACCCCTGGTTGTTAATCCCACCACTGTAAAGAAATCTGAGTATGCAAGTTTCTCTACAGTGAACCATTTCAGACCAGACTCTGTTTACATCTTAACCATTGAATTTTGTGGAAATTTTGAAAAATGGGTGGAATTCTCCTTTACATTATTAAGTAAAATAGCAATAAAACTTATTTCATTAAAAACGTGCCTTTTCTGGTCAAAAGTCCATTAGATAAAAACAGACAGAACTTTTGTGCCACATTTACAGCCTTCACCACAATGCAAATCTGCATAAATATACACAGCAACAAGTGCAAAATGCCAATGTTTATAATCCTATATAAAAGCCCACTCTCACTGCATTAGTTAGCTGCTCAAGGCAAAGTCAGTTTAAAGCTAAATGCTGTACCACTAAAGTGCAAAACCAGTCATCCCACTCAGAGTTGGGGACATTATTTTTATAGTAGGCCTATAAGATATCTTTAAAACTCACATTGAGCCTTATAAAAATAGTCATCTGAGCTTGTCAATACAAGTCAATATTTTAGTGAACATACAGCAGGCAATTAGTAAATACAGTAAAACAAAATCCTGGCCATTATCATCTAGCTGCCGTTAACAAAGGAAAAGAGGAATATGTTCTTAACCTCTTCATGCTAGCGCCCACTAGTGGTGTAGATGCTGATGTCTACTGGAATCATTAACAGCTTATTTAGTAATACCATCTTTTATTTAAAAAGTGAGATGCCAGCATTAGGAGCAGTGGTCTTCAACCCTGGTCCTGGAGAGCTACCTTCCTGTTTAGTTCCAACCTGTACCCAGTAAGCTGCACTGCCCATTAACTGTAATACATCTGATCTAGCCAATCAGGGACTTGAGAAGAGCTGGAGCAGGTGTGGCAAACTGTGGTTGGAACTAGGCTCTGCAGGAAGGTTGCTCTCCAAGGAACAGGGTTGGAGACCACTGATTTAGAGATTGCTTTACTTAAGCTACATTGTGTAAGCTTAAGTTTCCATGGTGTAATGGTTAGCACTCTGGACTCTGAATCCAGTGATTCGAGTTCTAAATCTCGGTGGGACCTTCTCATCTTACTGGGGCAGTCATGGGCTGGAGGTTAGGGAACCAGCCCTGTGACCAGAAGGTTGCCGGTTTGAACCCCTGAGCCGACAGTATGTGACTGAAGGCCCTTGAGCAAGGCACCTAACCCCCAGCTGCTCCCCGGGCACTGTGGATAGGGCTGCCCACTGCTCCGAGCAAGTGTGCTCACTGCCCCCTAGTGTGTGTGTTCACTAGTGTGTATGAGGTGTTTCACTGCACAGATGGGTTAAATGCAGAGGTGAAATTCCCCCGTTGTGGGACTAATAAGGGTCACTTAACTTAAGTATTGGTGGATTTGGAGACCTCTCTGGTGAAAACGTGTAATTTACAGAAGGCCTGAAGTATGAGTCAAAATTCGACTTATTTTTTTCTGCCTGTGTAACATTTCTAGCACCACTTATACGATTTCAGCAATCAAAAATCTCTTTTTTTCTCGCACAGAATTTTTTTCCCACTGTATGAAAAGTAATGGCTAACAGGTTAGCATGTTACATCAGCTTTAACCACAAGGGGGAGTGCTTTTTCCCCCATTTCCCTTCTTGAATCAAGTAAAAAAAATACGGAGGAGCTAACTGGCTAAAAGTTAGCATGCTAATGCTAAGTAGTTTTTTTCCCAACTGCTCTGGAAAAATGTGTGAATGACATGTCTCTGTGAATGACATGTCTTCTGAGGATATCAGTGAATTATCCACTATTGTCACTGTATTATCGTCAATATGATGTTGAGAATTAAACATAGAGCCGGACCTTATTTTTGAATCTGTGTGTGCAACTACAAAATCTGACCCGACGCCTCTGACTTTTAAGTTATTCTTTCAGGCTTTACAGGTCAACTTGCAGTAGAACACGCACACCATATTTTAGGACACACCACGTGTTTCCTCCTGGCTCAATTGCTGCTTCTTTCAATTTTAACAAAAAATCATAGTGCAGCTTTAATAAGAAGTGTAAATGGACTTTGTTAATGGAGGTTAACACAGATGTGCACAACTCCGGTCCTGGAGGGCCGGTGTCCAGCACAGTTTGGTGTTTTACCTGCTCCAACACACCTGATTACACTTATCTGTTAATTGACAGGTTAAGTGGGTGTGTTTGAGCAGGGAAACCTCTGAACTGTGCTGGACACCGGCCCTCCAGGACCGTAGTTGTGCACCCCTGGGTTAAAACATCATTCCTCCTTTCCATCAAAACCAAACACCAGCTTTCCATCCTATTCGATAAATAGCCAGGATTGTAATACAATCTAAAGTAGGTTTTCATTCTTCAATAATTTCTCCCTTCTCTTCACTGCCTAGGGCTCCACTGTCTACCCGTCCTCCTTGGCTCATTCTTCTGTGAGGAGGCTTTTAAAGCCTGACCCATTTCTCTCTCCTTCTGTTCCACGGTCATTCCACTGTCGCTGTGTCTTACGAACCCACTCCCAGAGCTTTCTTCATGTGCTCATAGACCACGTAGGAGATGCTAACAGCAGGAATGACTTTGAGGAAGTTGGGGGCGATGCCCCGGTACAGGCCTGGGACTCCCTCATGGGACACAATGTGCTTAAACTGACCCACCATGGTCAGCTTGGGGGCGCCTTCTGTGGAGGCTGGAGAGAAACAAGCACAGGTTAGCATGAAGAATAGTTTAGTATGAAGTCTTATTTACAGACCCGCCCCTTACCACAAGTACAGTCAATCACCAAGACTTTCTGAAAGTTTGCTTCTTCAGTTTTAACATTGGAGCCTCAAGGCTAACAAGTAATGGAAGCTAATATCCAACAGAATTAGCGTTGTGCTAACTGCATGCCTAAATCATCATTCACTCACCTTCTATTTCCTTTTTTTACAGCAAATGGGTTTTGAGCAGCAGAACACTGGCATTACTGCTGCTGAGTGCTGATTGGTTGGCGAGTGGAGCAGCTCATTGGCTGTTCGTGCTCACATGTCATGAGGCGCCTTTTTAAATTCCTATAACTCTATAATAAGAGTTTTAAAGCTCTTAAAAATATAACAGCAGTGTTAAAATGTTTTATGCTGTTCTCTGTTCAGGAAATTACTGCATTCTCTTACATTACAATGTTGAAGCATTTATAAACTATGATTTTGCTCAGATGCTCCATATTAACCCATTCATTTTGGACTCGATCAAGAGCGCCCTCTAGCGTTTGAGAAACCCGGAAGACATTACAGAGTGGTTGTTGAGTGGATGTTCTCTGATAATGGCTTGAATGATAAGGAAGACATGTTAACATGATAACTCTGCTCAAAGGTCCTTGGGAAGTGAAAACAGGTTGGGGATGTAAGAGTGGGCTTCACGCCACAACTGGTTGGTGTAGCAAGATGGGTCCATTCTCCTCCGGAGCAAGCACGCCACATTAACTAATAAAAGGTCTTGGGCAAGATGCCTACTGCTACACTTTGGATAAGAGTATTTGCCAAATGCATAAATGAATTAGGCAAATGTTCTAAATACATGATCAGCAAAGGGCCAATTTATCATTTTTATTTAAGCTGAGCCAAATTTGCATTTTTAGGTAAATAACGTGAGGCAGGTGAGTGCACTCGCACTGTGTTTGAAAGCTACTGCTACACCTGTACCAAAAGGTCATAGCATAATTACGCGTGACTCCGTGTGCTAGATTGCCTCTTACTTTCAGTGTAGCACGTTATTTGATTCATGTTCTTCAAATAGGCAACTGAAGAATTTAAAAATACATTAACATCCTCTAAAAGGAACAAACTTCAGTAATTGTAGTGCACAGTTTCTATTTTTTGTGAGTTTAACATATTGGGGAAAACAACAAAACATAAAAGATAAAATGTGGCATAACTTTTACACAGGCCACACTTTATGTTTTTCCAAAATATTACATTCAGCCGAGAAACAGTAGTCATGCATTAAAATGTGTTCTCTGTAAAGGATGTGTTAACTTATTTTCACTTCTGTATTCACTGAATAACTTATAGTAGATAATGAACAATTCATAGTAGTTACTGAATGATTCATAATAGACACTGAATAATGCATAGTGCATACGGAAAAATTCATAATAGTTGCTGAATAATTAATAGTAGTTACTGAATAATTCATAACAGTTACTAAATAATTAATAGAAGATACTGAACAATTTATAACACTGAATAAATCATAGTAGATACTGGATAGTTCATTTTATATAATGAATAATTCATAGTAGAAACTAAATAATTTATCATAAATAATGATAATTTCATAGCAATTATAAGTCAATAGTAAGTCTGTTAGAGATTACTGAACAACTGCATGCTAATGCTAACTGGGGGATAAACTTACATTACTTGTTAGGAACATTAGCCTCATAGCTCCAGTGTAAAATTAAAGATGCAAACACCAAATATATCTTAGTTTATAGAAACCATTTGGGGTAAGAGGGAAAAACTGAGTACATTTTCATCAAACCACACCTTTAAAGGTCTAGATCAATGCCGAATACACACAAATATTGGTTTTGTACAAATTTCTCTGCAATGTAAAATGAATCAGTTGTTCATTAATATGATGTATCTTACTGTCCCTGAGCTCACCTTGGGCCTGCATGCGCGTGCGGATGAGGGCGAGCGGGTAACTGGCTAACTGACCGCAGGTGCTGGACACAGTGCCACAGCCGAGCAGCACCAAAACACCGGGATCTGCTGAACCCACACAGTACCGCTGTAGCCATGCATTCTTCAGAGTCTGGAGGGAGAGAGAGAGAGAGAGAAAGAAAGAGACAGAAAAGGCAAAATTGGTCAGCTGAAACAGCAAAAACATGCTGCACGTTTTGACCAAGCGAAATGTAACACTTTATAAATAATTTCATAGTTCATAGAATTAGTGGTTTAAAGCTGTTTAAACAGCACCAGCAACTTAATGCAGGAAAAAGCCTGTAACTTCATCATCAGTAAATTCTTAGTAAAAAGGACTGACCGTAACAAACCTAGCCTATCAACAGTGATCCATTCGTCATTTGTGTTGTTCCTATTTAACTGATTAAAATCTGTCCCAAAGTCGTTGGTAAGCGTGCACGTCCACTCTAGTCAATAAAATGGATCAGCATGTGAAACTGGAGCTTTCTGTGTGCTGCTGTGTTTCCTATCACTGTATAAAAGAAGCTCCAAGTTGCCTTTATTATTGGATTCTGTTTCTGTGCACACACTCAGAACACAATTCACATTGCAATGGAAACGTTTATTATTGATTTGTTTCCAAAATTGGAGAAAATGGGACAACTATGCAAGACCTGGTCGACCAGGAAAACCATAGATAAACAGCACTTAACGCTTTCATCTTTGAGAGAGAGGAGAAAATCAAGCTGCTTCAGAAATGAAAAAAATCTACAGGTGTTTCTGTCCATCCTTCCACTGTGAGAAGACAACTCAGCGCTATGGGTCTGAAAGGATGTGTAGCTGTCAAGAAGAACCTCACTGAGAAAAAGGGACAGACACATCAAACAAAGAAGCTGCTGGTGTTCACAGAACAATGAACTGACCACCCCAGAGTCCAGACCTCAGCCTCACTTAACGTGTTTGGGATTACTTGGATCATGAAATGCAGAAAATGCAACCAACTTCTGACTGAAGTTCAAGACTGAACTTTGGAGGTGGAAAAATATCCCTGTAGATTTCTGCAAATACTGAACATTTTTACACTTGGTTGTTGAGGTTTCTGTGAAATTTTCTGTTAAATATGTTTTCTGCTTTTTCCCTGACACTAAAAAAAATGACTTTTGAGTCTAAATTGAATAAATGAAAGGTGGTCTCTGACTTTTGCACAGTACTGTATATTTGTGAAACTTCAAAAAATCTGGCACTTGGTTTTTGGTTTAGGTTTTCAAAGGTTTTGATTTCAGCCCAGCGTTTTCATCAGTGCGTCAATAAAGAGAATCTCTCAGATGTTTGGCGCAGATGATGGAACAAAAGTTTGTATTATGTAATTGGACCCTGCAGCAACTGACAGGGGAGAAAATTAATGAGAGACACTTTTCCCAGAAACTGTCAGAGGCATCTGCTCTGCGCACACACGAGCACGCTCGTACCTCGTAGACGGCCAGGTCAATGCCTGCGTAGGGGATGATGCCCAGCGTGTTTGGGACGTAGCCCCTGTAGAATGCCCGGACCCCCTCCTTCCTCAGAATCTGCCGAGCGCAGTCCACCATTCCCAAGTACTGACCCGTCTTCCTCAGAGTAAGACGAGTTTTCAGGACCTGACAGGAGATGACAGAGAGAGAGACGGAGAGAGGGAGAGAGAGACAGAAAGAGAGACAGAGAGAGACAGAGAGACAGAGAGGAAGAGAGAAAGAAGGAGAGAGAAAGGGAGGGAGAGAGAGAGATTGACAGAGAGAAAGAAAGAGAGAGAGAGAGAGAGAGAGAGAAAGGGAGGGAGAGAGGACGAGAGAGAGGGACAGAGAGACAGACAGACAGACAGAGAGAGAAAGAGGAAAGAAAGGGAGGGAGAAAGAAAGACAGAGAGAGACAGAGAGAAAGAGATAGAGAGAGACAGAGAGAAAGAGATAGAGAGATGGAGAGAAAGAGAGAGACAGACAGAGAGACAGAGAGAAAGGAAAAAAAAGAGAAGCAGTGAGATAGGGAGTGAGAGAGAGAGAGAAAGAAAGAGGGAGAGGGAGGGAGAGAGACAGAGAGACACAAAGAGAAACAGAGACAGAGAGAGAGACGCAGAGAAAGAGGGAGAGAGAAAAATGACGTTAATTTTGGAGGTGTAAATCTGTGAGCTCAAAAAGATTCAGTTTGATTTCAATTCTTTAAAATGATGCATCACGATTAAATTTATATTAAAATCACATTTCACCACAATTGAATTCAGTCTGATTATTTTGGTACAGAATTGTCTTTAAAATGCCCCCAAATGTTCTGTCTTCTATTATTTTTAAAATAATGTATAAGGTGTATTATTATTATTAGTATTATTATTATTATTATTGTTGTTGTTGTTGTTATTGTTGTTGTTGTTGTTGTTGTGGTGGTGGTGGTGGTAGTTTTGGTGTTTTCATTGTTGTTGTTATTGGATAAACTGACACTAAATAAATGAGGAAAAGTTCATTTTGCTGTAAGGGACAGAAACTCAGCTGCTGCTGTGAGCTTGTCTGAATAAATCAGCATCTGACTTGGCCTTGGCAGTGGTGATTATGTTCACTCAGTAACTGCTGTGGTTACAAAGCGGTTTATTTTCAGCACACAGATGAGCCAGCCTACACAAATCAGCCAAAGCCATAAGGACTCTGAGCATACTGGAGCTTCTCTTATCTTCATTAAAGGTGGAAGTTTCTGCATAAATCAGTGGTTGAGATGTAAACAGAGTCATTCAGGGTGGTTTGGTGTGAAATGGTTCATTGTAGAGAAACAGGTTTCTTTACAGTGGTGGTGATGGGAACCAGGGGTCGCCATGTCTACAGCATAATATAGCAGTTTTATTTACTATCCAAGACCACCAGTGAACCTACATGTGTCTGAGTTTATATTTGTAAAGTTAATAATGCTAAAGATAGTGGAAAACCATCACAAAACCATCACAAAACCATCACGTGACTCTCCGCCATGAATGAGATAAAAATATCTCAAATCTCAAATCTGTCTCAGGCAGTAAATTCATAACCATTTCATGTCATAACTTCGTGATGTTAAACTCTTCAGACGTCTGGCTCCCATCACCACCACTCCACAACATTTTGAAGGAACGATTCTTTTCTTTTTCCCTACTGAATAATTCATGGTAGATACTGAATAACTCATAGCAGGCACTGAACAATTCATAGTGCATACTGAAATTCATAATAGTTGCTAAATAATTAATAGTAGTTACTGAATAGAAAAACAGTTACTATGTAATTCATAATAGTTACTGCATATTTAAAATGCAGTAATACCGAATAATTCATAACACTGAATAAATCATAGTAAATACTGAATAGATTGTTTTAAATACTGATATAATAATTAATTATAAAAAGTCTATAAGTAATTTACAGCAATTATAAGTAAAAAAGTAGTTCCATAGTAGTGTATTGTAAGTTTTAATATTAATAACTGGCTAATACGACTGAAATTTAAGGGGTTAAAAAATGATTTGCATTTTCTTGATGGTAGCCACGGAAACAGACTTTTAAAAACCTCAGTTTAAGTCATTGGCATCCACCACCCCCAGTTCAGTGTGATAGAACAGCTGCTTTGGGAGAACATGAGGCACGTCCTGGTGGTGGCAGATGTTTAAACAGCCAGACGCTAATAACATCTGTTTCATATGAGTGAGATCATTAACTGAAAAGATTAATGGGAAAAAAGGGGCAAAAAATGAAGCCCTAATTAGATTAATGCTTATTTTTATTTTTTGGAACTGGCTGGTATTGCAGTTAATATTAACGTGAATCTAATGCAGGTCAGAAAAAACTGCTTAAAGCGATAGTTCATAAAAAAATGACATGGGAGCTATGAGGCTAATTTAGTTACCACTAATGGAAGCTTATACTTCACCGAATACCATTCGCCAAATGTGTAGTCTCGTCTTCAGAGTCTGACCAAATCAGACTGAACCATAAAACTGCCACAATATCAAGTTTAGCTCAGTTTTGTCATTTTTTGCTGGATCAATATTAATGTTGTTTTGTTCCAGCCAGTCTGTAAAGCATCTTACAGACCATTTAGTTTGGCGAATGGTATTGGGTTCATTTCTGGCTGATTCCAGGTTGTTTAGCTGTTCTTCTGTCACAGCTGCCGACTGAAAAGCTGCTCAGTGGTGATGACAGTTTGGGAATTTAGTGTCGTCTCATCTTCAGAGTCGGACCAAATCGGCTGTCGGTCAAATGTGATCTTAAGTATCCATTTTCTGTTTGTGGCAAAGTAAGAAGTAAAAATGTTCAAATGGCTTAAGCGCCTCCTACAGCTGTCAAAGTCGTTGCTTAGCAACAGCGTCTCAGTGGAGTTATACAGTGTTTGTGAAAAAACACCATGCTTCTCAACCAATGTAACCAACGGTTACAACACTTCTTAACCAATCAGCTTGCGTGGCCAGAACTAACTGTTGTATAAATTGAAATATATTGCTCTGTAATAATAAACAACATCAGTGTTGTTGAAATTTGAACACTGTCTAAGTAACATCATTATACTACATTACGCTATACGTGCTCGTGTCTAGAGCACTACTATACATCAGTCAACCAGTGTTACTGCCTCTGAGGACGACGCTCGCCTCACACTGTACTGAAGAAATATATGTTTGAAATATAAGAAGTAGACTGTGAGAGCACAGTCATATCAGCAAAGGTAAGTTAGTCCAGTCTTTGTCACGGTCCTACTTGATGTTAAGGTCACCTTTGAGAGAATTTCCACAGTAAATTACAGGAATGATCTGGATAAAATGAGGCAATAGAATAATCTATAATATTCACCTTTTATTTTGTTTACAAGAGATTTGACCACGACTGCTGTAAAGCTCAAATCTACTAGCACCACTATGGGGTTTTTAGTGTATTGGCCAAGTTAACAATGTCAAATAATAAATTTTCCACTTAAATACATGATTACGTATGTGTGTTCAAATAACAACGGTCACATTCTCACTCTTTATGCTGTAGTATCCACCCTCTTTCCTCCCAAATAGACCTCTGAAGTCATGTCGTCATTCTATATTGATGTTTGTGAATCAATTCCAGTTCTGAGGAACCAGGGATCCCAATGTCTACATCACAAATATAGCCTTTTTATTTACTATCCAAAACCACCAGTGACCCTACACATGTCTTCTGAGTTTTCATATACAATGTTGATGACGGGAAAAATAGTGAAAAATACAAAAAATGTAGGTTTCTTTGTCACAACACCATCACGTACCTCTCCGCCATAAATAGATTTAATTTTAGGCATCATCTCAAAACTATTATAACACAATGTCTCAGGCATCAGTCAGCAAATTCATTACCATTTTATGTAATAAAATGATAAAGTGATAAACTCTTCAGACGTCTGGTTCCTATCACCAACACTGTGAACAATTCTTACTCAGTCCGTTTCTCAAGAATGCTTCAGAACCACCGACTCTGTCTACATTTTAACCATTTAATTATGCAGAACTTTTGAAAAATCAATGGGATTCAATGGGATGAATGCACTTTTACAGCTCTCAATTCATAGTAGATTCTGACTTGTTTGCTACATAAGCCTTGTAGGTCCAGTGCTAAAACTAAAAAAGCAAACTTCAGACATCAACATGTCTTGGCTGGTCGACTCCACTTGGGTTGAGTGTGGGAGTTGTGTATATTTGATTTCTCTCTTGCTCGCTCTCTTACTGTCTCACCTCCATCGGGTAGATGATGGTTTGAGCTGTGGCTCCTGCGAGCGATCCAGCGATAAACCTCTCCTGCACCCTCAGACTGCCGCCATCTTTACAGCCACGGATCAGCCACTTTATCTGCACACATGAGAAAGAGGAGGAGAGCAGAGGATGAAAAATTAACCTAACCATGCTCAGCCTCAAGAGGATGTTCAAGCTCTACAGAAATCCCATTCAACCTAATGAGAAACTGTACAAAGCGCAGTTTATATCAAAACACAGCCATTTGAAGAACGTTATTCATCAAATTATGTTGTATGTTGTAATATGTTGAATTTTTTTGTGTCAACTTTTCATTGCATTTTTCATTATGTTTTACAACAAGGGTGGGGAAAGGTAAGGGGGAGGGGAAGGCAGGACGGTGACATACATTTTTAGGAATACACACAAATCAAAAATAAAGCAAAGACAATACATAAACAACTACACAACTAAACATGAATAGATTCATATAAATTGTCCCAGTTTCTTATTGTTGACTGTTTTGCCTTTTTGAGCTTAGCTGTAAGATATTCCATCCGAACTACATTTTGAAAACTAGATATCCAGAATTTCATAGCTGAAAGCTGTGGGGCAATTCAAAGTTGCAAGACAGTCTTCTTGGTGGCTGTAAAATCTGCCATCAGCATGCTTCGATGAGTCAAAGAAAACTATAGAGCTGAGTCATCATTTAAAAGACATAAATGTGGCGACAGTGGAATACTGAGATCAAGTACCTTGGACACTATATCTACTGTAGAGGTCCATATATCTTTGATTTTGTTTATTATTTTGTATGTGTCTGAAAGGTGTTAGGACAGATTAGGTGTAGTTTTTTGGTAATCATATTTAAATAATGATATAAATTATCAGCATATTAACATAATTATTATAACCCTCTAAAAATGAAATGAAATGAAATGAAATGAAATTAATTTTTCACCCTAATCATTGTCTGTCTTTGTCCATTACTGTTATGGTTATTTTAATACATTTATTTGAGAGCAACAACAGTTATTGTGTATACAGTCAAGCTAAAAACTGTAATGACGTAATGGAGGAGGAAGGAGCTCTATGTGCTGATTTGTGATACCTGTTCATAAGCCATGAACTTGATGGCGGATTCCGGAGCAATTTTGAGCACGTTTATGCCGTTCCCTCTCCATAAAGACTGGACCCCGCCCTCCTGCACCATCCCCCGCAGTCCACTCCACAGGCCAGCACCTCCAGAGCCATGAACCTGCAGAAACAAACAAACTGTTTTCTGTTTTCTGTTTTGCATGCTTGTGTGTTATTTTTCATCTTTTATTATACACTACACGACCAAAATTAGTCAGACAGCCCTTCTAATGAGCTACATTAAGGTGCATCCCTTGGTGACACAGTTCAACTGCGCTCGTATAGCTTGTATAATCTCCACAGAAAAGCATTGCCAATGGAACAGGACACTCTGGAGTAGCTGCACATAAGCCTAAGGTCACCATGCCCAATGCCAAGCGTCGGCTAAAGGGGTATAAAGCCCCCAGGCACTGGGCTGAGGAGCAGTGGAACCATCCAGCACCTTTGGGATGAGTTGGAGTGATTAAGAACTAATCATCCAACATCAGGACCTGACCTCACAAGTGCTCTTGTGACTAGTGCAATCAAATCCTCACAGCAACTAGATGTTCCAACATCTAGTGTAAAGAATTCACAGAGGAACAGAGGCTCCCTATTAATACCCTATTAATACCCTTCATTTCAAAAGAAACACTGAATGACCAGATGTCTACCAACTTTTGACATGTATTATACATTAGTAATTATTCTACTAAATTTATTTGATCACTGCAGCTTGTTCTTTTGTGTTATACTTGTGATTGTGAAGCACTTTGAGCAGACACTGTCATAATAGTGTGCTATGCAAAAAAACTGGACTGGACATTAACATGAAGTGTCTTGTAATTCATAATCCAGCCAACACATTTCACCACATTATCTGACCTTGTGACATTAAGGTCGGCAAGACACACAAATCAATAGAAAGTAATGAAAAGCATTTGACCAAATGACCCGATGCTACCTGAAGAAAAACCTTGAGTCTGTCCAGCGGAGCTGTTCCAGTTCTGGACACGGCTCCAGCCATCGCCCCAGCAACCAGCTGTCTCCAGACGAGCCCTGCCCTCCGCTCTCGCTCAGAAAACTCATCCGGCACTGTCAGCTGTTCTCCAATATCAAGCATCTAAAACAAATATGCATTACATTTAGGGCTTTTAGCAGACGCTTTTATCTAGAGTGACCTACAGAGGTGCTTTGTTGTCCACTTAGAAACTTGATCCTTATAAAAGTGCAAATAGACCTTTGAGGTCAGGCATCATTTTGTTGTCTGCTACCTGCTCAATTTATGAATTCCAGGCCTTAGCTCTTTTTACTATGGGAAAAAAGAAGAGCGCATTCAAAAGTCGGCACTATCAATATTGCAAACTTGTAAATCAGCAAATACCAATATCATCCCAATATTGTTTCTTTTAAAAATAACTAAGCTTTAAAATGAGCAATTTTTAATGAAGAGCTTTATTTAAGACAAGCATCTAAAAGAAGGCTGTTAGGCCCTATTTTAAATATCTGTTGTGTACATATATGCAACTATCAAATATTAAACACATGCATAATACATGTATCATACATGTATGTGTGATATGTGGTTGAATACATCCTGGTACGTGAATACATGTTATCTGTTTGCTTTTAAGGACCAAATTATTTAAATGTGTCAGAAAATAATACTTGTAAATGAAATTATTGCATAGCTTACATGTGCACGCATTTACAGTTTAGTTATGTAGGTATTACACTAATCCTCACTTCATTAGGGAGTATGTTGGTTTCTATGTTTGCAGGTATGTTCCACACATACTTCATACAATATAAAGTCCAAACTAGGGGATAAAATTGGATATGACTAAATTGAAGAAAAAAAAAAGGATTTCTAAATTTGTTTTATCCTTTATATGTTTCCTCCTGAATATCGTTGTGTCATAATACGAATGTATGTGCAAACTCACGCTGCTGCACATTAAGTTAAACTTTACTAAAATGCCCTGCATATACCCCGCTTACACATATATGTCTCAAAATGTTGATATATGGCTGAAATATATGTCCCACATTTCAAATAAGTATATTTGGACATATATTAAAGCATACATGTGCATATGCGACAAATATAAGTTGGAAATAGAGAAATTCATATATACAAATATATGTCATATATTTGAAATCCATGTATTTATATATTTCAGATTTCCATATGGGACGTTTTGTACTACATACTTTGTTTCCCTGAATATCACTGCATCTGAATTACAAGGTGGTGAAGTAGAAAAATCAATATTAGCATGTAGTTAATATTGCTACACACTGCAATCAAGCTAACACTCTTGCACACTGAAGTGATGCCATGTGAAAGTTAGTCAAATACTAAACCACTATTATATAATGAGTTAAGTCATTTTTAAAATGCTGTTAATTGGTCTCCTAAAATAAACCATCTTAGATCTAGGGCCTGTAATAAATTTTTTTCCTAATTTTTAAAGGGATTCCTTAATTATTCTTCTTTTTATCATTTTTTTCCACTGTTTTCTCTGTTGGTAACTGGGAGGTAAGGGGGTATTTACAATTTGCATAATTGTGCACATTCATAGATATTTGTATTCTTAATTAGCGTTAGGTTTAGGGACGCTCCTGTGCTATTTTTAGTTGTTTCCTGGACAATGATACATAAAACATTTAACATTTTATTATTTGAAAGAGAGATTATTGTTTCATGGGTTAAATTATGACGTTAGGGGTACTTAAATATGCCGAAGTGAGAGGTGTGAGCGAGAGTAAACCGTAAACAGTAAAAGTTAAAGCGGCCTTAGTAGACGGTTCCGTGTTTTATTATGTAATACAAAAGAGGAATCTTCATAGGACACTGACGAGCGAATGTTTCCAGTAGTGGGCAATATCCTCCATGTTCCGGAATGGATTGAACAAGAAGTGATCTCGCCACTCGTTCCAGTCGATGGTCATGGTGCCGTCTCTGTCCATACTAGAAAAAAAGCAAAGCAAATGAAAGAGTGAAATCAGACTTGCCCACTTTTCTCATGACCGCTATGAGTAATGCTTATCTCTGCAGGTTTAACATCAACCATTCTTTTAACTGAAATTAAAGGAAAGATAGTAAGAGTTTAAAACACACACGGAAATGTTTTATGGGCCACTCCCTGAACACACTAACCTGCGCAGTATTCTGCAGGCCTGCTCGGTGGACACCTCCACTCCCAGACTGTGTAGAGACTGCTGGATCTCTCCCACATCGATCTGACCTGAATAGACACAAAATACTCTGAGAATGCCGCACAATGGTAGTACATCTCGATAAAACGCACACATATAACAATAAACTCCAGCTTTAGATTGATTAATTCTCTCAAATCTAACGTCCGTCAGTGATCCATTCAGAGTGTTTGTCTTTGTCTCCTTTTTCTGATTAAAATCTGCCCCCAGATTAGGCAGCGAGCGTGCTTGTCCACGTTGGTCAGTACAATGGATCAGCATGTGGAATTGGCACCTTCTGAGTGCTACTATGTTTCCTCACACTGTATAGTAGAAGCTCCATTCAGCCCTAAAATGTGCCTTAAAATGTGGGTTTTCATGAAATACCACCAGTGAATAAGAGTGACACACTTTGAGTAGAAATTTAAGTATACTGTATACAACGCTGTGCAAATGTTTAAGCCTCTAATATACATATATACATTTGTTCCAAACACATTATAGACCACTTTTTATATTTTTCTATATTTGTTTCATGATCTACATTGTTGGTAGTGCGCTTTACACATATAAGAACTATCAAAGCTATATTATGATTATTATTATGTTTATTAGAGAAATCAAAGTGTGTTTTCCATTAACATCAGCTGTTTTTTTAATTATTATATTCAAAATTGTTAATACATAGACATTAAAGAGAACTGTTGAAGTCAAGACAAGATCTGGAAGACCAAGAAAAATCTGCATGTAGACTGATCAGAAATGCAAAGCAAAACCCCCACATCACTGCCAAGGACCTACAGCAAGATTTGGCTGGCACAGGAAGGGTGATCCACTGGCCCGCTGTGCAGTGTTGTTGGATAAACATCATCTACATAGAAGAGTCATCAAAAGTTAACCTTAACTGTGATCTCATCACGAAAGTCAACATCTGAAATATGCGCATAACACTTAGATAAGACAAACGCATTTTGGAAGTTCTGTGGTCTGATGAAACAAAATGTAAATGTTTTGGAGAAAAAAGGGAGCAGCATTTGATGAAAATATAATAATTGTGCATTAAAAATACAAAATTATGTCATATTTGTCCCATGCAGGGGTGGTGTTAACTTTTTAAATTTTATTTACTATTTATTTAAACAGTAGGCATTTCTCTGCTCAGAAAAGCACTAATATTTGAATAAATACAAATAACATTAATACCAAAATAGGCAATGTCTGTTTTTCAAACTTCACCTTGTGGCAGTCCAGTGTTAATTGTAGGTACCATCCAGTACCCAGTTTGGCGCAATCAATGATTCATTAAGTTAAATCGGTTGGGCTTTTTATGGAACAAATCTATGCGACAGTAGGGTGTCGAGGTCCAGAAGTCCGAAACTTAACCTGTTGTTCTTCCCACCAGCTCACAAGATGCATACTTTTTTAAAAAAAAGAATTTTTTGTTTAACCATTTAAGTTTATTGTATTAATTTGAATGCTACAAAGAGTTTTACAGCCAAAAACACTGTTATTGCACAGATAAATGCTTTTAATACCTAACACTTTTGCACAGTACTGTACATCTATACAATTTGTCAGTTTACTTATGCTTGGAAATAACTGTAGATGTAATACGTTTCACTCATGGGGAAATTCTATTCATTACTGTTGTTCAGTGTGCTCTGAATCACGAAAACTATATACACTACATGTATAAAAGTTTGCAGACACCTGCTCTGCTCATCCAGCGTTTCTTCTGAAATGAAAGGTATTAATAGGCAGTTTGTTCCCCTTTGCTACAGTAACAACCTTGACTCTTCTGGGAAGGCTTTACACAAGTTGTTGGAAAATTGCTGTGAGGATTTGATTGCTGCCAAAAGAGCATTAGTGAGGTCACGTACTCATGTTGGATGATTAGTTCTGGATCAATCCAACTTATCCTAAAGGTACAGTCCATCCTCGCACTTCCGTGTTCATTAATGCGGAAGTGAAAACTGTAGCATTAAACAAGTTCTAGTCGTGTTGTAAACAATGGCTGAGATTACGACCTGGAATAAACACTGAGTTCCTAAACGCACCAGTAATTAAACTAAACAGCCTTGCCTTATTTTCCACTCGTTCAAGCTGAAAAATGTTGAACTTCAGCTGAAAATACCCACTTGTCATAGGAGATGATCAAAAAGATCACAGGGGAAGAGTTTTGCTTCCATTTGTGATTAAAAATGCTCAGCTCAAAGATAAATTTTAATTTACTGGCGTATATATCTTCCTGGAAATTGTTACTTTAATGTAGAAATATGATGCTAACGTTGCTAATAAGTACCTGGGCTGAGTGGGAAGAATTAAACCTGGTCGATTTTGTCTCTTCCAAAAATAAAGCACAGTAAATGTTATTTATAACAAGAGGCCTTGATACTTTTAGACACACAGAGTATCAGACAGTTTCATCGTGCTTCACCATGCAGACAGTATGTCAGATTAGAATGACTGAAGAGAGAGACTGTGGGCAGTATACGTACCGTCATTGTTGCGGTCCAGGCTGCGGAACATGAGTTTGAGCTCTTTCTCGTGGGCGCGCAAATACCGGGTAAATTCCTCAAAGTCCAGTTGGCCATCTTGATTGGTATCACTCACACGTACAATCTGCAGGAAGGACAGGAAGTGAGAAGGGTGAGGCAGGATGTCTATCCATTAACAGTCAATGGCAAGTGGACTTCAGTCTGGGCCATAAATGACAAAACCTGGTCAAAAAAATCAATAATACAATATTCTGCTAGCACCCCATGGGATTTCTAATAGTATTTTAGCACTAAGCTAATACTGTTGCACATGAACATTTTTTGCCTGTTCTAGATTAAATACAGGCACTTGTGAAGGACATTTAATATCTTTTTTTCTGGACATCCACATATATTTGACCTTGTAGCAGTTTTACAGTCACTCTTTCAGTAAAGACCTCACAGAGCTGCCACTGTTGTTTTCCATTTCTAACAACTGACTGAAACCTGGTTAGACTACGGCTGGAATTTACAGTCAGTGAACTTCCAGAAGGTTCTAGAGTGACATTTTTTCTCCCCAGATTGGTCCCACCCATTGGAAATCACAATGCGATTGGTTTAATCCACATTCAGATACTAATCGTTAGTTGTTTAAGGTTAATCAGCTCTTGAAGGCTTAACCAATAGGAGAGCTTGTTTGGCTATATCTGTCTAGATACCATGGAGAAAACACAAATCTGATTGGACAATTGGCTGTTTCAAAACCTTACCCCCTTTTTTCCAACCGGAACTCAACAATAAGAGAATTACTGTATAACTTGCAGATTTCAAACAAAGTGTGAATGATCGTTCTATCAAAAATTACAGACACACACACACACACATCATCCAAACCGCCCATCCCTCTGGGTCACGGTGGGGTGCTGGAGCCCATCCCAGCTGTCACTGGGCAGAAGGCAAGATACACCCTGGACAGGTCGCCAGTCCATAAAATTGCAGACATGCATTTTTAATTCTCAGAAGTCATTAGATCTTCTCTGAGGGCCTAGAAGGCCCTGGAGTTCCCCTCTGCTTACAGTCATATCTCTCCTAGACTCTGTACCAGATGCCTGGTCCCTCTTGGGATTGAATAGACTGGTATCCCATTGGAGCCAATGACTTCATAGGTTGTCCCCTTTAACTGATTAAATTCTGTCCCTGGAACAGCAAGCATGTCCTCTTTGGCTATAAAATGGGTATGAAATGTGAAATTAGAGCTTTCTATGTGCATCATGTTTTCTATCTATGAATTTCAGTTCTTTTAAATGCCATAACTGTAGTGCTATTTGTGTTTACATGATAGTTTACAGTTCCAGAATGTGTGATAAACATCAAAATCAAATCATCACAGCGTATCATTGAACAATCATTGCTTGTGCCATGTTCCTTCATGCTCATGCTTTTATGTATGAAAGAATAAAAGGTATAAATATGGTAATAATATGATAATCAGCTTCTGTCTGAATGTGCTGGGGACTGGCAGCAGCAGTTAAGCACACTCTGAACTAGCACTAATCTGTCCTTCTGCATTACAGCACATGACTAACGCGCTCGCACAGCCTAACAGAACGGCCACAGCGCTCACACATATTCATTTCCATTCCAACTTCAGCCTCCATGTTTGCACTGACATTTTTGCTTCAGAACATTTTAAACACATATAAACATCATGCAGAATTCTTATTAATGTGTGTACAGTCTAGTTTTGCAGAAAGAAAGAAAAATCCATTACATTTTGGCCTTTTGTTTTACATTTCTTGACATTAAAACACACGGAATAAAGTCAGAATCAGAATGTAAATCACTGTGTAACTCACTACACCCTTTAAAAATTCAAGGGTTCTTTAGGAAAGGCAAGAGTTATGTATGGACCATTTTACTGAATTAGTTAAAGCTGTGGTCCCACAATAAAAAAAGAAAAACAATTAAGTATTCAGACCTTAGATATGTACAAGAATTATGTTATGATCTGTTTAAACCCAAAGCATTAATAGAGATTAATAAGCTAAATATATACAAAATCATTGTTTGTAGGGTGCTTTCTTTGGATTTTAGTTTTTAAATTAAAAAAAAAAAAAACTTTATTCAAAAACATGCTGTCATGTTTTCATGTCACTGCAGAAGCACAAAGTTTTAGTCCATAGGCGAAGCCATATTTTAGCCACACCCCTGCATTTTAGAGCAGCAAGTGAGACTGCATCCCTGTCCCTCATGGCCACATGGTGAGCAGTCAGACCCCATTGTTTTGACATAAATGGGTCCCAAAGTCTGAAAATCAGTGTGGAACATTAAGAAATCAGTTCCCAAAAAAATGTTTTTGAAAAAAAAATGTTTTTCTGAAAAATGTTATGCTTTTATATGTGTGCAACTGACTGTATGTGTGCTAGTCATGTACTGGCATGTACATCATCTGTTCATCTGTGTTTTTGAGTTCGAAACAGTCACTACTGAAACAATTTGTAAAGTCTCTTTAACTAAAGTGTTATGATTATTTTGTTAGGGACAAAATGGAATGCTCAATTATTTGTTTATAAAAAAAAAAAATAATAATTAAGGCATAGGGTCACTCAAAGCAAAAGGATTCAAAGTCCACACCAGTTAAAAGTCTGAAGTCTTCAACTCAACTAATTCATCAGAATGATCCACAAAGACCCATAAACATGGTTCAGAAAATGGTTCTTTGTATGGTTAAATGGTTCTTCTCTATGATGGAAAATGTGTTGTGTGTGGTTATTTAAAGAACTATTTTAAAAATAGATTTATACGGCACTAAAAAGGGTTCCGCTACTATAACAAGTCACAGAACCTTTTTTGACACTATATATATATATATGAATATACAAGAATAATAACTCTCGACTTCTAAGAATGAGCTTCGTAACCAGTCATAAACTCCTTTATGGGTTGATATCTTGATTGCTGGTCGAATGCCTGTCATATTTACATGAGCAAACTATTTGAATTCTGCTTTACATTCGTCATCTTGAAAAGAGGATCGTAGAGAATGGAGAACTGATAAAGACATTTTATGGGGTTGTGAACTAACTTTAGTTTTGAAGAACACACCTGAAACTTCTCCCTCCTAGCTAACTTTATTTATAGTCGTGGTTTTAAACTCTCCATCTCCTCCCTGTTCCTCGTGAGTTCTACACCCTTAGCACGATGAGGCCTGGTCTTACAACAGAAGGTATAAAGCCTGTCGGCACTGGGCTGTGGAGCAGTGCAACTGCATTCAACTTCATCCAATATCTTTGGGATGACGTTTCGCTGATCCTGAACTAATCATCCAACATCAGTACCTGACCTCAGTGATGCTCTTGTGGCTGAATGCAATCAAATCCTCAACATCTAGTGTAAAGCCTTCCCAGAAGAGTAGAGGCTGTTCCTGCAGCAAAGTCCCTACTGAACTCACCATTAATACCTTCATTTCATTTTCAGACAAAATTTTTGATAAGCAAGTGTCTGCAAACATTTGCACATAGCGTAGCAAGTAGCTATCATGTTTGAGATACTACTAAAAGCAATTCTTAGTTTAATTACTCATTAATTCATTAATATTCATCGTAGAGACTGGATAAGAAGTCTTATAATGTAATAACTGAATAATAAACCTCCAGTATAAGGGCTTAACAACCTCAAAATCCTTATCAGACTCCCATAAGACCTTAGAGTTGAATTGGTATAAATATGAGACTGAGTGAAAATAAGACAGTATAGAAAAGATGAGAGGAAAGTTCAAACAGTGTCAGGTTGAACTGACCCTTTTCATAGCTGTTGTTTAGAAAATGACCCTTAGTCAACAACACAGACTGTAAAAAACACATCCTTCAGGAATGTTTTCAGGGCAGGTGATAGTCAGTGAAAATGCAAAGCAGAATCGAACCTGAAACCTCAACAGTTTCGGTCTCCAAAACATTAGAAAGGACACAGCTGAATTATTCAGCCAGGTCAATGTCCTCGACTAAGGCCATCCTGAAAGACGTCAAGCAGGCTAATTTTAAAGGTGCTGGCACCTTCGCAAATGACGTGTAACTTTATGTGCTATAGTAACATGTGCTTTCCTCCACGTGTGACATCATTATCTAAAATAGCCTCAGGAGGTCAACTTCAGGCTGCAGCTAGCCTACATTACGCCACGTAAATAAATGACACGGGGGATCACTTGTCGGCACTAAGCACGATTGGGACATGGCCCAGTTTTTTGCTTTCATAATAACGAAGGCCGTAGCTCTCAGGGGAGTAATGAATTCATACTGTGCTGCTGGATCCTCTCACTGTGTCCAAACTTGAAGACTTTACAATGGACTTATTGCGACTGACCACTTGTATTATAACTCTTGCAGACTGAACTTACAGTAGGCTGTAATCTTGAATCCTGGACATGTCTGCTTGAGGTACATCTTGAGGACTGAACATTTGGTCCAGTTTTCACTCTGATGAAGCCCATTACTGTTAGGAGACTAATGAATTCATATAGACTTTATACTGTGCTGATAGATGTTCTGACTGTGCCCACACACAAACTTCTGTAGAGTGACCCCAACACCCACATACTGAACCGTCAGACACACACAACAAAAATGAACTTACTGTGCTGAGTGGGAGTTTGCTCAAGCATCATTTTGATTAAGCTCCTTTTGAGCTGAGGTTTTCAGTCACTCTGGTTACTGCACTGCCTAATAGGACTGACTCCATAAATCTTGAGGACTGGACTCATAAGCTTGAAGACTTGACTTGTGGCATATACCGTAAAGACTTTCTGCCACTTGTGGGAAATCCTGAAGGCTTGTAATATAATCTTGAAGACTGAACTTGTGATACAACCTTGAGGATGTGACTTGTGACATAATACTGAAGACTGGAGTTATGATCTAAATCTAGACTTGAGGTATAATCTCAACCACTTTGGGATATTTGTGGTATAAATCTTGAAAACAGAACTTAAACTTCAACAGTTAAACAGCAGGGTAATCTTCAAGGCTGGATTTGTGGAACAATCCTGAGACTCTATAAACAGTACAAACCTTGGAAACTGGTCTACTGATGAACCCAAATCCTTGACATGTGGTACAAATCTTGAAAACTGAACATCTGGTGTAGCCTAATCCTAAAGAATGGGTTCGTGGAACAATCATGAAGTCTCTATGTGTGTTACTAATTTTGAAAACTGGATTTCTGGTGTAGCCTAACTCTGAAAACTCCATAGGTGGTCTAAGTCTTGAAAACTAGACATCAGATGTGAGCCTAATCTTGAAGCCTGGACTAGTGGAACAATCCTGAAGACTCAACATGCGGTACAAAACTTAAAAAATGAACTTATGGTGTAGCCTAATACTAATACTGAAGACTGGATTTGTGAAACAATCATGGAGACCATTTCTGGTAAAATTTGTTATTAAAAGTTAAAAGTTTCTGGTGATTCTTGGTGGTTTCCAATAGAAATAACATTTTTCATTTATCCAGGTACAAACAGTGTAAATATGTCCTCACAGGTACAACAGTGGTTTTAAGGTCTAATTGTGTACCTTAAAAAAGTTTATCCGGACGAATGTTCTAAATCAGAACAATAAAATAAAAGCCTGGAGACGAGACGGGGTGTGTGGAGTCAATACAACTTAGAAAATATCATTTCTGTGGATTATGGTACAATTATGTTCCCTGACTAAAGGTACTGAGATGTACCCTTGAGGGTCCCACCCCAGTGACAAAAACTGCACCAGTGACAGTTTCATACCTGTTTTCTGAGAGTGTACAGGAAACTGGTGGTCTCTAATAGTAACCACTAAGCCAATTTCTTTTAGAAAGCAAAGCTGTCAGGTTTTAATCCTAATTATTCTAATAGTTTTTTCAGCAGGTTAGTCTTGAAGACTGGATTTGTGGAACAATCCTGAGACTCTACATACAGTCCAAGCCTTGAAAACTGAACTTCTGATGAACCCAAATCCTGAAATAAATTCTGGTGTAGCCTAATTCTAAAAACTGGACATGTGGTGCAAATCTTGAAAACTAGACTTCAGATGTCAGACTAATCTTGACGACTGGACTTGCGGCATAAATCCTGAAGACTGGACTCGTGGTCTAATTTTTGGAGACTGAACTTGTGGTAGCCTATACTGTGGTAGAATCTTGAACTTGTGACAAATCCTGAAGCAAGGTTTCATACAGAAATTGAAAACTATGACATGGTGAAGTCAGAAACCCGGATTGTGCTGTATGATGAAGTCTTTACGGAAGTCCGGAGTACGGAGCCCTGCTGGTGACGTCCTGTATAAATAAAAATAATGCAAGGCCACCACTTAGTAATGTGTGGGAATAAGATAATTAAGTCGAGTCCACGACTTAGTAAGGTGTGGGAACAAGATCAGGCCTTACTAAGTCGTGGCCACACATTAGGATCTTGTTCCCACGCCTTCATAAGTCGTGGCCACAACATTATTATCTTGCTCCCATGCCTTACTAAGTCGTGGCCACGCATTAGGATCTTGTTCCCATGCCTTCATAAGTCGTGGCCACAACATAATTATCTTGCTCCCATGCCTTACTAAGTCGTGGCCACGCATCATTTTTATTTATACAGGATGTCACCAGCAGGGCTCTGGACCGGAGAGGCCATGAGATGTTGCCATCATTTTCTGGATTGTAATCTTGAGATAACAAGATAAGTAATTTGTTATTTCAAGATAACAATTTTATTATCTTGAGATAACAAGATAAGTAACTTGTTATTTTAAGATAATAATGTTGTTATCTTGAGATAACAAGATAAATAACTCGTCATTTCAAGATAATTTTATGTTAAGATAGCGAGATAAATAACTTATTATCTCAAGATAACAACGTTGTTATCTTGAGATCACAAGATAATTAACTCATTATCTCAAGATAACTTTTGTCATCTCAAGATAACGAGATAAGAAACTTGTTATTTCAAGATAACAATTTTGTTATCTTGAGATAACAAGATAATTAACTCGTTATCTCAAAATAACAATCAAAAAATATAACTGCTTCATGGCTTCTCTGGACTTCCGTAAGGTCTTCAGGTTTACACCACAGGGCAAGTCGCCTCGACTTGCCTCAGCCACTACTTTCACACAACAGACATGTCTTACCTCGTCGACGTCAGTGCGCGCGACCCCCCACGCCGCGAGTCCGGAGCGAAGCTCGTGCATGTCGATCCTGCCATCTTTATTGAGGTCCAGCTGCTGGAAGAGCTCGGTCCAGCGCTTCTCTCTCTCAGCCCCGCTCTCCTCACAACGAGCCCGGATGCAGCCACAGGGGAGCCGGGCGCTGGCCTCGCCCATCGGGGACCCTCCCCCTGCTCCTCGGAGCCGAATGCAGCAGCGGACCGCTAGAAAACAGGGTTAAACCGAGCTTGTATTAACCGCAGTGTGGAGTGCGGTAAACTGGGGGACGCTGCTGCGCCGCCCTCCTCCTCCCTCCTCCCTCTCTAATCCTCCTCCACAGTCCGCCGGGGGAACTTTGGGGGGCTGAGAAGGAGCCCAGCAGTTCACCTGAGGCTAAAAACGCCTAAAGGAAATAAACCCAGCAGCCCGAGCAGAAACACCGGCGGCTCGGCTTCTCCCGCTCTGCTCCGATTAGCGCTGCTTTAATCCCGCGCTGCATTAGTACAGAGAGCATTACAGTGCGCGCGCGGGCGGGCGGGCGCATGAGTGAATGTGCACCTCCTCGAGGCTGCAATATTAATCCCCGGATCTGTTACAGGCTCTCCTCTCCTCTCTCCCGCCGCAATTCCGCACGTTTCATTCCGGTCAGTGATCCTCCCCTCTCTTCTACTCACGTGCGTGACGGTGCAGAGTAATAGCGAGCACGAGGGCGACCTACCGCATACCGGCTAAATCTCCGTTTGTGTGTGAGTGTGTGTGTGTGCGCGCTCTCTACTCACAACAGTTTAAAGTACGTGTCTGACTGGAAACGAACAAGGGCGATTTAATATCCACCTGTTTATTTCCCTTATTTATCATTATTATTATTATTATTATTATTATTTAGATTTATCAGCCAGCTCTGCATGCCCTGTGGACTGGACACACCGGCTCGGAGGCACAGGTGCTGCTGGATATATAAGCTAAACATGAGATCTATTCGAGTTACATTTGTTTCCAGAAAGAGCTTTCAGTGCAGTAATCACACACACACACACACACACACACACACACACAGACAAACACACACACACACACACACAGACAAACACACACACACACACACACACATCCTCTAAACCGCTTATCCTTCTGGGTCGCGGGCACTAATCACAAGTTAGCCTAAATTTCAAACTTGATCAACGCAAAGTGATGCAGAGGCGCTTAGTGGGCGTGGCCACCCATTTCGGCACTGACCGTAAGCATTTACATTCCACTCACTGGCCACTTTATTAGAAACACCTATCTCGTGCTTCCACTCACTGGCCACTTTATTAGAAACACCTATCTTGTGCTTTCACTTAATGGCCACTTTATCAGAAACACCTACCTTGCGCTACCACTCACTGGCCACTTTATCAGAAACACCTACCTTGCGCTGCCACTCACTGGCCACTTTATCAGAAACACCTACCTTGTGCTTCCACTCACTGGTCACTTTATTAGAAACACCTACCTTGCGCTACCACTCACTGGCCACTTTATTAGAAACACCTACCTTGGGTTACCACTCACTGGCCACTTTATCAAAAACACCTACCTTGTGTGTCCATTCAGTGGCCACTTTATTAGAAACAGCTTGTACTTCCACTCACTGGCCACTTTGTTAGAAACACCTACCTATTATAGCACTTATAGCTTCACTACATAGGTGTACAATTACAGACTGTAGCCCACCTGTTGCAGCAAAATTTACCACCCCTTCTCCACCCCATTCATCGTTCAGGACCCGCTGTTGTCCAGACATGATTTGAATGGTGGAACATTCTCAGCATAGCAGTGGCGCTGACATCGAACACAGCAGTGCTGTTGGTGATGGATAACAAATTGTCCATCGACAGAAATGTCCAGGAAACGTAAAGCTTCATTTGTAAGGGTGTATTAATTGTGCTGCTTTATAGCTTGGATTGGCTATTAACTAATTAGTTTGAAGGAATAGTTGAGCAAAAAAGGTTTGCACTGCTACAAGGCTAATGTGGCTAATGAACTACACTGTAAATTAATTTTTTTGTAGTAGAGGGAGTAGAAGCTCTGTCCACTTTGCATCTGACACACTGGTCAGTATTATTAGAATGCACACGTACCTCATATGACGTAGATGTGAGTGTGCTGTGAATGACGAAGCACAGGCGACTGGAAACTAATGGATCAGCAGTTGGAGGATAGGGAAAGATTAGTGTAGGGAGCCGGGAGAGGGATCTATGCCCCCCTCTATGCCTGAAAGAATATTATATGTAACACAATATTATGGTGGCACCACAAAAACTGAAATATATGATACAGGTTAAAAGTTTGGACAAACTCATAGAAGGGATTTCTTTATTTTCACTATTTTCCAGATTTTAGATTAATATCAGAACTATGAAATAATATACGGAATTATGCAGTGACCAAAAATGTGTTACACAAATCTAAACTACAGATTCTTCCGTAGCTCCTGGCATTCCCTCAAGCAATTTTTGAGCCACTTGGGATGCTTTACCAACAGGAGCGGAGATGATACACACATTCTGAGACCTTATTGTTGCTAAACACAAGTTGTTGGAGGGCAGTACAGTGCAAAAGTGAGAGACCAAACTTCATTTATTCAATTTGCAGTCTAAGTGACCGTTATCTACAAGACTGTATTTTTCAGGATCATGGGAAAAATATATATATATTTAACAGAAAATTACACAGAAACCTCAACATCTAAATATAATATCAAAATTGTTCAGTATTTATTGTGTGCTTTCCACACTTCAAAGAAATTTGCAGAGAATTTTTTTCCACAAGTTCAGTCTAAGAAGTTGGTTGCATTTTCTGCTTCTCACAAAAGTGAGCAAAAGTTATTGTTTTGTCAATGTCCTTTTCTCAGTGAGGCTTCTTGACAGCTACACATCCTTTCAGACCCACAGCACTTAACAAGTTTCACAAATATACAGTACTGTGCAAAAGTCAGAGACCACCTTTCATTTATTCAATTTAGACTCAAAAGTCATTTTTTTAGTGTCAGGGAAAAAGCAGAAAACATATTTAACAGAAAATTTCACAGAAACCTCAAACAACCAAGTGTAAAAATTTTCAGTATTTGCAGAAATCTACAAGAATATTTTTCCACCTCCAAAGTTCAGTCTTGAAGTTCAGTAAGAAGTTGGTTGCATTTTCTGCATTTCATGATCCAAGTAATCCCAAACACGTTAAGTGAGGCTGAGGTCTGGACTCTGGGGTGGTCAGTCCATTGTTCTGTGAACACCAGCAGCTTCTTTGTTTGATGTGTCTGTCTCCTTTTCTCAGTGAGGTTCTTCTTGACAGCTACACATCCTTTCAGACCCACAGCACTTAGTTGTCTTCTCACAGTGGAAGGATGGACAGAAACACCTATGGATGTTTTCAGATCTGAAGCAGCTTGATTTTCTCCTCTCTCTCAAAGATGAAAGCTTTAAGCACTGTTTATCTAATGGGGACAGTTTTGGTGGTTGTTAGGAGTCCCATTGCAAACATGCCAGTAAAACCACACTACTTGCCAAATGCACATGCTAGAATATTGGCACATACGACATTCTATTAAACCCTCTATTAAACTAAAGTCTTTACGGGAAGGTCTGTCCACTCCATGGTCATCTTGGCAACGTCGACAGGCAATTATTTTCACTGATAAAATTATTTATATTTGAAATCACTGGTAAAATCAGACAAAAACGCATACATATTTTGTAGTGTTTGGCTCAAATAACCCCAAAAACATGTTTTTGTTCTGGCTAATGTGCATACCACCGCGAGGTGGGGGAGCTTTTCCCGCTTAATCAACAAGTTGATTGGCTCATTTCATTGAAGCGTGGGGCCTTGTTGAGGACATGTTGAGTGTTAGGAGCATTTCCATTCATTTTCCAACCAGTGACCAGTCTTTTCCTTTATAAGGTCTCCGATTAAACCCAGATTTTTGGCCTGCCTTAAGGACTTTGATTAATCTGACTGAATTTGGGCCTAATTAAAACCCTTGCATTGTTTAAATGAGTATGTAGAAAAGGCTGTGGTTCCTATATGATTCACTCAGTGCACATGTATTAAAAAAAGCTGCATTGTATTGTCTCACTGTCCTAATACTTACATACTTGCATTGTAGTTCTTTCTGGTACTTCCAATCTGAGGTCCTGTTTATTTAAAACCAAATTATTATTTAAGAAATACTTTGCATATTTTTATTTAGTTTTACCTATGTTTACAATTTCATTACAATCCTTATTGTATAATATAATTATACTTCCTATAAAAAAAGTTTAGAATTCTATGAATTACATTTCAAATAATACAGTTTATTACACGTCTCTGTAAATTTCCCAGTACAAGTTTTATGTCTGAGTTATAGATGGCATGATACTGCTTTTCTGTTGCTATCTAGTTTGAGCAAATAGCTGTTAAATGCAGAATCTTAGCTCAATAAGCCGCTCAAAAGAAAACTTGTACTATAACGGACACACAAAGACACAAAGGAAGTCTTAAATCAACTCCCATGAAGTGCAGCCATAAATAGCAGTGGAACAGAGTGAATGGCAGTGGATCAATGGCGCTGCTGCAACTGTTAAGCTATTGCTCAGGCAACTCACAGCAATACACCACAATCAAAACATCCAAAACGCTGCTTGTATTGCTCACTGTCAAAAGCAGCATAGAATTTTACTCCATGGCTTTGGCTGGAGCTGCAAGTGCAGTCGCAAGTACTCACAGTTCTGACAACAGGCATAAAGACACGGCTGAGTGCTTGAGAAAGTGCCAAATATGTAAAGACAAGTGCACTTAGGTTTGTTGGGGTTTCATAAATGATCTTTTGCGGAGGACTCTTAGTGTCACATTAGCTGTTGTATGATTGATTGTGTAACAGCAGAAAGAAAAGCAAGCCTTAAGAAGCCTCTCAGGAGCTGAGACACTATTTAGGAGACTGTAGTGGGCTCTAGATGAAGAATTGGAAAACACCAGAGGTTTTTTTTTCAGAGTTTCCAGAAATTGTTAGACCTTCAGAGAAGGCCTAATGCCTTCTTGGAACTAAAAATGCATGTATGTAATTGTTAGTTTGTTTTTTATTTAACAGAATGTTTCTTTCAAACTCTGAAATACTTTTATTTCATAGTTAAATCTACACCATGTATGGTTTGGGGATTTGGAGACCCCTCTGGTGGAAATGTGTAATTGTATGTAACTTGTGGAAAAATGTTTTGTAATGTTGCTTGTGCGTCAGACCCCATCCCTGATCTGATGTTTGCAAGCATGCTAAAAGAGGTTTAAAAAAAATGAGGATGTGAGTGAATTATCTACTAATGTCACCATAATGTCATCAGCATAATGTTGATTTTGCATTAGAGAGCTTAACATTGAGCCAGACCTTCTTTTTGACCCTGTGCATGATGTTAATATGTTAAGATGTATGACGTGGTCTGATAAACTGTTATTTTTTTCTCCTGACTCAGCTACATCTTTTTAAGTTGAATAAAAAATCTCATATAGTGCTGCTTCAAATTTTGGTTGGAAACAAAATGGTTCAAATAAAGAACCCCCAAAAGGATAATTGTCCAATTTGATTTTTTTCTCTGTGGTATCTCGGCAGAATCTCTCACATTGGTTAGGGCTTCAGGAGCTGAACTGAAGACCGTACATATCAGATTAACTACCAACATATTTAAAAAATGACAGCAATGTCTTCCAATCACATTTTGATTTATATTGGGTGGGACCAATTTTTTGAGGAAAAAAAAACACTTTAATCCTAAATATATACTTAAATTAATAAAATATTAATAAGATATTACTAATAATCTGAATTCATCTACCAAGCAATATAAATAATTAACAGTGAGCTATTGTTGCCAAGCAACATAATGGCCTAAGACTGTTCCATAAACAGCATGGTAAAAAAAGTAGTTCTAGTCACTTTTGCTTTTTAAGTTTTTTTTGTATCCACATTGATCAGCAGGCAGACTCTGTGAAAACTCTGCCTGCACCACTATGCTGGTAAATTACCAAAAATTCTTCCCTGTGGAAAACTAGGCCCATCTCAGAAAGAACCAATTATACAGATTTACAGCTCAGACTTTTGAATTAAGAATTATATATGTTACATATGTTAAATTGGTTAATGAGGGAACTCCCTACTGACTTCTATTATAATTGTGTTTAGAGTTTACGTCTTCTGTTCTTTTCTAAGTTCTAAGAAAATGTGCTGAATTATTGTCTATGATGATCAACAGTATAATACGGATGAGGCAGACAGAGATAAGACTGAAAAACACTGAAGTATTCCTTTACTTGCCTTGTCATTTGGATATAAATCTTTCCTTTGAACCATATGTTAAATTTTAATCAAGTGTGCTTTTAGTCTCCAAGAGAAACCTCAAAAATTCTAAAGCAAATTATGTTTCAGTTTTAAACGTAGGGTTATCTCCATTCCTCACCTATTTACTCTCTTTTGGACTCGGTGTTGTCATGATTACATCATCAACGCCTGCCGACAGATTCTTCGTGGCCCAGAAGGACGTCCTCCACACCCCACGCTTGGCATTGATATGCCAAGAGACACAAGGCACAATGGTGTCCCATGGTGCTTTGCAGCGGTGGCCAACTGGCAGGCGTTTCACGTCTTTGACTTTAGCGTATCCACAGGCAACCCCTGCTGGCACACACTGTCACCACCTGTGAGCAGAGAAGTTAATAGCTTGTGTTAACGATGTCTGTATAAAGTTCACACACTGCAAAACGAGAAGCGTTTCATTTTCTTGATTCAAATGTGTCAATAATTTCTCCATGAATAAAACATATTTATTACTGCCAACACAATTACTGCCAAAAGTCAACTAAGTCAACTGAAAGGCAATTCAACGAAGGACCTTTTTAGTGTAGTTTCAACAGGTTTTATTAAGTCATTCTCCTTTCGTGCTGAGAAGTACACCGATCGGACTTAACATTATGACCACCTCCTTGTTTCTATGCTCATTGTCCATTTTATCAGCTCCACTTACTATATAGGTGCACTTTGTAGTTCTACAGTTACAGACTGTAGTCCATCTGTTTCTCTGCATACTTTGTTAGCCCCCTTTTACCCTGTTCTTCAGTGGTCAGGACCCCAGTGTACCCTCACAGAGCAGGTACTATCTGGGTGGTGGATCATTCTCAGCACTGCAGTAACACTGACGTGGTGATGGTGTGTTAGTGTGTGTTGTGCTGGTCTGAGTGGATCAGACACAGCAGTGCTGCTGGAGTTTTTAAACACCTCAGTGTCACTGCTGGACTGAGAATAGTCCACCAACCAAAAATATTCAACCAACAGCGTCCTGTGAGCAACATCCTGTGACCACTGATGAAGGACTAGAGGATGACCAACACAAACTGTGCAGCAGCAGATGAGCTATCATCTCTGACTACATCTACAAGGTGGACTGACAAGGTAGGAGTGCCTAATAGAGTGGACAGTGAGTGGACACAGTGTTTAGAAACTCCTGCAGCACTGCTGTGTCTGATCCACTCGTACCAGCACCACACACACTACAACACCACCACCACATCACTGTTACTGCAGTGCTGAAAACGATCCACCACCCAAATAGTACTTGCTCGGTGAGGGTCCATGGGGGTCCTGACCACTGAAAGGGTAAAAGGGGGCTAACAAAGTACACAGAGAAACAGATGGACTACAGTCTGTAATTGTAGAACTACAAAGTGCACCTATATAGTAAGTGGAGCTGATAAAATGGACAATGAGCGTAGAAACAAGGAGTTATCATATTGTTATGCCTGATCGGTGTATTTACAAGTGAGTGTTTTAGAGGTGGGGCACAAATCATTACATTTTGATAGAATATTACCAGAAAACAACAATTTTGTCTTTTAAATGGCATGATGAATCATGCTTAATGTGACCACAGACATGACCAAGGTAAAAAAATTCGATTTCAGGGTGACTTTAACCAAAACTGAGCAAGCAAAACAAAAGCTAGTTTTAGCTAGACGTTTGGACTTTTAGTAAGTACTTCTAATAAGATATGGACAAATGCTCTTAAATAACCTTTTCTTACCTCAAGAGTGAAGAAATTCTACTTTTATTCCCATGTAGTCTCATCAGCCTCACTCCAAAATTTCTACTCCAAATTAAATGTCATAGTCAAATAATTATACATCGTGTTTCTGTGCAGGTGCCTATAAAATGTTGATGGAGCAATCAAAAAAGATGATAGTCTTGCATATAAAAAACTGACATGTTTATTTATGAAACAGGTGTATAAAAGTTCCAACATGAACTGTATTCCTAAAAATGATCATAATTGAAAATTGAAAAAGCCATTTGAAAAAGCCATTTATAAGCCCTATTAGTAGATCCCTGAGTTTACAGCTGTGCAGCCTAGATTCTCCAGGTGATCACCTTGGCAGGTCATTTGACGAAATCAGCCAAGCTAACGTTTAGATAAAATCAGACAAATTGCATTTTCAGGTAGGAGTGTGTCTCAGAAACAGCTCAGTGATTTTCTCCTAAAAGAAATTAAATGGTCAGAGACGTGATGAGAAAAAAAGAGTATTATGTACCCATCAGACGCCTGCTATTTAGCTGCCCTGCAAAAAGTGCTAAATTGAGACATCATTGTGCAACTCGTCTCAGCTGGAACAGTCAAGACTAACAGTTTCAGTACGAAACAATAGCACAAAGAATTGTTTGAAGGTTTCTTCTTAGAGAACACTGCATGTGGCAGACCTAAAACACATGAAAGAGGAACAGTCATTACAGCACTGATATAGATGGAAATGCTATACTACATGTCCAAAGGTTTGTGGACACCAGCTCATTCGTTTCTTCTGTGATCAAGTGCAGAAACAGTGTATTATCTACAGTTGCATTATCTACAGTTGCAGCCTCTATAGTTCTGGGAAGGCTTTGCACTGTTGGAACATTGCTGTGAGGATTTGATTGCATTCATAAGAGCATTAGTGAGATCAGGAACTGACGCTGGACAATCCGTTCTGGATCACTCTAGCTCATCCCAAAGGTATTGGATGGAGCTCCATCACTCTAGAGAGTGCAGCCCAATGTTGGGGGGCTTTATACCCCTCTAGCCGACGCTTGGCATTGGTTATGTTGACCTAAGGCTCATGTGTGGCTGCTCCAGAGTGTCCCAATCTATTGACAATGTTTTTCTATAGAGGTTATACATGCTGTATGCACCTTAAAGGAGCTGCATGCACTCACTAGGAAGACTGTCTTAAAACGTAGGTTTACATACACAATATCTTCTTTTGGAATTATCTGAGTAATATTTGATTTTTACTGTTACTTTTCAAAGACATAAGTGAATACTGAATATAAATATTTCATTATCATAAAGCAGCAATGTGCTTTTCCTTTAGGTGTAGTTATCTTTATTTAACTTCATGTTCATCAAGTATCTTCGCTGATATGAAGAACAGATTGTGCCTAAAAGTATCTGAGAGCTTTCTTTTCCAAACTATTGTTAAAAGCACATATTGAAGCTCTTTTGCCCAAAAGGTGCTTTAAACACCACAATAGGGGGATAAAATGCATGGCCTTTGCTGTTGTTCCTAAGGTAGGACTGTTATATTGTCACAAATATTTATAGCTATGATACTGTTTTTCTCTAAATAAACCTGGGGCCTGTCTCATAAAGTATGTTCCTTCACTTATAAAACTTCACGAATGCAACTAATGTCACTGCCACAGTTTTTGGGGCAATAGCTGAATAACATTTTTCCTATCAACATGGTGCGATTTGCGTTCTCTGCTGAAAAGCGATATTCTTCACGCAACTAACATCACAAATGTTATGAAGAAAAACAAAGACAGACGCGAAAAGGCCTGGGGTGAGGTTTTGATTGGTCTTGATTGGTCCAAAAGCTGTTTACTATCTGAACTTAACCTGCCCTATAGCAGGTCAGCCATGCAGCATAAGTTGCTATGGTGATGTAGTGTGGTAAAAAGTCATCCAATATCATTGGAGAGATAATCCAGGGTCAAATCAAACTAAGTTAAAAGTTAGCTGGTCCCATCTTAAGCTTTAAAATAGTATGTTATTGCTGACACCAAAACAACAGCATCTTTTATTAAAAGCAGTTTGAAAAAGTGTCCACAAACCTTTGATGGGCAGTGTATGCCTGCACAAGAACCTACACATGTTACAAAGTTCAGAACTGAAAACAAAGTACTTTTCAGTGTTTTACCTGTTATTGAACCGCTTCATAGGATTATCTTGAATTTGAGGCTTAGTAGCGACCACCTAGCAGTGATGAATATGAAGTACTTCAGTCAAACATTTAAAAAACTATAAACCAGTGTTCACATTACTGTGGAAAATGTGTGCTGTGCCTTGAAGAGTGCCAAAATTTATTCTACTCCAGGTGTATAATTCAAAAGAATCTCCCAAAACCTTCCTAAAGCTAGGCGGCAGTCAAGTGAGGTGCATTTATAGACTGGTGTGTCATCGAATACTCTTCCAAGCGAAAGGATCCTTCGAATACAGCCGAGTAATGTAGCCTACATTCTGACAATATTCAAGGATGCTATGAAGTATTCTTCACGGTCTTCTCTCATCTGACCCAAAAATGATCAAAAATCAGTCTTTTGTAAGAAGGGGTAGCTATATTTAGCCCAATGGAAAGCCAACGATGGTTAAAAGTACTGCACAAATTGTACTACATGTTTAAAGATGTATAGTAAAACATATAGTACACTGTTTCTTTAGTTTATCTGTTTAAGAGGGTATAAATTGAATGCAGGGTGTGAAATGCACCTGCTTTTGGTGAGTTATTTATAGCTTAATTAGAAACAAACTTATTCTTAGTCTTGCTTGATTGCTTCCACTCACTGACATTGTTTTTTCCTTCAAACTGTGCATGCTTTCTACTGATGTGACACAGTGGCATTGGTAGACCGTATAAATGAAGAGCCTTCAAAGGACAGTGCTACCAAAGAACCACCCTTCTCGGCTGCAGCCTAGCTTTAGTAATGCAGCTTATAAGTTTATCCATATTCTCCATTTTGAAACAGTAACCAATAATGGCTGCGTGTTTCCAGGGCAGTAGATGGCATTTTTCCACGATAACGTGAATATGACTTAACTTCCTGAGAATAGTATTGTCAACTTGTTACCAAAGGTAAGGTGGAGGGGTCCAGGACCAGCCATTTCTCCGTCACTGTTTCAGACTGAGGGCCACTCAGTGGCTCCCGAATTTTCACCCGCACCTCCAGGTGCCCCCCTGTAGGACTCCGTCTTTTGAAGACCTAACCAATGTAAATGAAAACACAATTAAATTTGTTTAATTTTATATTAATCATTAATTGTCACTTGTAGCTTATTGAAACAAGTGGAGAAATTATGCTGAAAGTGCAGATCGTAAACTTTCAATTCACACCATGTGTTTGTATGTAGAAACAAGTTGTGAGAGATATTTTATTATGCTTTAAATTTAATGAAAAGTTATTGTTTGGTTTACAGTCTTGTTTTGCAGAAAGAAAAAAAATCATTTACATTTTTGCCATGTTTTTGTCATTTTTTGACATTGAAAATTAAATGTAAATGTAATTTATTATGTAACAACTTATTAATTATGTAATTAAGTCATTACATTTCATTAATTATGTAATGGAAACACAATGAAAAGCAAGCCCTTTTAAATGGTTAAACTTTCCTTCAAAGGTAGGTATAAAAATAACATGAGTTAACCTCTATTAGCTGTCTGATCTCACACTTGCTCTCCAGGGAGTCCAGCTTCAGCTGAGCACAGCCCACCACTTTATCAGTCTTAAATAGACCACTACAGTACAATTAAGGACAGAGAGAATAAATATTACATTAATATGACAGTTTTAGTAACGAGGACATCTCAAAGTTAACAGATACTAACCTTTATGCTTATTTTATGATAGAGCTGATGGTCTCATTAAAACAAATATGAAACAATTTACAGAGAATGTGAACCATTTATAATTAGCCATAAATCTAAAATACATAGAAACACACATAATCCTCTATTTAGATAACGACGAAGCTTTATCTTTGAATCTCACTCTAGATTCAAAATTCTGAATCTAGGCAATATTTTTAAAATGGTATTAATGTATAATATTCAATATTTTTACAAATTTAGCTATATTTTTAAATGTTTGTCTGTTTCCTAACATGTTCAATATTAGCTCATTCATGTCCAACAGCTACATTTTTTATATGAGGGAAAATGGCACAGAACTTTCCTGATTGGTCTAAAATAATTCAATTTTATAATAAGAGTTATAACTTAACTTTTCGTTCTATTACATATAATGTCATGCTTTTATTCACAATCAAATTAAAGCTTTTCTATTGTTTGTAGTCCCATGTGACCGAAAGACTAAATTTGATAAATTAAGCAATAAAACCCAGACTAAAGCTTTTTAGCCAAATTGTTGATCGATTTGAAACCAATCTTCAGATTTGTGCTCAAACCAGCTCAGACAGCATATGGGACAAAAGAAATTTCACATATGGATGTTAATGTGGTAAAAGTATTTGCTTGCTGTGTTGATTTTTCTTTTTTTAGTTTTATAAGTGACTTATTATTATATTGTTTTCCTTAACTGTACACTTTGCAAAAATTAAATGAAAAGACATTGTGCTAGAATTGTGCTAGATTCTACCTGAAAGGACAGACACTCACCCTTTCTGAATGATCTCAAACTTGATGCCTTTAGACAGGACGACTCTCTTAAAGCCTCGGTGGTTGCGCTTAATGTGGAGTGTAAACTGCTCTCCAAACTCTTAAGGATCAGAAAGAACAAAGAAAGAACAAGATGGGGAACAATATAAGAGACATCGCTGCCCTAAGAGAACTTTGAGAGTGCTCACATGAGTGGTACCACGCTTAAATATTAATTTTAGTAGATCAGAGTGACAGTTTTCCTCTTTATTAGGTGATCAGACAAGACATTTAATGTCTGATGTTTGCTTTTTTGGTTTTAGTACTGGAGCTGAGACTAATGTAGCTACCAAGTAGTGGAAACTTATACCCCACTAATTAGCATAGCACTAAGTGCGTGCCTAAATCATCACACACTCACCTCAAACTGTCAAATCAAGGTGTTAAGTAATCTCTAATAGACACGGTTTGGGGAAAGTGTGTTATGCATGCAGTTTGCAAGACACTAGCTGGTGTACATAAGCTTCCATTACTTGTTGACTACATTAGCCTCACAGCTCCAGTGCTAAACTGAAGACGTAAACTTCAGACACCAAACATGTCTTGGCTGCTTAACTGTGTTTGAAGTAATGGGAGAAACTGAACTATCAGTTTAATTTAATCCTATTTGTCACACAAACAAAACACTTATTAAAACATTATAAATTAAGTAATATGCATGTTATTATCTTCTCTACCTGGACTAGAAGAGTTTTTGACTGAACGTGTTTGATCCCTTTGAGCTTCTTCCTGACGAGACGTGAGAGAAGAGCACAAATGTAAGTTTATTCCTCAAACAATCGCACACACGAAAACAAACCGAGCAGCATCTACAGAACATACCAAACTGGGAAAAGCAAACTCGAAGCGCACGCTGGTCTCTAAATCATTTGTAGAAATGCCTGTCAAAAGCAAAGAATTTCATATATTAGTTTTACACACAACTATTATAAACTTGTCTACAGAAGCGTCAGGTAGAAAATATATGACGCTGTTGTCAGAACAAAACCTTGTATCTCCAAAATGGTACATAACATACTTTAATTTCAATGTAAGTCAATGGAACCAGACTTTTGTCCAAGTAATTTTGAGCCATTTCATTTGGTCCATTCATCATGATTCATAATTTGAACACAATGTAAGGTGCAACAGGCATTTTCAAATTATGTCAAAAACTGAAAAACGGCAAAAATGGAGATATGAGGTTTTGTTCTGACAGCAAATATATTTTTGTTCCGAAATATATTTGTTTCTGTCAGCAGCATGTCATAATTTTGACTGATTTTAAAAGTAAGCCTTTTTACACTAGAATGACTTATTTTCTCAAACTTGTGACATTTTTCGACTTATTTTCTCCAGATTTTGACTTAGCATGTTGAAAAGACTTATTATCTGAATTTTGACTCATGTCAAAATAACGTCTTGCTGTCTCTTGAAATGTTCACTTATGTCAAAGGTCTGACTTACTACATCAAAATAATGTCCTACGCTTTATTATCTTGAGGTAATGATGCATCGGCCCTAAAATTCTTTCAAAATTGAATAACACATTATTTTGACATAAATCACAAGTTCAAAATAATACGTAAAAACATACAGCTACCAGACATTCAATATTCATATTCAATTCATTCATATTCAATTACTACTGTTAGAAAGGCAAATAAAAAATCATGGTCAGTACCTTCAGGAACAGGCAGATTAATCCCTCTCACGATGGTCAGCAACATGTCGCTTCCACTGAGCTCCGGAATAATCCTACACAGCAGGACATTTACAGTGGAATGAAGCTCAATGTTCCACTATCACCATATATAAGTTTGAGCTGTAAAATTACGTAGCTGTATAATTAAGTCATTACATTTCAATAATTATGTAATGCAAATACAATGAAAAGCAAACCATTTTAAATGGTTAAACTTTCTTTTAAATGTAGGGATAAAAATGACTTTTACAACAGGATGTAAAACACAAATGTAATGTATGTATCGTATTATATTGATCTGAAACTGATGAGTGAACTAAATAATTGAGTATCTCGTCTTCTACTTACAAACATGAATGTGGTATGAATTGTACATTTAGAATCTGCACATCCCACAGAATTTCTCTGCTTGTTTCAATAAGCTATGAGTAAAAAAGAAGTTTATATGCAATGGTGGGCCCAACTTAGCCCCCTCTAACAACGCATAAACGGTTGGGTCCATTTTGTGTTTATCTCTTATTGCTTTTAGTTATAGCAAACAGTCTGTATGCTTGGTTTATGTGATTTTGAATCCTTGTTAGCCAACTGTGTGCTTCCCCACTCCTGAGAACAGTGTTATTAGCAGACGCCGTGGACAAGCGGGCAAATTAATTCATGAACTGACCACTAGAGAGCAGCCAACACTCCAAACACTCCAAATTCTGTCAGCTTCTTTGAAACCTCTGGTTATTTTAGGACTGTGTACACATGTTCACATGTAGCAAGGCTAAATATAGAAAGCAAAACAGTAATATCAAGATTTTAATTCAATGTTTGTAGAAATAAAGGAAAATAAATGAATTGATCAGAATAAATTAATAAAATGACGCTCTCATAATGAGCTAGCACACTGGCTATTGTGGTTGACAGACTCTAAATATGCTCTAAATATGTGTTTTTGACCATACTCATCATATACTCAGAAAAGAGTATTTATCGCGATAATCATAACATATTGTCATATCGTCCAGCCCTTGTGTGCAGTCTTTCTGTGTTTGCATGTGTGAGACATACCTGAAGATATTAAAGGTGCGATCCTCCATATGAAACTTTGGTACTGGATATCCCTTGACCTTTGCTACCCTTAGTGCTTCAGTGTGAGAAGCACACTCTTCTGCAAGACTCTCAAACCTGAAATACAACAGCATGTTAGATATTAGATATTTAAAATTAAAATAAACCTGCAATATACCATTTACAGAAGAGGAAGACATTTGCTGACCTTGTGGTCTCAGTAATGTTGCCCATATGGCTGAACTGCTGGCAGTATCTCTTACACTTCTGTGGAAAAAAAGAAACAAAATTAAACTGAACACTTTTTAATATTTTAAATGACACTTTCAAGCTCCAAATCTGCAGTGATGAAATACCAAATACAAAAACACCCTTCAAAGTAACTCACACCGACATGCCTGTGCTGTTGCGTATGCTAGCTCAACAGCGGGTGACATTAACACCACTACGTGGCCACAGCGACCCTGATTTTTTTATTGACTGATTTTTATTCCTTTTTTTAAAACAAAAGAGTTTGGTGTGGCATAAAAACTTTGCTTGACCACTACCATGTACTCTCCAGTCTCCAGCCCATTTTTAATGTTTTTTTTATGTCAAAAAATAAACTGCCTACAGCAGTTTAGCCCCACACTTTCATGCACGTTTTAGCCTAAGTTTTGAATGAAGTACAATACAGAGCAGCCAATCAAAACAGAGATGATTTAAATATATAAGTCTAACAGTCACATTAATAAGACATCCTATTTAAGCCTAAGTGATAAAGCAAGATTGGAGAATGTTTATTTAAAAATTAATTATGGCTGGTTTTGGAGCATAAAACCACAAGGTTGTAGTTTTTGTCCAGATCTTTTTGCCATGGCATGTTATTTGGGTCTAATATATGCATTTTTGTGTTATGAAGAAACTGACCTCCTCTTGTTGGTGAAGAAGCTCTATCAGCTGGCTGTACTGATGGCTGGTGTCAGGGCAAAGAGAGTTTTGCAAAGGGGGAGTAGAAAGCACCTCACCCGTTTCCATATCAGCAGACCTCTGAGAATAAAGCAGGAACATAGAAAGGCATGGATAACAGCACAGTTACTGTACGTGAAAACCACTATTCAATCCCCAGTTATGCTTTCCTAGCCTCAATTTCTAGGCTAATGATATTAAAAAGTGATATTTAACTCATTAAACTGCAGGCTTATAATTCAGTTATCAATCCTAAAGCCATAGATTCAACAGTTTCCCCACTTACCCCAAATGTAGGCAATTAGCCAATACAAATTTGGTATCTGAAGTTTGCTTTTCTAGTTTAAGCACTGGAATCACAAGGCTAATGTAGCTAACGTAAGCTTATCTTCCAGCAATTAGCGTAATGCTAACTGCATGCCTAACTCATTACATTTTCCTTAAACCATGTTGATTTGTTGAGTAATCTCAAATAGACATGCATATTCCTGACACTGTATGGCTTTGTTATAAAACAGTAAAAAATCAAAATGGACAAAACTATGTCATATAACATTTTATAACAGTTTGCCATACAGTGTCAGAAACCATATAAGCAAGTCTACTTGAGATTACTTAATTCAACACAGTTGGAGGAAAGTGGCATGCAGTAAGCACCACTGTAAAGCAACCTTGAGTGTGAGAAAGGCACTATATAAATAGAAAGAAACAGTAACTCATATTAATAGGCTTCTATCACTTAGGACTCTAGTAGCTGTTTTGTCTAAGCCATCGTAAAGTATATAAATGATTGTTATTAAGGCCAGACTGATATATCAATTGACCAAAAACATGAGCTGATATTAGCAACATACAGTGTTATCTGTACTGACAAAAATATCACTTTTGGATCTGTTGTCATTCACAGCTTTGCCAGGATTCAAACCCTTAATCTCCCAATGATACGGCAAAATGTTCCACAGTTATGCCACTGTGCAGTTCACTGCAAGGCCCTCTGTTTAACTATGTAATTACAATGCATGTTGAACCTGGTGAATCTGTACACAAAACACCACCATGATGAGTATAACAAAAACAAATAAACACATAAAACACATCCAAATCTACACTTTAGCATGGGAATAACATGTTATAACAAAAACATTTTTATGAAGTGAACTAATGAAAAATAAGAACAGTAAGACGTAAATAAACAGAAAACAAAAGTGTTATTCTGAGTAGCTCTGCCCCCATGCTACAATATTTTTATTATTTAAGACTATGAGTTTCTGGGGTTCTTTGAGTTCAGTAAGTGTGACGTGTGAGAACCGACAATCATATCTGGCAGTAAAACACTGTTTAACTGAAGTTATTGCAGAAAAAAAATAAATATAAATATAAAATTAGATCAGCCAATATTATTAGTTATTAGAATTTTATCCCCTTAAAATCGTTATTGCTATCAGACACAAAGTTTTAGAATCGTTTGGGCCCAAATCCTTAAATATTTCACATAAATTTCATGTCAATCTGTGGGAATGAAAAAAGCTTGTCATTATTCATCTCATTATCAACTACATACCACAGTGGGATCAGCACAGACTGTAACCTGGTCTGGAACCATGGGGGAGTTTACTACACCTTCATTCTGAAGTGAACCTGTAAGGTAATACAGAATGTAAGACGTTACTGAGTGATTAAAGTACACAGGCTTAATCACTGTGTATATGTAAAATAAATCCTATCACACGCATGTGCTTTCTGTCCACAGTACATAAGAAGAAGGCTAACGGCTGCAGAGGGAAAAAGAACCGGACGCATTTTTACCACTGTTTTTGGTCTCAGCATGGGGTTCATCACTGGACTGGGGGGATACATTCTGCTTTTCATCCAGTTTGCTCTCTGAAGGAGAAAAAAAGATGAAAAAGGCCTGAAGGAGACACTGAGACTGAGGCTAATCTGGAGCATCAGGGAGGAAATTGAAGCCTGCTGATTACCATGCTGCTGCTTTTCCCTCATTAGCTCTCTCTCTTCATTAGCTGCCCTCGGCTGTCCGTGCTCCTCAGAGCGCACCGCAGAGACCCAGTTCCAACTTCAAACACTGCTACAATCTCTTTGTTCCTCTATCTTAACCCTTTTGTAATGTCAAGTAGGCGTTCACTGTCACTGATATAGGCTACAGTGAAAAAATGATGCACTGAATGTGTCCATAAATTCCATGTAAACATATGACACCAATGAGTTAATGTAATATATTTTATATATGTGGAACATATATAGACATTTAATACGATAAGCAATATATTGTATGTTAAGTGTAAATGCAATAGCTGCTTTCGCAATACTGCTATTGCAGAATCGGCAATATGCAAATTAGCCCTGTTACTAATCACAGCATTTTAATTGTGAGTGACCTAACGACTTCAACATTTATAGACGAGTTTTATGACTATTTTGATTAATTATGGCATTCACATAAACCAATAAATAATAATTAAAACAATGCAAGCCAAGTTTTAATTTTGTTACATTAATGGTTCACCAATGTTTTGCGTTTTCACAAATATGTAGCAATATGTCTGCAATGTGGTATTTGGTCCATATCAAGCAGGCATAAGAGACACAGATGCTTATAAGGTTGAAGCTAAATACACTTCTGGCAAATTAAGTGGTGCAGTTTGTGAATCCATCCATCCATCCATCATCTAAACCGCTTATCCTTCTGGGTCGCGGTGGGGTGCTGGAGCCTATCCCAGCTGTCATTGGGCGGAAGGCAGGATACACCCTGGACAGGTCGCCAGTCCATCGCAGGGCAGACAGACAGACATACACATTCACACACTCACTCACACCTAGGGGCAATTTAGCAAGTCCAGTCAGCCTGACTGCATGTTTTTGGACTGTGGGAGGAAACCGGAGTACCCGGAGGAAACCCATGCAGACACGGGGAGAACAGGCAAACTCCACACAGAAACGGCCCTGGTCGCCCAGCCGGGAATCGAACCCAGGCTATTCTTGCTGTGAGGCAACAGAGCTACCCACTGCGCCACCGTGCCGCCCACTATATCTATCTATATATATATATATATATTTATATATATATTTTAAGTAATAAGTTAACAGATTCTACAACAGATTATTCTTCTGTTGACTTACCACTACAACTCTAACACTAAGGCAGCCAAGTTATTTACATACCAAATAATTTTTTTTTGCAACAAACTGAATCAATCAGGATTTATCCATGCATGCAATCACCAAGTCTTACCACAAGGGGGCAGAAAGGAACTGGCATTGTTAGACTCTCCTTGTTCGGATGCTTCCACAACGCAGTCTAATTTCTGAAAAAAAGCAAGAGAGAGAGACCAGACAAACCATTAACTTGACTTATGACCTTCATTATTGACTTTATTATTTTGCATGCTGCTACAGTCATCCATCAGCAGAGCTTGGCGCTGTGTCTGCTGAAGTTACGATGGCTGTTTGGCCTCGAAGACCACACAGGATTTACGGCTCTGACCCACATCCACGGCCCGCTGCCTCGGGCGGGCACAGATGCACCAAGATGCCCATCCAGTTCTCACGCCAAGGGCTGGGAGTGTGCGTATGAGTGTATGTGCAGGGAGGGAGAAAGAGAAGGAAGGATAAAGAAGGGTGTGTGTGTGTATGTGGGGGAAAGATAGAGAGATGTGTTGACAGTGACACACAGGTGGTACCTTAGCTGTCAGGTAGTAACGCTTGACCTGCTCTGTGTCTCCAGTCTGTTCAGCTTGGGCATCAGCCAGTTCATTTTCCTGCTCTGTGCACAGCACCATTGGTTTGCTCTCTGTAGCAGTCAGAACACAAAGAAAAGAGATAGCATAACATTTAGCATGATTTTTTTTCCTGATACTGATACTAGAAATGCATGATAATGTCAGAATCGGTATTTGGAATAAATTTGTTTAAAAAAAAAAAAATTCCATATCAGACCAGTGATTAGACTGTTAAATCAAACTGATATTTGATTTAATTCGGAAGAGCAAAATGTTTCAGAATAAGTGATTCAGTTTTATTTATCTTTTCACTTTATCTTCTAGGTTATTTCACTAAATTTTAATTGTTATTACTAATTTTAGCTTTTGTATTTTTGCTACTATTTCATTTTTAAAGGACTTTAAGCTGCAACATGTATGTGCTCTATAAATTAAGTTATTCGTATTATTATTACTACTCATTTTTTCGAGGTTAATCTGTTAATTTAGAATTTACTACACAGTTACGTTAGAAACTACAAAGCTTTATTATGATCTTTTTTTAATTGAAGCCACTTTGCTTAACTGGTGAAACAGTGCCAACATGACAAACAAAACTACATCTTTTGAATTCAGTTGAACCTTTTGTAAAAAAGAAAATGTGTGTGGTTGGTGTAGCGTAGTGGGTAACACCTCTGCCCTCTACGCTGTAGACTTCAATCCCCTGCCTTGGCAAGCACTCTACACTATACCAATAAGAGTCCTTGGGCAAGACTCCTAACACTATGATCGAACTGTAAGTTGCTCTGGGTAAGAGCGTCTGCCACATGCCATAAATGTAAAATGTAAGAAAATAGAAATGTATTTTACAGTGCAAATGTGTGCAAAATAGTTTAAAATAAAAGAACTGCCATCGTTTTATGATACTTCTATGATACTTAATCGATGTTTTATGGTAAGTTTAAGCCACATGTGGCCATCTCTGTGACCTAAAGTACTCTGCTTTGTTTTATGTGTGTTTTAAGTAGTTCTGTGCTATTTCAGGATAGATTTGTAGCGATACCCCACCGATTAGCCTGGTGCTAAATGCATGTCTAAATCATCACACACTTGCCTCTAACAATGTTGAGTTGTTCAGTAATTTAAAATAGATTTGCTTATGTGGTTTCTGGTACTGTATGCCAATATGCTTCTTATCCTGTTATCTATAAACAAAAGTACACAACAAAATTAAGCCTTCAAGATGGCTGCTGCTGTTTTCAGCTATGTGACATAATTGTGTCTATTATTATAGACAACAGTCCACAACAGAAACCACATAAGCCAGTCTGATTGAGATTACTTAACAGCTCGCTTGAGGCAACTGTGTAATGACGCAGGCATGCTATTAGCACCATGCTAACTGGCATGCGATTAATGCCATGAGCTACATTAGCCTCGCTTTTGTGCAAAACTAAAGAAGCAAACTTCTTTAGTTTTGCACAAAGTCCTTTAACATAAGTTTAAAAGAAACCTACTAATACAAAGACTCCTAGTTCTACTCATCACAGAGATAAATGAAAACAAACTAAGCCTGAGCTTAGAACAATGCCATATACACCATCCGTTCATTAACGCTAATAAGCAACCTTAATTCCATTACTTTAACCAGCATCGTCTTCACACTTCACAAACCTCCGTCTGCACTGTATGACCCAGTCCAGAGTAGATCAATAGCTAATTCACTCCCAGCCTTTGGAAATGTGTAATCTATAGCCAACTATAAATCAAAACTGACCATTTACAGACCTCCCCAATACATTTCATTACTAAACATGCAATTTGTCATTATGAGCAATGGTTTTGCGCTGATGTGAATGAGCAGTGCCATTCACTGGTATAAGGACTTTGTTACATGCACCTTGACATTACTAGTGGATTAAAAATGACCCAGATCTTCCACTGGAATCTTTCCCTCTGTTTTGAGGAAGAAGGAGCATGTTACAAACACACAAGCTTCTTTGTCTGGGATGCAGCAATCAAATAACAGAGACATGATGGAGTGGGTTTTCATGCTGCCAGTCAGGTTTTGGCTATTAAGCATTAGAAGTCACAGTTATGGCTGGCAATAACAAAAGCATACTGCAGTTTTAATGAATTATTTCTCACTCACAGCTGTCAAGTGGAGAAATTGTGTGGAAAGTGCAGATTAAATCTGTTGACACAGAATGTGAATCTAATGAAAATTAGATCCATTGCCAATGGGTCTTTCGATGGACAATGACCACAAGTGTACTTCCAAAGTTGTGGCAAAATGGCTTAAGAACAACAAAGTGAAGGCAATGTAGTAGTACTATGTAACTATATACTCAAATACAGATGAAGCCATTTTGATTCACTCAAACTTAAGGAGGGAATCGATATGCAGTATGAAATATTGAATTTGAACAGCATTGAAGGTTGAAAAACACTGTCAGAAAAAAGGGTACTGTACAGGTCAATTTTAGTTCCCAGATGTACAAACAATGTAAATGTGTACCCTAAATAAATGTTAAAGGTACACTACATTCACTTTCCCAGAGGAAAACAGCATATTTGTACATATTTCATGATGTAAATTCACTTGGACAAAACTTGTCCAGTACTTTTAAAAGATGATGTATAAACCAGATGGAAATGTTTCATTTATTCTAAAAAATTAAGGCAAAATCCCTCCGCCAGCAGGACACCATTGTCATACTGAGATGATGTCATATCGACATTAGAAAATAACACAAAAACACAAAAAAGGCTTTCTTTTGGGTGTTGTCATGCCCTAGCTAAAGCTGGAAAGGTTGGAAAATTATTAAGCATATTTAATATGTAATTAGTTATTTAGCTTGCTGTTCTTGCTCAGTGGACAAGAAAGAGAGCAACCATTTGATGCCGCAAAAACATGGCAACCTACCAGTTGAGGGATTTTTATGTATTACCATTATTAGCAATACATAAATCACTTTGCTCGGTGTATACAACATATTTTTAATATTATTGGACATGTACATCATACACACATTACATGTCTTAACAGTCAGAGTTCCCCTTATGACAGGGTGTAGAGAATTAATGCAAACTAAAAATTATAACTGCAAGATGGAACCACCTCAGTGACAGTGTACCTTATACTCTCAAAGATAGTTTTCTGAGAGTGTAACAATGAGTGTGTGAAGCATTAAATTGAATACATGACACGCCTCTCGCATGTCCAAACACCACTGTCAGTGATCAACATTAAACATCTAGGTATATCAGAGTAGGTATCCCCAGGGGAAGGGGTTATTCTTTGGACACACTGATGCTCAAGCAACTGGACTTTTTCTGAAGAGCTTATAAATTAACTGTTTTAAAGAACACAAAAAAAATATATCGAACCTAAAAGTATGTGTTGCTATACCCCTGTTCCTACTGTATCTGCCAGGTTTGTAAATCTCTGACCTTACAGCAATTCGATTAGATTACAATCAGCAGCACACCACAACACACCACAGTGACTGCACTCCTACCTGAGCAGCCAGAGTGAGGCTGAAACTCATTAGTGGAGGAGGCTGCAGGTGATGGGGTATTGTTCTCTCTGACAGCTGGGACAGCTTGGATTTTCTGAAGGTTTGAGCAAACAGGTCTTAAGAGCACAGCATGAGAAGCAGAAACTGATTCTCCTGGGTTAGCAAAAGGCTCCAGTCCATCCTCTTCTCCAGGCTTGAACTCCTCCACCTTTTTTGGAATAACGCAACATTATTCAAAAAAATAGACAGGATACACAAATGTAACTAAAAGATGTACTTAATCAGCATTTTTGAAAATAGCATGCTAATAAATAGCCCTAGATTTTATTTTGGCCAAAACATGCACATACTTTATTTGAATATTGTCTTTATTGAATCAAAATTGTTGCAGTACTATTGTAAATACATCACAAAAATGAATACATTCACAAATATCAATACATTTGCATATATCTATCCATTCAGGCTACAACAGTTTAGCCCCACCCATTCACACTGAAGTTATAAGGAGTGCTTCAGCCTTGCCTGCTTTTTAAATAAGGCACAATACAGGGCCAGTCAGAACACAGCTCATTAACATATCGTCGCTATTGGGACGTAACCTCATTTTCTCATTTTTTGACATACTTTAAAACAGCCAGCCACCCACTGCATTATGCCAAAATTTCATTCTGAAGGGTTAACTCAAATGTAAACATAGTTAAGATTACGTTTTCCTTCTTCCGTAAAGATACAAGGTTGGAGATAATTTTGGCGATACATGGTTCTGTCAGACAACGACAATATATCAGTCGTAAAAAGCTACAATTGTTCAATTCTAAGAAATAAAGAGAGGTTTTAAAATTGTCTTGTAAAAATGAATGACAACTGTTTCTGGTCCATGCAAAAGAGGAAGTCAAGGAACAAAGTAAGATATGGGCCTTTCAACTCATTCGAGCAGTTAAAGGTTTCACAGCGCCAACAGCTGCCTCAGTGTAATCTAAAAATACACCCAGGTAGGCCTGGTGAGACTGTCTATTGCTTAAAAAATAAATAAATAAATACAACAGTGGCTGTAAAGCTAATCAAGATCGCCATCTTCACGCTTCACACTTCCGACCAGCCTCCATCCGATTTTTTCTTCAAGCGAGAAAAGTACACAGCATGTAATTTTCTCTCAGGGAGATAAGTGGAGTTTTTTTCCTCTACATGCCAGGTCCCTCTTACCTAGCATGAGAGGCATGGAGGCTTTAATTTCCCCTCATAATGACAGGGGAAGGGTGACACAGACAGCAGAGCTCATGACAGAGAAAGGCTTTACAGTAACAGAGATTGTTCTCCGAGGGACAGCCGCAGGTAAACACCTGTGCTGTTTATGACAGGGTTTAGTCCTACAGCTGGCTGAGGCACTTCAAAGGGAGAGTATAGAACAGAATGCATTATCTACACTGTAAACGATCTGTTGTACCATAAAAAGGAAATCATCTGGTAGCATTAAATGTTTGAGTTTATTGAACATCTTATAGTAAGTTAACCCTTTAATGTATGGTGCTGCCATATGGCACTAATGACTTTCTTGTGTCAATTTTTGCCTTAAGTCTTTTTTTTTTCTGATTATTTTTGGAAGTTCAAGGCTTTATGTCAAACATGGAATATTTTTGCTGACCACATGTACTTTTATCTGACCAAAACTACTTTAAGAGAAAAACTGAAAGTGTGTTAAGTTTCATTTTCAGAAATAAGCCAGGTAGATGCTATAGGTTTTATTTAAAATGGTCAGATATAATTGTTGCCATATGGTAACCGCATGCAACTGCAGTGCACACAAAGGGAGTAAATAAAAACCTTCCATAGGCAAACTGGACACTACTATTTTCACTTCATTCCAAGCTGATGATTCTATTAGTATAATTACTTTCATACTTTTCTGTTTCATGTAAATGCTTTTTTTCAAGTCTGGATGACAAAAGCGGCTGTGTCTCATTGCAGGGTATTCATTTACATGTAATATACAGTGTATATACGGTGTACTCAGATTGCAGTTCTGTTGTCACATACTGTTGCCATATGGCAACAAAATGCAAAGTACCGCCCCCAAATATTTTTTAAAAAATCTTTCAGATTTATAATACGCCATTATTTCTTTATCACTGCTCATATTTGTAGCCTTACATTTTAAATGTACTTTACTTTATAACGGTACACAGTGTCATTATCAATGTCAATGTTTTTTTCAATGTTTATTAGAGTTTATGTTTACACATGCACAATGACAAATTCCTTGTATATCTTATACTTGGCTAATTGTGATTCAACAAAGAAAATCTTGAAAACATTTTTTATTATTTTTTAAAATTTCATTAAACATATATATATAAACCTACATTCAAAAAAAGAAATCGCTATTGTTGGTTTTAATCAATTCTCTCTCGTTCTATATAGAACCTTTTTAAAAAAGGTTCTATATAGCCTCAAAAAAGGGTTCTTTTATTGTTACAATGTCAAGCTTGTAACAATAGAAGACTCCTTTTTGTTCTATACAGAACCATATGCAACACCATCTCCATCAATTTAAAGAACCATTTCACCATGCAAAGAACCATTAAGAATGAATTTGTTCTATATAGAACTCATGGCTCTAAATAGAGCCATTGCCTTTACTAAGTATATGTTATAAATTTGTTATATCAGCTAGGTATTAGGGCTGAACGATTTGTGGAAAATATCTAATTGCGATTTTTCCGACTATTATTGCGACTACAATTTCAATTGCGATTTTTTTTATTTTTTATTGAGATTCAGGCCTGAGACCAGCCAAGAAGACCAGCACATCCACCTTTGTTGGCTTGAGGCTCGACCCCTGTACGTAGTGTGTCAAACTGCCTGTAAGTTGTGATTGTGATGTCACAACACATGGAGGTTTGGTTGCCTCTGATTGGTCTAACCCACCTACAAGCAGTTCGACAAACTCTTATTAGGTTCTGTTTCCCCTCTTAAAACCTAAAACAACATTTTCTGATAATGTACACACTGAATAAAGACGGTTTTTCAAGGGTTCTTTAGTAAAGACAATGGTTCTATGTAGAACCATCAGGACTCAGACCCATTTGCATGCATAAAAAGCTCTTTGCATGGTGAAACAGTTCTTTAGATTGATGGAGAATGTGTTGTATATGGTTCTATATAGAACCTTTTTGAAAAGAGTTCTCTATAGGACCAAAATGTTCTGCTATTGTATTAAGCTTGACAACAACAATTGTCAAATAAAAAAATAAAATCAAGTAAAATTTAAATTTTAAGAAAGCCTGGTTAAAAAAACAAATTATGTTCACAGTGTGGGTTATGTACAAAAGGCCACACTACTTGTGCTAGGTTTTGTCTTTGGAAAGGGACAACGTGACCAATTGCAGTTTACAGCCAGTTGTGAGGCCTGCAAGGCTTTTCATGGCATATTATCTTCAAAATGCACATTAATACAGTGAAAAAAAAACCCTAAAGGTTTGATCCTCTGATAACACCAGCACTAGCGAGGCAGCATCCTGTCAGAAAGAAAACGTCCTTCATAAATAAAAATATTACCTTTTTGTCTTGAGGTGGTGAGGAAAACCAAGTTGAATCTTCACAGTCACTCATGAAGCTTCCCTCACAGCCAACTCTGAGATTTAGAAATAAAAAAGAAATAATTTTTAAACGTCTTTTTAGAACATCGTTGTAAATGAACGATGAAGGGGAATTCCACCGGTGTTTCAAAGTTCCTCCGTAATTCAGTCACTGAGATGTAAACAGAGTCATCCATAGTGGTTTGATGTTCATTTGATGTGGTTCACTGTACATAAACTTACCAACCCTGATTTTCTTTACAGTGGTGGGGATAGGAACGCCATGTTTACAACACAAATATAGCCATTTTATTTGCTATCCAAAACAACCAGTGAACCTACACGTCTTCTGATTTATGTAATGCTGATGATGGTAAAATAGTGGTACATCTGAAAAAATTTTCTTTGGGACTATTTTGCCTCACATCACCCTGCATGCATCCCTCCACCATAAATGGGTTTAAAAAATTACGCCTATGGCCAAAATCTTGTCATAAAACTACGGAGCCCCTAAGAGGCCGCGGTTAAAAAAAAATTTTTATGACATTGCAGTCCCTCGCAAAAAATGCGTTCCATCGCAAATGTTTTGCATTCCCTCGCAAAAAATTGCATTCCCTCGCAAAATATATGCTTGTCAGACAGCAAGCAAACGTAAGACCAGAGGTGCCAAATGACATTGCCTATATTAGAGCTTTGTTTTTAGATTAGCTAACGTTAAAAGCTGTTTTCCCAGCTTCACCAGTCTGTGCTGAGTTTATTCAGCACTGTACGAGGACACTCGAACTCAGTTTCAGTTTGCGGTCCCTAATAACATAATCATGTTTGATTTTGAGAAGCGACAGTATGTCTTTATATTTCAATCCAAGATCAATGTAAATTCAACGAGCTGCTCCATCTCTGAGCTTAAGCAAAGCACAGCTTTTGCGAGCGATTGCAAACCGTTTGCATCGTAATGCGAAACATTTGCGAGGGAACACAATGTCATTAACTTTTTTTTTTTTATTTTAACCATGGCCCCTTAGGGACATCAAGCAGTTTACTCATAACCATTTCATGTAGCTGAATAACTTTCTGTGATGTAGGTTAGTTAACCTAACCTAGTTAGGTTAGCTAACCCCTGTTGCTGCGGTTATAGCTTCTACTTCTGGGAAAGCTTTATACTAGATGTTGGAACATTGCTGTGAGGATTTGATTACAGCCAAAAAAAGCATAAGAGTGGCAGGTACTCATGCTGAATGACTGGATCACTCCAACTCATCCCAAAGGTAGTGGAGGGAGCTTCATCACGCCAGAGAACACAGTTCCACTGCTCCACAGCCCAATGCTGTGGGGCTTTATACCCCTCTGGTTGACGTTTGGCATTGGAAATGATGACCTTAGGCTCATGTCTGGCTGCTCCAGAGCAACCCATTCCATTGGCCAGCTAGCCAACTAGCTTTTAGAGCATTAGACTCTTCAGATGTCTGGTTCCTATCACTACTGCTGTGAAAAATTCTGACTCTGTCAAGTTTCTCTAGAACGGAGCATTTCACACCAAACCACTCTGAATGACTCTGTTTATATCTTAGCCATTTAATTATGCAGAAATTTTGAAAAATCGGTGGAACTGCCCTTTAACGTTGTCCTACTAGCTAAAGCTAACGTTCCCCAAATGACGTTATCTCTGTCAGAGAGGAGACAGAATAACTGACCAAAGGAACGAAGGAAACACTCGCGGTTGCTGCTGCTACAACTAGAAATTGTGTTTTTGGTCAAAAACTGGACTTTAACGGCACCGAACGACGTTTATTTAAAGTGTTTTTAACTTAATCCGCTACCATGATTGTAGGCGTCGAAGCTCCTCTTCCCGCTTTCGGTCTCCTAGGTAACGCTCGCTGCCTCGAGCTGTTTACGAGCGAGCGCAGGTGCCAGACGGTTGATGCGCATGCGCAGGAGTTTAGGCCAAGAAGACCTAGCTGCACTCTGCACGGTAATGAGTCCCACAGGTTTGTGGACACCTGCTCAACTCGACAGCGTCTCTTCTGAAATAAAGGGTACTTAAGAGGAACTCCACCGATTTTTCACGATTAAATAGTTATCAAGGTCATTCAGAGTGGTTTGGTGTGAAATGCTCTGTTCTTGAAAATCTTACCAAGTCAGAACTGTTCACAGTGGTGGTGATAGGAACCAGACGTCCACCTCTAAAAGCTCCCTCACAGGAAAGTTATTACATGAAATGGTTATGAATTCTCAGCCTGATGTCTAAGGCATTGATTTTATGGTAGATGTTGTTGACAAAGTTTTGGTCTAAGACGTATTTTAATCAGTCCGCTCATGGTGAAGTAATACATGAAGGATGTTCTTAGGGCAAAATAGTAGTCTCCAAAGGAAACTTATTTTTCTTTCAGACTGACCAATATTTTACCATCATCAACGTTACATATAAAACTAAGAAGACACATGTAGGTTCACTGGTGGTTTTGGCGAGTAAATAAAAAGGCTAGACATTGGGACCTCTGGTTCCCATCACCACCACTGTAAAAAAAATCTGTGTGGGTAGGTTTCTCTTCAAATTAATTATTTCACATCAGATCACTCTGAATGACTTTGTTTATTTCTTATTGGAGAAATTTAGAAAAATTGGTGGAATTTCCTTTCTTAATAGGGAGCTTCTCCCCTGTTGCTGTGGTTATAGCTTCTACGTCTGGGAAAGCTTTATACTAGATGTTGGAACATTGCTGTGAGGATTTGATCGCAGCCAAAAAAAGCATAAGTGTGGCAGGTACTCATGTTGAATGACTGGATCACTCCAACTCATCCCAAAGGTAGTGGATGGAGCTTCATCACGCCAGAGAACACAGTTCCACTGCTCCGCAGCCCAATGCTGTGGGGCTTTATACCCCTCTGGTTGACGTTTGGCATTGGAAATGATGACCTTAGGCTCATGTCTGGCTGCTCCAGAGCATCCCATTCTATTGGTCAGTGTTTTTCTAAGGAGATTATACAAGCTGTGTGTGCACAACCGAACACCTGTGTCAGCAATGGTGCACCTTGAATTCACTCATTAGAAGGGCCGTCTGTAATTAACAAACAATATAGCGTTCAACTCTACTGCAGCACATGTGGCTACATTTGATTACAGAATTAAAAAAGTATCAGCTCAAAGTAATGACCCAACAGATTCACTAGAACTTAATTCTGGAATTCAAGAATTTTGGATATTAATTTGATTAGAATTTTCATTTTAGAATGAAATACAGCTCTGTTCATTATCTGACAATTCTTTATTTTCTATTTAGTATTTTTTAAGCTTTCTACTAATTATTTAAAACTCGTATATAGGAATTTTTATACATTTTTCTGTAACCGTTTTATAGTATTGAGATTTTGGGTCCAAAAGGCTCCAGCTATATTTATTTTTGTAAAGCGCACCTGCCGGGACTTTTTGATTCCAGAAAGTTTGGATTCGACTCCGATTCAGATTCAAAGTGATGTAAATCGATGTATTTGATTCCATGAGTCAATTCCACACTATAATATTGATTCTAAATCCAAGACAGAGAAAGAGAGCTCTGCCAGCAGGGGCGTTGTAAGGCCATATTTAGCCCCCAAATAAGTGTACATTATTAGTTTAAATCAGCAACAGTATTTTTCATTGATTCTTCATTATTCAACTGTGCCATCGTGTCTCCAAATTCACAATATACTTTGATAGAAGGGCGCGAACTGGGGGAGGCTGCTTCAGTGGTGCTACCAGAGATTTTCTAGGAGAGGAAATTTTCTAACAGCAGCCGGCAATCCTCTGCTGTTTAGCGTTGTGAACCAATCATATTGGACCTTGTACATTGTAAGCCAATCATATCAGACCTGGGGGAGGGTCTCTGGTGCTACTCACTCTGTAAAGTAACATCAGTCGGCAACCGCCGAAGCTGTGACAGGATTTTGGCTAAAAGCTAAAATAAAGATTAGCCATTGTTCAAAACACATAATACACAGTCTGCATCAGTAAATGGTTACAGAGTGAATATATCTGTATCTATATCTCTTTGGACTTGTGCAAATTGCGGTCAGTGTAGCTGGCTAAGAAGAGTTTACCCGGTTGCCTATTAGCTAGCTTGCTAACTTTAGGTTTCCTGTAAAGGAAGCTCTCTGACAAGCCCACTATTTAAAAAAAGTACAAAATTTCACAAATAGTGAGTGTGATCGTGCAAAAGAGCTAGAAATAATGTTATTGACAGTTCTTAATATTATTTGCTTTTATTTTTCTGTGAAGTGTTTCAAAAAAACCACACCAGTATTAATTATATAGTGTTATTTTGTATTTGGGCGGCACGGTGATGCAGTGAGTAGCGCTGTCGCCTCACAGCAAGATGGGCCTGGGTTCGATTCCCGGCACGGCGACCAGGGTCGTTTCTGTGTGGGGTTTGCCTGTTCTCCCCGTGTCTGCGTGGGTTTCCTCCCACAGTCCAAAGACATGCAGTCAGGCCAATTGGAAATGCTGAATTGCCCCTAGGTGTGAGTGTGTGTGAATGTATATGTATGTCTGTCTGTCTGCCCTGCGATGGACTGGTGACCTGTCCAGGGTGTATCCTGCCTTCTGCCCAATGACAGCTGGGATAGGCTCCAGCACCCCACCACGAACCAGAAGGATAAGCGGTCTAGATTATATATGTATGTATGTATTTTGTATTTACAGAAAGTTAATGTCAGTAAAAAAGGCCACTTAGCTTATGTAGATTGTAATGCAGTTTTATATCCCTGAATTCCTGGTGGTATTTAGGAGGTGTCATCTCCATAGAAGGCCAGACAGGTGAGATTTTTGCCAGTTCAAACAAATATTGAACTGATTGATCATTGAGTTCTTCTCTGAGTTTAATAAAAAATAACGTTACTAAACACAGGCAGGGAAAGGGAGAGAAAGAAGCTGAAGGAGACTGGCAGAGCTGAAGAAGCAGGTCTGATTAGTCATCAAGGCGACTAAAAAATTAAATGAGAAAGTATCATTTTGTGCTGTCAGATGTCACAACTACAGAAGTAGAAGTGCAACTACAAAACAAAATCTGGTTGCACAAACTGAAACTGAACTGATCTCTAATCGGTGTATTTGAATAACATATTTAGAGCCTGCAGCTTATGTAAGAGAGGAGATAGCACTGCTGGATTTGAATACCTTTGCTTGATCTGTGAATGCTGTAAGTGGACAGATAGAGTATTCAAGTTGTACTACATCTGTGCTTAGTAAAAACTGTGAATAGACAGATCTACTGAATGCCAACTGGACCAAATAGCCATTTTGGTTTTTACATTTTCCACATATTGCTACTCTAAAAGTTCACAGTGAACAGACATTTTGGGGAACACTCCCCTAGACCTCCTTAGTAAAGGCTTAGCCCCTCTATCCATAAATCTCTGGTGATGTCCCTGAATGATTTACAAAGTTAACAAATAACTCAGCTGCCTAACAGGGGCTGACAGAGTTGCACCTGATTCTCCTCTGACAACAGAAGTAGATGCCTGGAATCGAGGAATTGATTCTTTTTAGGATTGACTCCCAGTCCTAGCAGCTGCTTTGTCAGAAAATCTGAGTAAACAGTGAAGCATCTGCTGCAGGTGTTCCGGTGTTCATGTGCTGCTCGCTCTGAAAGCTTTGTTTATTGTTTTCCAGGTTTTCCTCAGAGTGGAGAGGAAGTTCCTAATTTTCTCTGTTGTGTGTATGTATGGGATTTAGGGTATGGCAGTGTTCAGAATTCGCTGGAGGTTCAGGCTCCAGTGCAGGCTCCTTTCTCAGCAGTTCACTTGAAAACTTGAGAACCCTCAGACCTGAGCAGGGAGTGCGTGAAGAGTGTGTGAACTCTTTGTATTGGAGCTGAAGCTGAAGAAAGCCCAGATGATTACGGTGGTAAGTTATAAAACATTACCGATGGCACTGCTCCAATCTGGGCTCTGCTAGACTGCTCTGTAGAAAGATAAAACATATATATCATATATCATATCATCTTTGAAATATATCACAAACATTCTATTTAGTCACCGACAATCTAAACACTACCGAAACTTTACCGAATTTTTCAATAGTGATTGTTTCGGTAGTGACCCTTTTTATCTAATTTTGAGCAGAACTCAAAAATGCTAGCCAATACATGACGAGCAAACGCAGCTTTGAACAGTTTGCACACACAAAAAATTATAATAATTTTATTAAAACAAACAACTTTATTTAATTGCAGAAAGTGTGTGTTTCGGTAGTGACATTTCTTCATTTTACACACTGTTTTTCAGACTTTGGGCTACATTTACTTCAAAACAATGGGATCTAACTGGTCACCATGTGTCCAGGGATGCAGTCTCACTACCCGCTCTAAAATGCAAGGGTGTGGCTAAAATAAGCCTCCACCTATGGACTTAAACTCTTTGTGTTTCGGTAGTGACGTAGGACGGCATTTTTGGAATAAAGTCTTCAAAATCTAATCTGATGAATCTAAATCTTTAAACTTCAAATCAATGTAAAAGAAATCAATAAGATCTTTAAAAACAATTGGAAAAAAATAGGTTAGGGTTTGGGACACCCCCAATAGCAAGTACACGATGAATGATGATTTTGTATATATTTAGCTTATTACTCTCTTAATGCCTTTAGTTTAAATAGATCGTAACATAATCCTTGTAAGTATCTGAGGTCTTTATACTTAATCGTTACATATGTTTTTACTATGGGAACCACAGTTTGAACTGATTTGGTAGAATGGACCATATATATGTCATATTTAGCATGCTGGCGATGTTGACGGGCTCGTTTCTCGACTCAGACTTAAGAATAAAGAAAAAAAACCAAACAAAACTGATTAAAAACCTTTCATTTTCAACCATACGTTTGCCT